TATATATATATATATATATATATATATATATATATATATATATATATATATATATATATGATTGTGCTGTGTAACCGTTCTTTCTAAATTTACTTAAGTTTAAATAGTTATAAGTTAATTATAGTTACCGTTGTTTTATACTTATTTGTTTACTTCACCTCATTTACCCTTGTGGAAAACAATAATATTTGAGACATTGTTTTATGTAATATAGAGAAGTTGAGCTGACCATCTCTTATTGAACTCTTATCTCCTTACAGTTAAACTAAACAGGTCATCATAATTTTGGTGTCCTTGGTCATTAACAACATCAATATATAAAAAAGGTATAAAAATGCATGTAATTAATATTTATTACTGAAACTGGAGACTATTGCTAAATATCTGTACACTTTAAATAGATGCCATAGATAACAAAAATGCTCTTTCAAATGTGATACGATACGAAGTCTTTAGTTAAGAGGTGAAAGAAGATTATTAGGGGTTGAAGGAAAAGTGGTGAAACTGAAATACAGTAGGAGTAGAAAGAATCTGGGCTCAACCAGATCGCTTCATCTTTCTTATTGGTGTTTTGTCTTTGTTCTGCTGCTGTACACATAACATGATATAAGTATACAAAACATTAAAGCCAAGATTACTGAAAAATTATGGTAAAGGTAAGATATAACTTAATTTTAAATTCTCAAGTAACATATCTACAGTATATAAATATAACTTGGATTTTCTTGAAGGTAAATTCAGGGGTCACATCACGTTTTTTCATCACTGATTGGCTCGTTAGGGCAGTCGCTCATGTCTGTTACACACTGTTGGCAAGTACTGGGCATGCACTGAAAGAGCTCACACTCGGTGCCGTCACAACACTACCCTTTACTGATGCAGTTTTAGAGAAAAACGTATACACTTATATCTAGTATCCATAATATTTCTTCACTTGAAAGTTAATATATTTGGGAGTCCTGGGCATTGAATATGTAAAACATTATAACAATGATAAACAAGAAAGCAATTTGACCAAGGATAGCCTACAAAGTCATCAAATGCTTATTTCTAGTAGGCTTCACTGAGTAGTTGAGTAGTATATCGACACAAGTAAACCATTTGTTCTTTCCCAACTTAATTGTCTACAACACCAGTAGAAGTAGTGGCTTAGTGTAGATACTGGGTGATCATTTTTATTCGAGAATCCTAAATAAATCCCATACTAAAAATTACATCAGTTGGGAACCAAATAGTTTGCATAAATGTAGCCTAATGTTACAGAAAGACACATTAGTTGCTTTTAATGGTTTTCACTCGGTCATGCCATGGTGCTCACTGTGTTTGTGTTGTATTGGTGGTTTGATTTTGTGGTTTTTATATTTTCCTTTATCGCCGTCACCAATGGGCGTCTCTTGAATGTCTGGTATTAAACAATACAATTTGGTGCTAATTTTTTCCTCTTACATAAAGTAGCTTTAGTGTATAGGGTGAAACATCTATCATGCAGTGATTGTCATTTGAACTTTACGGAGCCTGAATTTGTAAAAAAAAAAAACTACTAATGTTTTTGATCTCATAATCAATTTGGTAAATTGAATGTTTAGGTCATCCACCTACTTGGCATTTGAAAAAACATAATTTCAGTGTCACCTAACCTAACCCAACTTAACTAATCTAACGTAACCTAACTTAACTGGTAAAAATCGGTCAACTTAAAGTCATTAAATTCGCTGGATGGCCAAAAAGATAATAATATCAATTCCATTTACTTTAGGAGGACTTGTTCATTTTTGTTGAAATCATGGACATACAAAGCCAATATATCTACATTTGATTCTTCCACTGTCAATGGCAAAGTTAATTAATATCACCACTCCAACTGTTGGCCCAAACAAGTTGTAAAGTAGTTCTTTCTTGTAATACATTGAGTCACTAAGGGAATAAAACATGAATTTAGGTCAGTGAATTTATCTTATTAGTAGCAAAGTGTGATTAAACTGATACACAAATGAAACATGCCTGGGAAGTACCCGGCATATTTGGACTTATTAAAATATGAAATCTAGGCTAATAAGTAATTATACTAAGGAAATAATTAATTTGGTAGTACTGGACTTTTTAATTGCCCTCATTACGAAAATTGGGTCGATATTAATTGTGATAAAGGACGTTATTCACCATCCCAGAGGAAGCTGTTCTCACCACTCTTCAAATAGACCACTTACGACTTTTTTTTTAGCTTAATTTGATTTCAATACATTTCTACATATAAATTAGTTGTATTAGTTATTTTAAAGGCTTACCTTTTATGATGGTTAGGCAAATATGGAGGATATAAACGGCGATGAGACAAGTTGAGGCTGGCGGCATTTTTACATTTTATGTGCATCCAAATCTATTTTCTTTTGGTTTCAAAAATAGTTCCATGGTAGTGATCTTCCCCACGTTCAAATAACGGATTGTACATATTTTTTTTAGCCCAAAACGCTTCTTGCACAACAAACATGGGGCTATTACAGCATGGTATACACCACGGCTGATCTTGCAACTGGCCCTTCGATCTCTATATCCTTTTCGTTTCTTACTTCCACTCTATCCTTATCATAGTATAGTTCTACGTACTCTGTCCATCTCCCTTTTAATTCTTCTGTCTTTACTTTTAATAGTCCCACCCCATTTTTTTTCTGGTTCATTTGTTTAATCTTTCTGCACATGTCCCTAAAATATGCTTCCTGTCATCACCTTCCACCTCCTTGCATTTCCCTTCTATATCATCTTTTTTGGCCTGTCTACATTCATTTAGAATTTCGTTATTTTTTTTTGTAAACCTCACTTCGTTTTCTCATATTTATTTGTCTATTTTCTATATTGTTTTTATTTTTAAGTTTAACCTGTTACTGTCCTCTACTCCAACATGCTTATATTATATTTACCAATGCAGATAAACAATAGCAGCCGATAGAATTGCTGAACTCCATAACCACAGAACTTCTCTTTTCATATTTTGACGTTTCCATATTCTTATCAGATTATAAAAATACACTCAGTATTAGCAACTGTACAGAAGTGTTTAGAAATATATCAAATTACAGTGTAACACCCGTGACACCTGAAAAACCCCAGTATTGGTTAAACACATAAACCTGCCCCGGCTTCCCGCCCTCATGCTCACTATACAATGTACCTCACACTTACCTACACACTGGGAGCCGGAGACCACGGTGCCTGCTGGACACTCCAGAGCTGGAGGGAAAAGCCATCCAAAACTTATTATGTTAATTTAAACTACACATATAATGTTCAGATACACGTGACGTTAATATTTACATTATGATCTTCAACGATGATACCGAGAATTCTAATCAATAATAAAACAAATATCACCCTGGCCTACCGGGAGAAGGGAAAGGGGGCCCGCATAATTAGTCATGTGCTTCAGTCGATTTGTCAGCAGGTAAAAGTCTGAGGGACTCGCCAATCACTGTTTTAATTACTCTATTGTTCTTAAAGGGTCATAGTTCAAATGGTGAATCAGTGACCCAAGGCAGCCTTAGGATGTTAGTTCATAGGTCAAGGTCACCGAAACAAGGGCTTGACATCTACGAACCTGTTCGCCTGGCATTATTTATTCACTTATGGAAGTGTGTACTAAAAGAGGCATCTATTTATGTGTATCTCATTCCACCATCAATGATAAAATCTACCCGTTCAATCACTATCAAATGTACAGTGAAAGATTCATTCTCACCTGTACATCGGCCGTAGTCGAGGGTGACATTAATGTAACCGTCTTGACACTCGCACCTCGACCCACCCTCGCCCTCCACACACTTGCCCCCCTTCCAGCACCACGCCTGCACGTTCTCTTTGTCGACACACTCAGCCGCGTCTGCAGAGAGGTGATTAATTGGTCTCCTAACACAAGAGGGAAATGAAGGATTGTACGCAAATGAATGCTAAGGCGGATGAAAACTGTGATAAAAATGGATAGCTTTATTATTCAAGGAGAGACCTGCCAATTAAGGCAGAGAGAGAGAGAGAGAGTTCTTTAACAGAATTATACAGTATTTATTTATATTTAGATAATATTAAAAAAAAACGTTTATTTTCATCAACTTTGCACGCTGGCAGATGTCACTACCATTTGAGATTTTTAAATAATCAAAAACATTTAGTCCGCAATAGATGTATTAGGGACAATCTTAGTTACCTTATTTACCTAATGGCCATCCACAAGAGGTGGCCATGCCGAAGGAAGGAGGTCATGGTCTGTGTGGGATCCCACTATTGTTCTTGATAATTTTGTCAAGGGTTATTTTGAAGCCCATTACTGTTTTTTATTTCACAGCTTGTTGATGACGAGCAAGAGCATATGGTGTAACCTCTGTACAATAATGTGTAAATTACATTGATTTTTTATTTAAGTGAGATGAAACTACGAAAGCTTGTATACCAAGGCTAGTTGTAGTAGTAGTGGTGGTGGTACGAGAAGCAAGTTTCTCCGACACACTAAACCCTTGGTTGTTGTTTGTAAGTTTTGTGACATGAGCGTTATGTTTTCGCTTGTCTCTGGCATCACTTGACGAGATCACTTTAACCTGTTCATTTTGTATGCAAATTATCTCACTTGATGCTTTTTTATATTAATATCAGTAAACTTTGTCAATAGTGTTATATTGAACTAGATGATTGCTTGCTAATATTTTTTATTAATACAAATTTCCTGTTTCTGCCTGTTGTAATCATTATTGAGCAAAATGGGGAGGGCCTTGAGTTGTTTGAATGAACTGTAGTGGACCCTTGCCTATTGATGTTGTAAAAATATATTTCTGCTCTTCAACAACTAAAGTCCGAGTTAGTAAATACACAAGTCATCAAAAACAAATTAAGAGGGATACATCTTACGCACTGATGCTCGCCAGGAAAAGAATCCTATACAGGTATATGACTTATGAGTGTACCGGAGACAGGACGAGATAGAAAGGCGACACAGGTTGATAAATTACCAACAAAGGTGCTGTTCTGCAGCTTGTAGCCAGGCCGCGGAGAACACTGTTTCTCGCCGCCAGGAGGCTGGTAACACAAGCTCCTCTCAGGATCGTTGCACTCACATCCAGTACTAATGTCATCTAAAAGCAGGTAATAAACATAAGATATTAGTCGAAAACGCTGCTGCGCCTTCACGCCAGGTGTAGGATGCAAAGCTTACCAATTTTAGATAAGGGTCCTGATAAAGTGTACACAGTATGTTCCCTAAGTCTTGTTTATTGTTTGGAATACTGTACTGAGACATTTCACATCAGCTAGATTCTATTTTAGCAACAGGTTGTTTCGAGTCCGATGTAATTGAAGAAAATGCAGGTTAGTTCATTTTCCAAACCAATATCTTTATGCAAAACAAAACTTTTAAAACTTACTACACCTGTATTCTCAGTTCATTATATGATTTGAGACTGCGTTGTTCTGTACAGTGTTCATCTTTGCTTAATTTTAATTATTTTTATGATCGAACATACTAAAACTATTACCGTTATAAAAATTCTCTTGAAAGCAGGTTGAGTAAGTAATGTCGTGTCAGATAAAATAACAATATTGAATTTACGAAACGGATAGAACCGTGTTTTGATAACCCAAATTTATTTTCAGAAGTTTCGAATAATTACATTCCTTATCATTAGTGTTACGAAGTAATAAAAGCTGCTTTGCACTAGAATAAGCAGTGTTCGAATTAAAACAATTACAAATAACGTAGTAAAAAGTAAATTTCATATTCCGAAAATTTCTAACCGTAAAATAGAATTGATAATTGCTTAAAGTCAGTATATGTTATATTAAAACCTAAATACAGTAAGATATTGTATCTAAGAAAACAACAATTAAAAATAATACATGATGAACGTGAATGGCCAAACTGATATAGCCTATTGACTAAAACGCATCAAGTAATTACGTTGAAATAAGATCGTTAAAATAATAAAACAATGAAAATCTAAAATGTATTGAACATATGCAAATTTCTTTATAATGTGAAAGACGTATGAACCACCAAAGAGGTCGTTACTCGGGGTACAGTTGTGGTGCAGACATGAGTGTTGTTGAGCTACGGCGTCGTTCCCATGGTGGTACTGGAGGGCCCAGAGGGAGTCGGACGACCCTGGGTCAGTCCTCAGTACCCTGAACCCCCCCACGAGAACGGATAGTCCTTCATAAGAAAGTGCTTACAAGTGTTCACAAATCCTCGGTTGTAGAAGACTTATGGTAAAATCCATGTGTCGTGCATTATATTACGTATAAATGAAAACAAATATGCAACACTGGATTGTAGTTTACACGGGAGACAGACGTTATTTCGGAGGGACACAAACTATAGTGGAGCTGTTTCTGAATTTGAAATTATAACAGGTACTTTGACCAGAAAAATATAGTTAGAAAACGAACAGCAAAAATATTATCATGGTTGAGCAGGTTTCCTGTGAAACTTGATCTGAAGGACTGGTCATGGCAACTTACCTCTGGAGTTGTTTTCAAAAATTGAAATCCACACATCCCAGGTAAGTTAATTTGACAGTTCATTTCTTTACGAGCGTCAGAGAAACGAAAGTTTAAATATTTGCGAATGACTGATACATGTTTTGACGCAATTTATCTTATATATCTTAGAGACCATTCTAGTGGAGTCCTAACCCTGTGAACGCAAGCCTACGGAAATACTCCTAGTAAAATGGCAGCGTGTGTAGACCATCGCTGAATATATGTCTATCTGTAGAATAATCACTTACTTCAGTTGGCTAACACGTCATCAAATTAATACTTTACTCATGCTTATTCACAAACTGGGTTTCAGAATACTTAATGAATGTAAGTAATGCATGTATACTGCATTAATTTAATGGGTCCGCAATACTCACTGAGCACACATCGTCGTTGTGTATCATTCCAGGTGTAGCCAGTGTAGCACGAACAGGTGTACATGGCAGGAGGGTCGGTGTCAACACATATGTGGTCGCAGTCGTGTAGGGACGGATTCAGGCACTCGTTCACATCTGTACAAGAGAGCTCATCAATATATTACCACAGGTGAATGAGATGTAATTTGCAGGTGTGAAAGGGAGGTAGGAAATGTTTAGGGGGAAGAAAATTAGACTGGAGGCGTATAAAAGAGCGAACTACTACGTTTTAACTCTTCCTAGCATTTTGTTAAATTATTTTTAGAAAAATCGTGCTGTTCTTGTGTTTTATTTACATATCCACAGTAAAGCTACAATGCCTTTATAATATAGTTCACCAAAAGCCGGTCACTAGGCAGGTAGGTCATCAGAGCAAGTGACGAATTACCTGAATGATCACTTCCTGGTAACGCACTTCTGTAATGACGCGCCACTATATCTAAGCCACTTGATTTACCCACCCCGTGTATTTATAATCCAGACTTCAGTAGATCGAATTTCCCAACAAGTTACTGTAATCATTTACCATCTCTACGATGAGCAAACTAATCTCTTCATTAAGTTGAACTATTGTAGCTCGTCTAGTAGAGTATTATCATAATTCCATGAAATTTAAATGCAACGTAAGTCGTAAATCCATGCATACTAATCATAATATACGCAATATGTTTAGAACAATAGTGCATTCTACATAAAAATATAACTATTCAACGGTGTATATTTATACAATAGTCTTCCATCGGTGTCTTGCTGGTTAGAATCCATCTTTTGTCATTTGTAAAATTATGGGGAAGGAGATTTAGAATATTAAATAAGCGCATGCTCACGAGTATCACGTGACATCAACACTTCTGCTGATTGGCTTCATCAGAAGTAAACACTGGACAGGGTGTACCATTTAAATCCAAACCAAACAACAATCACAAATTACTCTACAAACACGATATCAGAAGACTATATGCTCCCAGTTTTGTGTAATGGACTCTCCCAACGTTCTCCGTGATACTCATTTAAAAAACCGTTTTAGGAAATATAGCTTCAGAGTCTTGTCCACTTTGAACAACCAATATTGTTGGTAATTGGGGGGTTCAGATCTCCATCACGACTCGTTTGCGACGGAAATGAAGGTCAGATTCGCTTGAAGCAACATAAAATACAATAGGAAAACTATTTTTGTTTGTAGTTTCCGTTTTTTACCTAAAACGAATCTTTACTGTATGAAGTATATAAAGAAGAAACACTTACTAATACAGGAACCTTGGGAGCCCCGCAGGTAGCCTTGCTTACAGGGACACTTGTGGCTGCCGGGGACATTGACACATTGCTCAGTATCGCCACAGACTCCGCTGCTCCCTGTTCCTGAACATTCGTCCACGTCTGGGAATACACAAAGAATTGTCTAAATATATTTGTTTCACCCGAAGGTTAAGGCGATTTATAATAATGCTATGTACTACTCTTAATATTTTTTATACAATAAAATCCGTGAGTACTGATTATCTGGCTGTTTCTGCGCTAAATGTGCCGAGGACTCCAGCAAATGCAATCTACAGTATCCGTGCCTCGTGTCAAGCTATACTTAGTGAGAACTTCACATGCGGCTAACGTATTGAATACCTGATGACCTTAGTCATTTTGCGTGGCGTGCCTCTGAGAACTTACAGAAGTATACAGTATATTTTTTTCGAAAAAAAAGACCAAGGTACTTTAATTATTTGTAAAAATACACATTTCAAATCATATTTAATTATCATTGCTTTTTTGTCAGCAGATGCTTCCCTGATGGAGTTATGTATTTTCTTTTTCACTCCCGGTATTTCTTTCCATGGTTATATAATTTGATGTCGACTGCTTTCATATCTGTAAGGACGGATACTTTGTTTATGCACGTGACAGTACTGCATATCAAGCCCTCTTCATGCACCTACCATCTACAGTGTTACTAATAAGTTGTAACTGTACTTTAATCTTGATCTCTGAAGCGCATAACACACACAAACGATATAAAGTATCATAAACACCATCACCCAGGTTATCACGTAACCTCTCATTAAGACTGCTAGTATCATAACACTAACAATTAAGTTTTCTATGAAACCCATCATCATTGCAACCATCACATTCTTCATCGTCACCAATACCATATCGACATCATTATCACAAACAGTAATAACTTAGGAGCCACTGTCATCACTAGTACGAGTTTATTCTGTGAACTTCATAAAAATGTCGGAAAAAGTCACGGGAAAAGCCACAAACCTGACTTAACCTAAGTTAATTAACCTACCCTAACTTAACCCAATCTAAATTAATTTAGGATATTTAAAAGATGTGTCTATATCCTATGACTTGTTTTCGTCGCCGAGAATGTGACTTTTTACGTGACTGTTTCCGGACACCCACCACCAGTTCTATGCTTGTCTGTTGGTGAGGGTGAGAATGTAGGGGACCTGGAGTTAGGGAATCGCAGTGTCACCACCAAAAGCCTGCCCCTTCATTGTCAACGCCACCAACACATTCCTCTTACATTATCACCATCGTCACACTCACACTGTACCTTGGCAGGTGTCGTTGGCCAAGATATATCCACTGCCACACTGACAGGTATAGTCGCGCTCTGCCTCGGCGGAGTCCTTGCACTTCTTCCCTGACCCGAGGCCGCACACCTCGTCCCCGAAGTACTGGCAAGGACCTATTGGACGAGGTCAAAGGTCAGGAATAGGGAGAGATGGAGAATCACCGAGAAATATATGAGGGAGGGTAGGGCTTTTTATCTTGCTGTTAACATGGATATCGTCTAAGAGAAGAGAACATGTTAATCTAACCAAACAATTTGGCTAAATACCTAGTTAAGTAGAAACTCCGAATCACTTGAAGATTTAATCTCCAGCTCGTTGGCTTATTTCACATGAAGATTAACTACACAAATGTTAACCTAACCTAATCTAACTTAACCAATCCTCTAACCCAATTTATCGTAATCTGACTTGACCTAACCCAACCCAACGTTTAGGTAGTTGTAAGGTTGTTAATCTCCAAGTGTTATATGCTAGTGGGGGCAAAAATTCAGTTGATCCGACATTCTATTGCCATTGTCAAATAATTATATACAAAGCGAGGAAGGAAAACAAAAAGATTGTCATTCAACTAATGACTGAGTTTTAAGAGTTCGTGTCAAGGGTTCAAAGTAAACATAACTGATTTTCGTGGTTAGCACACACACTCGTGCACAAGTTTCACCTCAGAACCCCCACCGTAAAGTCACACCTTCCTTCTAGTCCGCATTTCCATTCGTGTTCTGGCTAGGCTAGTGGGTGCCGTGTTCAGACTAGGGAAATTCTACGATATAATTGTGCAACGGAAGCCCGTGTCTAGTGAACATAATGAGGGAAGGTCCGGGCACCAACATGTGTTAACAACACTTGTGAAAGTTGTGAATAGGGATGTGTCGTGACTCACCTGTCTCCTCTCCGCTCCACCCCTACCTACAGTAGATAGATCAATGCCAACTCCGTTTGGTAGTATAGACTATGTTAAACAACAACCAGTACTGAGAGTAATTTGATACTAAATAATATTAAGAAATAACAATGATAATGTTGATTAACTATCAAAGTACATTAGACTAAACTACAACAGCAGCAAAAATGCAATATAATATGGTTGCTGTGTTGTTGTTTTTTACAAAATCTACGGCAATTGTTACTAACAATTTTCACCCTTTCACAGCGGGAGGTTTCCCAAAGCTGAATAAAATCGTGTGGTGGCAGCCAGAATAAAATGGCAAGTGCGTGACACGCAGTGAAAGGGTTTATAAAACTACTACTAATAATAATTAGACCTTGATCCATAATCACGTTTATTACAGTTCATTATTATAAATCTTTAATAAAGTTTGCCGAATTTTCGTAAATTAAACCTACGTTAAGTATACTTAGGGAGTAAATTCGCCGTTCTTGTCTGGTCTTTCGGCGAGACCTCGTGACTTGTTTGTTGTCATAATTATGTTGCTAGACTGTTTGGAACACCTGTGGCTTCTGCAGTGTACAGGGGCAAAAATGAATGCAGGGAATCTGGTACACACGATCAATAACGACTGTATCACGATTTTATTGAAATTCTATATCTACCTCAACATCCATCTATCTATCTATCTATCTATCTATCTATCTATCTATCTATCTATCTATCTATCTAATCCACCACCAGCAGGTCGACCTTGGCCCTCTAATCTCGTTGTTTGCTCGACACACCCCCCCCCCACTCTCCCTTCGCTCCACCACCTTATCCAATCGAATCCCCCCTCCCCCCAACACACGCTCATGGTGGTGGTGTAGCCTAGTTTGTCGCATCACTTTGAGTCAGGAGAAAGTGATTACCGATTGATTTGACACCCAAGCTTATTTCACCTGAAGATTAAACACCCTAACCTAACCCATCGTAAACTAAAATAACGCCCCTCCCTCCCAGTAGCGTTAGGGTATTTCAGCAGATGAAAATAAGCTGGGGTGTCGAATCTTCAGGTAATCCAATATTTTTTTTTACTATGAAAGGTATTTTGATGTTTTACTGTGCACTGTTTCTCAACCAGATGCATTCATTACTATTTGAGAATCCCTTTCACACACACACACACACACACACACACACACACACACTGAAAACAAGATGACTCAATAAAAGAACACTGGATTGTGTATGTAGGTTTAGAATTAGTTAAAAAGAAAATAATATACTTATAATTAATAAATTTATAAGTAAACACATTTAGAGTTAAGAGGTAGAAATAGTTAATGTACATATGCTAAATAAAGAGATATATAGATTTATAAATGATTAAGGAGTACACAAATATATAAACGAATAGACAAGTAAATGGTAGTAGAAAGACATAAACAAATGAACCACGTACTCTGACAGGAGGCGGTGAAGGGGTCAAACTTATAGTGTTGGGGGCAGCTGCAGGTTACCAAGTTGCAGGTCAGGTGGTAACAGGTACTCTCGGCTGGACAAGTCACGACGTGGGCGGCACACAGGTCAGGGCAAGGACAGTGTGTAGTACCAGGGAGGGCAGGGTCGTTGGTCCAGTTGGTGACGCACACACACTGCCCATCAATCAGTTCAGTGTTAACCCCACAGGTCATCTCGCCTGTAGGACACGAGATCACGTCGGGTTAACCAATAGAATTAATGATGATAATGATATATACTGATATTATTACTACAACTACTAGTAATAATAATAATGATAATAATGATAAAGATACCTAAAATAATAATACTTATACTTGTTAGTAATAATAACGGTTATAATAGTGACAACAGTAATACCAATAAGGTAATTCTTAAACTCGGTATCGCAGTATAATTCCGTCATGCAGGCTGGGCTCTCTTGATCTTTTAAAATAGGCAATACGAATAGGCCAAACCTAACCTAAACCACCAGTCCTAATGTAATGAATCTTGACTATATCGCGATGAGTTAGGTAAGGTTTGGGCTGGGTTGGTTCGTTTTAAATAGCTGCATGATACCGCAGCCACTGTGAAGGGGGTGAGAACCGCAAAACTGAGCACATCAGTTGACTAAAACGAGGCACATCTACTGTTGTATTACAGGTCACAGTGTACAGCATAAGACAGTGTTATGGCATCTAAATTGTTTGTCACTGGTTATGTAAATGTGACAGACAACATTCACATTAATTCACAATTTCTATAATTTTGTTTAGGTTATTTGCACAGGCCGGTAAAAAATATTGAATTAGTATGTCTGTGTTTGTTTCTGTTTTTCATAAAATCAACAACACACATTAGATATCTATATATTTTTTTCGGTTGTTTATAACATTACAGACGAGACGTGTATTAAACAAATGGAGTTTAAGAATTAATAACATCATCATTGAAATTGTGAGATGAAAATTACCATTGATGTGGCCTCAGACTCATGAGTAACGGGACAGTAAAACAAATGATATGTGACACCTACGCCCGTCTGACGCACTGACTTACTGGTGGTGGGGGCCGCTGTTGTCACGTTAACAGGGACCTTGGTCATGTTGGCTGGTGGTACTGCTGGTGGTGCTGTAGTGACGGTGTCAGTGTCGTTCCCACCACCCCCTGTCCCTCCTCCTCCCCCAGGGATGGTGGTGTCGTCGTTACCCTCGCTCACTGCCGCCTCTCCTGCCTCCGTGGTCAAGGTGTGGTTCTCGCCTCCTGTCACTACTCCTCCCTCTGCTCCTCCTCCTCCCGCTGCTGTTACTCCTCCCTCTGTTATTCCTCCTCCTCCTCCCTCTGTTACTCCTCCTCCTGCTGCTGTTACTACTTCTCCTCCCTCTGCTACTGCTACTCCTCCCTCTGCTGCTACTGCTCCTCCCTCTACTGCTTCTCCTTCTGCTGCTCCTCCTCCCTCTGTTCCTCCTTCTCCCTCTGCTGCTGCTCCTCCTCCTCCTTCTGTTACTCCTCCTGCTCCTCCTTCTGTTACTCCTCCTGCTCCTCCTTCTGTTACTCCTCCCTCTGTTATTCCTTCTCCTCCTGCTGCTACTGCTTCTCCTTCTGCTTCTCCTCCTCCTCCTTCTGCTGCTCCTCCTCCTCCTTCTGCTGCTCCTCCTACTTCCGTGTTGTTTGCGTTCGTCGCACTTGTTGGTGTCGCCTGGCTGTCATTCACTCCACTTCCACCCTCACCACCACCAGAGGCGTCTCCCTCATCGTCGCTGCCTGTGAAGTTCTGTGTCAGGTCGTTTTCGGTGAATTCTGCGGTCGTGACTCCTTCAGGCTCCTCTGGTGAAGAATAGAAAATGAAGCACAATGGAAATCGATCATCAATTCCGACATCCCCAGCGATTACTAACAATTAATAACTGGCGGCTTCCTGGATGATGGTCTTAAAATGGACTGAGAGCCAAATAGGGGTTAACTCTGCCTTGATCGATGCTCTTTCATGCGTGTACCATAACTCAACTTACCATAACCATATCGGTAATCACTTCTAAGCATTATAAATAACTGTTACAAGTGTTATGTCTAAATATGTATTTTAACATGTGCTAAAAACAACAACTCAGGATAGTGTAATGAGATCATAGTGTTTTGTTGTAGAAATCTCTCTCTCTCTCTCTCTCTCTCTCAGGACTAGTACACCCAACTTCATCTTGACGACACCCTCCCTAATACGATACATCCTAAGACTATTATACTCGTACACACCCACTACACCCACTTTAAGGCCGCACTACACCCTTCACACCCACTTCAGAGCCACATCATAAGATATCTACACTCTTGGGGTATATCAAGCTCTCTCATACAACTAGAACAACATCCCATTATCTTCCATGCTTATCTAAAATGGTGACCTAACCAAACCTAACCTAACCTAGTGAATATGACCTCCTCACCTTGGTCAGCCGTCGTCGCCGCCGCCATCAGACACATCACCACCGCCGCCACTGCCACTCGCCGCCACCCTCCCCCTGACGTCATCCTGTAACACGTGCTATAATCGTCAGAACAGTTTTAGCGTGGGAGGGTTACAGTATCACACACCTGTGCTAGGTCACAGGTGTGTGCGGGTTTACACAACTGGCGTTAGGGAAATGTCATACCTGTTTTTTTATATATGCTGATGAAGCCTTGAGTCATTTTATGCATTAGTGTTGTCATTATTAACAGTAAATATAGCATCACTACCGTTATTATTATTACTATTATTATTATTATTATTATTATTATTATAGCAGAGATTCACTGATGATGGCTATACAAGTTTCTATTAAGTGTGTATACAAGATGTGTCATTAACGATGTGTCATGAGGATTAAAAAAATAATGGATTACCTGAAGATCAGACACCCTAGCTTAATTCACCTGTAGAGATTAATCACCCTAATGGTTACCTGGGTTAATTAGATAGGTTAGCTGAAGTTAGGTTAGGGTGGTTAATCTTCAGGTGATCTTGTCCTTGTACTACCGAGGCTGTTGCTCTTGTACCATCACACCTTCCCACATGTGCCAGGTGACTGAAGTGTGTTAATGGTACCAGTTTTCCGGGTCGTGTTGGTGTTTATTTCTTTACGTTGTGATTCATCCGTCCATCGCTGTCCTCTTTACGGCTTATATTCATCTAGATTCATAATTACAACGACGTAATTCACAGCCATGAAGGTAAGGAGTGAACGAGGTCACTGTATGTGGCCCCTTTGAAAACACCCCAGTTTATGTTCTGAGTGAAAATATTAAGGGATTTTTAATGTTTCGTATATAAGAGTGATGGTAAGATAAAGAGAATCCTTGATTAGTAAGTAGGTTCAGAGGTAATTATCCAGGCTCTTGTTCTTCTCTTATTACTGGATATCTGTTATTAATGTGATGCAAATTTCTTGGAACATATACTGCTCTCTCTTTCTCTCTCTCTCTCTCTCCTTGATAAACTGATTTTGATTAGAATTCGTTGCTGATAATTACAAATAACGACGCTAATTCTGAGAAAGGTGTTGCAGTAATTAGTAAGAGCACAGTACAGGGGCAGCATGACAATTACACCACCAAGTACTACATAAGATTATACAAAGGAAGCCGGATACTGTTCCTTAATACACTGTATTTATGTCTCCGGAAGCCATTGTAAGTGACCAAAAGTTTGCCTCGAGTGGGAAAGTATTCGTGGATTACCTGAAGATTAGACACCCTAGTTTATTATCACCCACTGGCTTAGCACTTAATCGCGAACCTAACCTAACTTAACTTAACCGAATCTAAGGTGACCTAACCTAACCCTACTGGAAGGAAACCGCTCCAGGCTCTGTTGGCTGACCTTTGTCGAGTATACTGTTTACTATTCTGTGTATGCCCGTCACTGACTAGATATTGTACATTATAGACTATATACCAAGTTTTCTATATACATACTCAACTATACAATATTACGTGTATTATCTGTATATAACCTGAACCACGTGTAAATTTGTATGGCGGTTTTACTGAATAAATATATACTGTATGTCTATCTCTGTAACCAAGTTCCTCCTGGTAGCATTGGAGAATATAATCATAAATTGGATTAGCTGGGGTGTTTAATCTTCAGGTGATCTATGGTCGTAAACTGGTCGGTTACTCTAAAGTATTGAACTGATGATTGAAATCTTGAGGAGGATTATGTGATGGTACAAAATTTTTACCCGTACAGTTGGAGACAAAATTCCCACGACACTTGGTAATATCTGGCATCATAATTTAAGGGTGGCGTAATTGAGGGGGAAGGTTGATGATATTTTATCATTAATTAACTCAGATTTTTCCGTGTGGTAAAGAGTGTTTTTTTTTCATGTCTCTCTGACATAAATTATTATGAGAAGTTGTTTTTCAATAGCTATAAATCAAACCAACATGACTCACAAGTAAATGCCAGATATTACTATGTGTTGAGGAAGTTTTTTTTAATAATTCTATATACCTTTTTTTTGGCACCGTGAATATGTTGCTGTTGACACCTGAATGAATTAAGTCTCTAAATCACCGTAATAGTTTTATCGGACATTAATTTACCCGGTACTTCACACCAGGAGAATCATCTCTATTTATTGTGTATTTTAGTGTAGATTATTTATATTTTTAGTTGTGGTCGTGAGGTGTGGTTGGGGGACCTGTCATGTAATGGGTGTATACAGTATGTTGCCGTCATACATTGTCCTCACTCTAGCTCCCTGATGCACCCTGTGTGTGTGTGTGTGTGTGTGTGTGTGTGTGTGTGTGTGTGTGTGTGTGTGTGTGTGTGTGTGTGTGTGTGTTTAAAGAAGACGTTGTGTGAAATGTATCTATGGGGTTAAGAATCAGTGTCATATTAACTTTGATCCCCCGAGATAACCTGGAAATATGTAGACAGGTAGAACGTATATACCAACACACGTAATATATATATTTTTTTTTAAACATTAAAGTTCACACACACACACACACACACACACACACACACACGTCGACCTCATAAGATATGCAGCTCTTAATAGTACTGAATGCGGTACTCTAACGATAGTCTCTGCCACTTAACCCGAGTCACTAGTATGTCGTCACGTAACACATTCACCGTGGAAGAAAATAATCGTCCCCCTCATGCCATCAAAGACACCAGAAATCGTGCCTGATAGCGAGTCATGAAGGCGTGTCTTAGTTCGTGTAAAAATCGACTGTATGAATAAATAATGCTATTACCAAGGAAGAAAAATTTAACTAACTAATCTCTCTTTTTAGATCACATGAATATTACCCTCAGCTTGGTTCACATTAAGATTAATCACTCTCACGCCAAACAAATCTAACCTAACCCTTCCAGGCAATTTTAAGGTGTTTAATCATCAGGTGCAATAAGCTTGGGAGGGGGTTAATTATCATTTGTTTCCCTTTTAGTGGCAGTTCTGTGCCTCATAGCGCCTACGGACACCATTATTGAATATCGTAAAATGTATCGTGAATGAATACAAAAGTTGAAGTTTGTGAAACAAGAGGAACGTGGAGAGTTTTATCTATGACTTATCGGGTTAAGTCTGTAATTGGAGAGGTATTGATAAAGAACCTTCTCGTGTACGGTGGTAATATTTAACATCGGCTAATATACAGAAACACCGTTGGATCACGTGAAGATTAGACACCCATCCGGGTTTATTTCACCCGATGATTAAAACATCCAAACTTTAACTCTCTGGGGTTTAAGGGTAAGCTAGGTTAGGTTAAGTTTGGTTGAGCTAGGTTCGGTTAGGTTAAGTTAGGTTAGCTTGGTTAAGTTATACTATGTTAAGTTACTCCAGTTTAGCTTGGTTAGGATAGATTAGGTTTAAGTTAGATTAGGTTATGTTGAATTAGGTTAGGTTGTTGATTTAGCTCGGTTAAATTGGGTTAGCGTTAGGGTGTTTAACATTTAGGTGAAATAAGCTGGAGGGATTCATCTTGACGTGATCCATACCGTTACCTCTTGCCACAGTATTACTAACTTAGAGACTCTTCCGAACCTCTTCTTATACTGTATATCACACGAGTTTATTAAGTGATCAAAATAAAAATTGACAGAACATCATTATAATAGCACAAGGATAAATATGTTTCTTTCTCTGTGTCTGTCTGTCTGTCTGTCTGTCTGTTTCTTTCTTATTATTTACTCACTTTTATCGCCTTTATCCCATTAATCTATTTGGTCACTACATCTTCCTTGCCCACACCTCAACACATTGTTTAACCCCCTTAGTACGAAGACTTAACCCTTGAGTATGACTATTAAACCCATTGAGTACAAAAACAAAACCCCTTGAGTGTCTTAGACTCTTTGAATTCGATTATTTAAATTATCGTACTCAATGGGCTAAATTTTTTTTATTTTGGAGATGAATCGTCGTACTCAAGAGGTTAATTTGTCGTCATCAAATGGTTTGCTCATTGTACCCAGTGTTAAGTCATCGTACTAAAGGTGTTAATTCGTTGTACTCAAGGGTTTAAATCATGGCAATAAAAGGTTTAAAATATAGTACTAAATGGGTTAAATCCTCATACTCAGGGATTAAGCCACAGAGCTCAGGGGGTTTAATATCGTACTCAGGATTTGTCATCGCACTCAACTTTATATATTCTTTCCTGGTACTTCTCTCCTCCCGCTGTTAACTCAGTTTCCTCTTCTCCTCCATTTTGATGTTGTTATTTTTCTTTATAACCTTTGTATTATGCCCTCCCTCCCCCCGCTCATTTTATTTGACGTTTGAATGGTTACCTTTCTTTTCACGTCGTATCATCACTTAACCTAACCTAACCTCTCCTCTCCTCTCCCCTGCTCTCTCTCTCTCTCAAGCGTTTGCCACCACTCCCCTGCCCCCATCTCCCCCACCCCCCTCCTTCATAGGTACTGCTTGAACCCTCTCCTTCCCACCTGCCAACTCCCCGTCCACCCTCACCCCACAACAGCCATAAGCTCTGGTCCCTCGTTCCTCCTTTATTTTTTTTTCCACGACACATAAATATCAAGCAGCATGACCCACCAGCCACCTGCCTACCTCCCTCCCTCCACTTCCTCTACCCCCCCCTGCCTACCTCACCCCCCTCCTCCTTCCTTTCCTCTCCACTACCATTACCTGCCTCCCCACCCTTAATCCACCACCATCTGCCTTCCACCCTTCCTCTCTCCACCTCCACCACTACCATTCTTACACTTATCACCACCCTTACCATTTTCACCATTACCGTCACTTTCACCACTACTACCACTCTCACCACTACAACCACTCTCACCACTACCACCACTCTCATCATTCCCACCACCGGTGCTTGCCTCCTACCACTACCTTCACCACCACCCTCACTACCACCACTACCACCAGCACCTGCCTCCCATCACCAGGTTACAAGCCATGGACCAACTGGCAACCTGTCTCTATTGTCCTAGTTAACAGGGAAGTTTTTATATACATCACGTTTTCGTAGTAAAAATTATAATTATTATGTTTTTGTTGAGTATTTTTAGTAGTAGTCGTATTATTGGTATTTCGTTGGTATTGTTGATTAGGCAATTAACATGTTTTTGTCTAGATGGCTTTTTTTTTTTGCTGAAAAGCTATTTGTTATGATCTTGTCGAAGTTTTTGTTTTGTTTTATTGTTCGTGTCGAAAAGGTTTTGGGATTTTATGTCTTGATCTAAGGGGCTAAAATATTGTTACGACCCTCCTTTCACCGCTCATCCACCTTCCACCACTGGATTACTAGCGGCCAGGTGGTCGTATATACAGAAGTAGTAGATATACGAGTATCAAAAGTGTCGTCGAATTACCACTGGCTGTCCCGCCAGTCTCCGGCAATTCCCCAACGATCGGTATCAGTGTACAGACAAACAACAGGCCGGTAGATTTCCACCAGGTCACAGAAACACACTTGTGAACTGTTGTCTTTAATAGTCACTAATTCTTCACAACACTGTTCACAGGGTATAATGTCTTCACAGCCGGACTTCTCACTTCGAATATGTAGTCAGCACACCACCAGTGTACAATTCCTTAGTCTTTTCACTTTTATATTGCTCTCAACAATTCCACAATACTTGCACAACAATTATCTTCGGTTGTCCTTTTAGACTTGTACTTCACAGTCTGAGCAGAAACGGTCGACTGACTCCTAGTCAGCTCGCGGGTGTTCCGAGAACAACCCAGACAGGACTGGGAAGTTCTAGTACGTTCTACTCTGGTCGAGGCTTACAGTAGGAATTAAATCATAACACAAATGATGCAATACATACTAGAAAATTCTAACATGGATAATACATTAATATGTACAAGAAAATCTCCCTAAACTTTGCCAAAATAACTGCTGCTTGGGACAGAAAATAGTCAAAACACCAAGTTTACAAACATTATAATACCAAATTATGCCTCGACATAACAGTACATGTGTGTTTTAAAGTTCCACATGAAGGTTATCTATGCTGAGGTTGTTAATGGTAATACAAAAAAACGTGTATTAATCATTAGCCATATAAATGTGGATGTTTTCATGGTAAGATGATCGCATAGTCTAACCCACTCCCATGGTCTGTTTCTAAGTATTAAAAGGCAACACGAGATGATAAAGTCTCTTCAATGAAACTACAGGGAGGAATAGGAAGTGTTTTGTGTGTTTACCTCACTTGTCTAGAGCTGGGATGGGAAACTGGCCCACCAAGGGTATTAGGATGACCCGTGACCATAATTGAATTCATTATCTTTTAAGTGGACCTGTTGAGTATTTTTTAAATAATTTTTTTCAAACTTTCTCAATTTTATTCAATATGTATCTATACTCTGACTGTACATACACGATGTTTCAGTTCGTTTGAGAAATAATTAAAAATATATAAACCTAAAGAAAAATATAATATAAAAAAAATCGAGGGGGCTTTGCAAATGATGCCAAGATCTAAAAAAAAAATAATTGTATTATAAAAGCAATACTTTCTGTTTCAGTTGCAAAGTCGTGTCCAGCTCAACATACATGGTTTATTGGTTCGAGTCCAATCACCGTGGAACTGTACTGGGAGGATATTCCTGGGTAGCGAGCATACCCATTATAGCTGCAAGGATTATTATTAACTTGGTCTAGATCCTGAAGGTGAGTACTAAAATTTCGTACTTTGATACTCTTAGACTCGATAAGTAATCAGGTTTCTTACTTCCTTCACTTTTAGACTTTTAAGTACTCAGGGTTTGTACTCTGCACTCCTAGACTTTAAAGTACTCAAGGTTCGTACTTCCTGTTCTCTTGGACTCAAGGTTCTTAAATTTTTTACTCCCTGCAGTCTTGGACTCGGGTGGTTAATCTTAAGTTAGGGTAGGTTAGATTAGCGTTAGGTTGGTTAAAGTAAAAGTGAAATAAGCCGGGAGACTAATACTCGTGTGATCCTTTGTGAAAATATTTAATACTTTACTTGCATCGAACACATCTTATGGAAATCAGCAAAGTCAGTGTCGTAATGTTAATAACTAATGTTCACACGCACCTGAGTCTCCGAACTCGTAGAATGAGTTTCCGAACTGTTTCTCTACCCAAAGAGGCGCTGTAATAGCACATTTAAATTTGATGTAATTTCGAACTGGAACGCAGAGGAACTTTATGGCCACGACTCCCAGATATGTTCAACTTGAAAACATAGAAAATAAGTTAAATTAAAAAATAAATTATTGAGTCACATGAAAATTAGCCCACCAGTTTATTAAACATCCTAAAGCTATCGGGAAGGGGGTTAGGTTAGGTTAAACTAGGCTAGATTGTTAGGCTAAGCTTAGATTAGGTTAGGCTACTCTAGGTTAGGCTAGATTAAGTTATGTTAGGTTAGGGTAATGTGAGAGAATTGAATTATCAGATGAAATGTACTAGAAGGCCTAATCTTCACGTGGTCGAAAACATATATATATATATATATATATATATATATATATATATATATATATATATATATATATATATATATATATATATATATATATATATCTATTTATATATATATACTATGTATTTGGTACTTAATATTTTACACTAAGTTTACCTGAGGTTTCTCGTTCGTTCAAAAATGAGTTTGCTGTAATCATTTATTCGGGTTTGTCTTAAAAACTTCAAATAATAAAACAACTTTAGTTATACCTGAAAACAAATATTTAAATCATGACTTAGATAACTCATGAGAGAAGTAATTGAAGAAATCGCGTGATTTGTGTATTATTCTAACTCTACGAATATTGTAGTTCACTGTTAAATTTATTTTTTTTTTGTCTGCGTGGCCTGGAGAGTTGATGTTCTATAAGTCAGATTTACCATCTGATTATACAGCACAGTGTTGTAAATATTTGGTCCACCTTCGTGTGGATGTTTTTACCAGGAAGCTCTGTGGCTACGTTTTCTTGGAGGTGGAGGCGGCGGCGAGTACAATGTTATGAGTGTTGACAGCTGTTTTATTTCCTTACACTTAAAGCACTTTGCCTTCATATTGTTACTTTCCTTGGGTCACACGACGATCAACCCCTGCTTATTTCACCTGATAATTAAACACCATAACCTACAGGTGATCCTAAAATAATGCCTTCGTAACGTGACAAAGAATGGTTACAACTCTGGCACGAGAGGGTATAGAATTTATAAGTCCCAAATTATCCAGGCACCCGTTCCTAGAGATTATTTTGTAGGTCTATCGGTCTCGGTTACCAACAACGACAATATCAAGGAAGTCGATAATCACCCTAGGCCTAATAATATCGTATAAGATTATAAATAATTAAAAACTGGTGTAATACCAGAATCCTGGAGGATAGCGAATGTGATACCGATTTTCAAGAAGGGAGATAGATCACTATCCTCTAACTACCGTCCAATCAGTTTAACATCACTTGTAGGAAAATTGCTGGAAGCAATAATTTCAAACTATTCGAAATCACCTGGAGAAGCACAAGCATAGCTTCACAGGTGGGCGTTAATGTCTGACATTAACATTCTTTTCAACTGTTTTCGAATCAGTGGATGACGGGCACATTTATGATGTGGCATACGTCGACTTTAGCAAAGCCTTCGACAGAGTCCCCCACGAAAGACAAATACGAAAAGTGGAGGCTCATGGAATTGGAGGAGATATTAAAATGATTAGGGCGTGGTTACAGGACAGGAAACAACAGAGAGTAGGCATTAACGGCACTAAATCCGATTGGAGTAGCTTCACTAGTGGAGTACCCCAAGGCTCAGTACTTGAAATGAATGCAGTTTTAGATATGATTATTTCTGTGTTGACTTCAAAATGTAAAAATCTGAAATCTTCATTCAAATATTTTGCGGATGTTCTGGATCCTAATGCTGCAGACTATGACCCAGAAAGCTTTATTGAAGCCATGAAAAATATGTTAGAAACCTATCCATCTGAAATACCTGTCACTAAATCTCTCCGAGTTGAATTAGAAGTGTTCAACATCTACTCCGAAACAACCTTGCAAAGGATTGCCAACACGGTTTTATGCCGGGACGCTCCGCTTAACACAATTACTCAAGGTTCTGGATGCTTGGACCCAAATTCTGGAACAGGGTGGTAATAACGACAATATACTCGTATACCTATAGATTTTGCCAAGGCTTTTGACAGCGTACCCCATGAAAGGCTGAAAATTAAACTGGAAGGGTACGGGATTCGGGAAAGTGTCATAACGTGGATCGGAGACTTTCTCCATGATCGCAAACAGTGTGTGGTATTTAATGGCACGAAATCGCCATGTGTACCCGTGACAAGCGGGATACCACAAGGTAGTGTATTGGGCCCGCTGTTGTTTGTTTGCTTCATAAATGACATGCCAGAAGCTGTACACTCCTCCATACAAATGTTTGAGGACGATGCCAAATTATTTAGGAAAATTAAGAACCAAGCAGACTGTGGAGAGCTGCAGAAAGATCTCTGTGAGCTTCAAGAATGATCGAAGAAATGGCTGCTAAGATTCAATGTCACGGAGTGTAAGAGGCTGCACCTGGGACGTATCAACGGTAAGGAGGCGTTAGGTTAGATTAAGTAAGGTTGGATTAACTTAAGTAAGGTTAGATTAGGGGTTGGGGTAAGGTGGTTAATCTTTAATTGAAATAAGAGGGGGGGGGGTAATCTTCAGGTAATTCGGATTTCACTCTAAACTGACACTAGAATTTATGTATGATGAAAGAAACTACATGTGGTTCAAGAACAATATACCTTGTTAAGGATTACTGCTTGTTGCTGGTCTTGGCGGGAGGTTCTCTTTCGTCAGATCAGTTTCTCGGCTGCTTCTTACTTCTCTCTGCTGGTGAATGACGCACTTGGTGAAACTTTCGTACAGGGGAATGTTTCCGTAATACTAAGTTTATACAGAATAAGAGAAAGACCAGTTTTTATCTTGACATAGTGTAGAAGTCCAGAAAAAGTAAGAAAATTTAACGAAAATATGGTAAACAAATCATATTCGTGCTTAATGGTAGAATGCTCGCCTCACAAGTCAAAGGAATCGAGTTCGATTATTGATCGGAATAAGGATTGGGTTTTCTTCTTGTTCCCTATCCTCGTATACAGTAGTGAAACCGTCAATGGTTGTACTATCGGTTGTACTCGTCTATGGTGGAACAACCCTGCGGTGAACCAGCATCCTACCAAGAGGCCGGAGTAACCCACAAGCCGTTGAATGCAAAGATTCGGGAGATCAAGACCTGCCCGTCCAACCATGTGCTATAGCAGGTAGAGGCTTACACGAGTGAAAAGAATAGATTTATAAATGAAGTAAGACCTTATTGATTTAATATAAACCTACGTAGGACGAAATTATTGATTACGAAACATGAAAAAGGGTGTCAGGGGAAGGTGCGGGCGCCGGGTGTGGTGAAGGGCGGGGGAGAGTGAGAGTAACACGGCTGATGCAAGACACACGTACACACACACACACACACACACACACACACACACACACACTGCGAGGGGAGGAAAAAGTACTATACAAGAGGAACAATTTTCTTTAATTCCCCCAACACCAAGCCTCCCTCAGTGTCATACTTCGTTAACTAATCTAGTGTACCAAGAGTTCGTTGTCAGAACTCTTATGTGGGTAATCTTTGCTGGTCACTCAACCCTCTGAGGACGATGGCTTAGACCGTCGACCTCAAAGGGGTAAACCATTATTTTCAAAGGGTTATATCATTGTCCTCAAAGGATCAATGCATGAAATCCTAACCAAGACTGAATCCTTGGGTTTCAGATACTCAACAAACCATATAATCCATTCACTTTAAGTCATTTGTTAAATATATCACTTGACTTTATATCAAATTGGCTCAATTAGCAGTACAAGGTTTATGTCCTAAGTAGAAGGAAAATTATTATTCAATCCCTAGTCAAAATATTACCTATAAGCGTCACCTACCATAATGCCTCTATCACACTGTACAACTTATGCTGTACATAATTAAGTTAGTAGGACATGCAGGTGCTATATTGTGTACCTGCACTGTGTATGTACATTACTTGTACACCTTCACTTTCTATGAATACTTTTGTACAACCATACTGTTTATGTACATTGTATATATGAAAATTACTTATATACCTGTACTGACTGGAAACAATATTTGTATACATGTACTGTCTATGTACTTGCTGAATCGGTGTGAAATTGTATAAGGATTTAACTGACTATCTATCTACTAACCTAATGTATCTAATATGTCCGTCTCATCTCTCGAACACAAAACAGAAAATCGTTCCCTACTACACTGAAAACTGTGTCACTGTTACCATTGTCCTCCTACTTGCTAACGACCGCCCTTAACGATCTTCTTCAGGAGATCAAAGTGGAGAGAAAAGACGGAGGAGGAAGGCTTAATATAAGAGTATAATGAAATAACTGGCGTAATGACCCACTAAAGTTCAAAGGTTATCCAGTCGAATAACAGAACACCCGGGCGTCTTCTACCTCCTACTTTCTGCCCCCCTACCTCCTACTTTCTGCCCCTTACCTCCTACTTTCTGCCCCTTACCTCCTACTTTCTGCCCCCTTACCTCCTACTTTCTGCCCCCTTACCTCCTACTTTCTGCCCCCTGTTTCCTACCTCCTGTCTTCTACCTCCTATTTATTGCTCCCTATTCGTACCTCCTGCTTGGTGTCTCTTATCTCCTACTACCTTCCTCCTATCTCCTACTACCTTCCTCCTATCTCCTACCACATTCCTCCTATCTCCTACCACCTCCCTCCTATCACCTCCCTCCTATCTCCTTCCTGCTACCTGATGCTAGTGCTCGTGTACAAGGTTTCTAAAGCATAAAAATCCAATTCAACACATAAGGAAAGACTAGTAAACAGTTTCTTTCGAGTTGCAGTATACCAGAGTTTCTTAGTCACAAACTTGGATGCCAACTAGTAAATATAATACTTGATTTATAATGCGTAGCAGCCTCAAACACCATCATTATATTAACAATCATGACGCCACAGTACAAAAAAAAAATAATTGTTCCGCATCGTTGAATGAAATCGATTTCACTTTACATAAATGTAATTTTCGTTTTGAGGACTATCTTGTTGTCGGCACGCTATGTTGACTACGATAAAGAAGTTCTATTCCATTTATCCCGTATTTTTCTGATGTTTAGTTTCTTACACTGAAGAGCCACCAGGCCTTCGTGGTTTTCCGTGTATCACTATATGGCCAAGTTTTGTGTGGCTAATTCGTTAACCCTCCTGTAGTTGGTGCTTAACGATTAGTGATTTAACGAGCAGCTGGTAACGTAAACGACGTGATAGAAGAATTTTTAAACAGTTGAAAAAAGTGGGATACTATTGGTGTTCTTTTTCCCTAAATTGATCTGAATGTAATAAGCCTTCATGATCAAAGTGGATCCAGGATCTTGCTGTTACAATACACACTAGTCACAAGACACACTGAGTGACAGGGACCCCAGAAATAGACACACTGAGTGACAGGGACCCCAGAAATAGACACACTGAGTGACAGGGACCCCAGAAATAGACACACTGAGTGACAGGGACCCCAGAAATAGACACACTGAGTGACAGGAACCAAGTAAACACACTAGGTAACAGGGACCCTAGAGGCAGACACACTGAGTGACAGGAATCTCAGAAGTACACACTTGGTGACAGGGACCCCACAAGTAGACATACTAGGTGACAGGGACCCCCCACAAGTAGACACACTAGGTGACAGTAGCAGCAGAATCTGGACACAGTATTACACGGGAATCACACACACACACACACGTGTTCACGCCCGGGGTGAGGTAAGTGGACTGAAGGGGAGCACGACACTGCCGTCAACGAGTACCACAGGTGTGCCTCCCACCTGACTCATGCCCCCCACCCCCATCCCACCCCAACCCCACCCCATCCACCCCCACCCCACCCACGTGCACCCAGGGCATCAGTGACTCACCTTCCGCCAGCATGACCTGACTTATTAAAAAAAAAAGCCAGATAACGCAGTTAATGTTTGGCAATGATAAAACAAGTATGATGGAATAAATTATCACCTGTCAAGACGATTTGTAACCTGTCATGTTCTCACGCGGATCGCCTCATATTTCGTAGGTAAAATGTGTAAAGAAATGTGATTAAATTTTATTTTCAATGTGTTTATTATAAAAAAAAACTGATTGGCAGTTCATTAATCAGGGTTTTCCTTTAGATAATTTTCATTGGCTCATAGAAATAGTTGATGCTGTAAATTAATATAAGTCGCAATTTTACCATTAATGTTGATATAGACAAATGTGTTCTGATTAAGTTCTCCATTTAAAATTAATTTCCGTTTGTATTACATTTATAAAGACGTAGATCATTTCCTCTAAAGCATAAGGAGTAATATTCTGGTCTATATTACTGAATACGTACGAGTATTATATGGGCTAGTTCACGTAGAGAGAAAACAAAAACAGACAGAAAGAGACGGAAAGAGAAATATAAATAAAGGTTGAGAGAGAAAAAATAAAAAAGGTTATCATATGTTACCCATCATTCTTCATAGTCAATATCTAGTACCCGGATTTCACAACTCCTCGACCACCTACCCAGGAGGAGGCGCGCACTATGTGAACGTTACCTCCGGCCACACCTCACAAAATATGATGAGTTTAGTAAACGGGACAGTTGCTGGGAATGGTGAGAGACCGGAGACAGGTGTACAGGTGGTGTTGATTGACTGTCTTAATTTCTGCAATGCAGGTTCTATGGCTGCTACGTGTTACTTGGTGAGGTTCATCCCCCTGGAAAGTACACCACAAGCAACAAGAATGAAAATCTCATAAACTGGTCACTGTACATCTTCTGCCAGGATTCTAAGAACAACAGAATAGTATGTCCTGCTTAATCCAAACGTCAAGACGTTAGTATAGGATACACAACTGATGATGATTTGTAAAAGCTCAGCCAGATTGGAGGTTTACAAAGCAGCCTGAAACTAACTCCCTTGATGAAGGAGATGGCGTCAGCACCACACGAGTAAACCGTAAAGCAAAGTGGCACAAGGTATGCAGAGACAACTATAAACAAACCAAGTTAATCCGTCTCAAAAAACGGCAGGCTGATGACTCCATAAGTGACGTAAAACCAGAAGATGTGACAAAGCGAATCCGATGTTCTCATGAATCGGTGGATGAATCGCACAATGCTTCTTTTGGGATGGATATGGAAAACTGGAGAACTGCACCAAGCAAGTACTTGTGGGCTGGACTGGAGAGTCAGGTCAGCTGCTCTTTGTGTGGGTGACACCAAGTTGCTCACAAAATTAAGTGCTTAATATCATTATATAACCGGGCCAAAGTTGCAAACTCTCAAAAATTAGCATATTGAGATGGCGGCCTGGAAGGCAGCAGGGATTTGGATGGATGGAAGAGGATGGACAGATGTACTTACTGAAGCCCAGGTTGCAACATCAGGTAAAACAGACTCATATCTCTCAGCAGTTCATCTAAAGCGTGCGAGGTACATAACCACGTTGCAGCAGCCTCCTTATACATATTACAGTGCCAAGCCTATGATGAATATGTTGAAAAGTTTGAAGGTGAAACTGGTAGTAAAGGATTTCCACCATTGTACCAGGAAATGGCAAGACACCATCCCCAGTTCAAATACTTGTCGCTTGTTCTAAAACTAGAATTGACTGTGCTGATATTTGTGGTGTCTCTCAGGTCATCAAATTTGTGATCTAGGCTGTATGATTCACAGCAAAGCATGTGGGAAGTAATCAATAAGCTGGTCCCAGTGCCACACTTATGATATGTGGGTCGCTCTCTGTCAGTTCGGGAGAACACCGCCCCCTGATATTCTTTATCTCTATCCTCTTCGCCACTAATCGGAGTGTTAGCACCTTGCGGTAGGTGACGCCTCCGTTACGCACTGTTGGCATGTACTGGTTCCAGAATGTACCTGTACCTACGCTAATGTTGATCAAGTCTGGTCTTGACTCATCTCACACTCGGGTGTCATTACAACGCTCTTTGGCAGATTGTTACAAGAGTTCACAACCCGTACTCCGAAAAATTGTGCCCTGGCTTTTTTTTTTTCAACCTCAAGCTGTAACCTCTTCTGGGGGCGGGCATCCGCCAGCTCCAGATATGGACACTCGACTGAGTAAAATCCACTGAGTATAAGCTTAGCAGTTGCAGGTGTTCTAATCTCTCTGGGTAACTGAGATGCCGTAGTGCAGGCACCAGTCTGGTGACCCTCCTTTGGACGTTTTCAATCAACTGACGGTGTTTAGCATATCTAAGGAACCAGACGGGGTGACAGTACAGCACTCCAAACGGGGAAGCACCTCACTTTTGAAGAGAGTTACGAAGGTATCTGAACGACCTTATTATAAGACTCGCTACCCTAGTCGCTTGACTCGTCTTCTCACAATGGTTCGAAAACTTTAGTTTGTTGTCAACATACACACCCAGGTCTTTTTCACATTTGGTCTCCGTTAATGCTGTCCTTTCGTCCCGTTGGAGCATGTGATATGTCTCCTTACTGTTAGTACGACCTAGGTGCATCTTCTTTCATTTCGTGATGTTGAATCTTAACAGTGTTGCATATGTCTATGTATTTACATAATATTAAGATGTTTGCTGTATATTCATTTTGTATCAGTCACCGTTGCAAGGGCTGTTTTCTATGAAGGGAAGAAGATATAAAAGATGTGGCATCTTTGTAATAGTTTATTTTTTTGCATTGGATGTGAATAATATTGACTATATAATTTGTAATATTTTGTAATCATATAATATTTTGTACTTATATAAAAGTTTTGTGTTAATAATTTAATTGTGAAAAATGTACTGTTGTTGAAATTCTGGAGTACAGGTAATTTATGGCCATGCTTGAGTAAATTGATAGATGCATTTGATTATTGTTGTGTTGTATGACACACACACACACCAGGCCGGGTGTCAGACGATCTGCTGGAACACACCGTCATCTTCGGTCAGGTCAGCTTGAAGCTCCAGGTCGCCAGGTGACAACAACAATTCCTGTGCCTCTTCCTCGTCGTCCAAGGGCAGGTTGTCTTGTCGCTCCAGGTCTTCCAGCTCCCTGAAGTAGTTGAAGACGCTGAAGGGACACGTGTAGCCGTAATTAACGAAGCAGGACTCGGGATCCTCCATCTGTCCTGCCAGCTGTGCCTCCCTGTAGTCCAGTAGCATCCCTCGCCCGTCCTCCCGCGGCCTGTAAGGCACAACCACCTGTTTTACCCATATGACCTTAGATACACTGCCTTCCTTATGATTTACACATAAGGAACCGCTTAAACAAAGAATAAAGTAACGTTACCATTACATTAGAAAAATACAACACAACCAGGTTTACGAGAAAAAATTACTAAGCTTTTCCACCAGGAAAAATGATTAGTTATGGTCTGTATTACAAAAGATGGAAACATCTTCTATTAGTATTATATATGAGCAATTTAAGAACAAATATTAATTTACTCCCATGGTAAAATGTTCACTCTCCTTCCTGTAGCTTTCTTCTTTGAGCTTATTCCCTCAAAAGGTTTAGTCACACACACACACGCACACACACAGGATATACGAGTATTATATATATGTATAACCTCCCCACCATTCATTAGAATTCACATGAAGACAACAGCAGTCAGCTCCCGATAAATGAATAGAATCACATTATGACAGACAGGGGTGCTGAAAGGGAGACTTACGTGAAGACAGCAGTGATGACCTCCCCGACGATGGTCCAGTCCTTTATGGGGAACTTCTGCAGGTCACATATGAACCGCAGCAGACAAGCTGGACCGTCGAGTCCGTAAGTTGCGGTCATTTTGTCCTCCAGCGAGCGATAGATGGACACTTGGTCGTCCGTGTAGCTCCTGTGGGAACACGTGGTTATTGTGGATACACGCGGTTATTGTTTATTGTGGGCACAAGTGGTTATTGTCCACTGGGTACGTGGTTAATGTTTACAATGGGTGCTAGTAAACACAGCAAACAATGAGCTGAATCGTTTCACACACACACACACACACACACACGTACCTCCCCTTCACGTACTCCTGAACCAAGGCGTCGAGGATGATGATGAAGGAGACAGCGCCATAGGGCAGGAGCCTCGGGGTGGGGACGCTGTCGTTGTCGTTGTCGGTGTTGATTGGCACCCCCAACTGGTTGACTATCGAGAGGTAAGGGTGCGTGAAGAGGTTGGGTAGCGCCGCGGTCATGGTCACTTCTCACCTGCTGGGACGTTGAAGGTTAGGAGCCGAGCTTAGGAACAGCAGATGGGGACAAACTTCGTGATAGACGCACTCACACACAACGGTATAAGAAACCATCCCTCACCTCTTGATAAATGGTTGACTCTTTGTCGGCGGGAAGTGCCTCTCAATAAGGTACACAAAACCAGGGCTACCAGCGACATTGACAACACACAAAGTCTCAAGCAGTGACTCAAGTGATGAATCAAGCTATGTGCTATCCTCAAGTAGCTAATTTAATGGAATCTCGATTCATTTGAATCTCATTGTTATAAGCTTCAAATGACTTCTTTGTGTATTGACGACCATGATTTATTTTATCCGAGCTATAATTTTATCTTATTTTCGTACAGTGACTTCAGTAGCATAGGAAAGAGAGCCTGTAAATTTTGCTTTTATACTCTGACTTTTGGGTGGTGATCTTGGATTTGAACATGGCCTTGTCCTGTATCATATATTATGTCAACAGCAATCAAAACAAAAACAAAGAATACCTTTCTACCTTTATTTGCTCAAAAGATTTGGAGATTTTTATTTCACTATATTTTGGGCATCCATCTTGGATTTTAATATTGTTATTGACCTTAAAATGTCTAAATTCATATTCCACCTTGAATATTATGTATGAAACAATTAATATAGACATGAAGAACGTGTTCCTATCTGTACTGGGACAAACATTATGGCAGTTTTCGTACTTCACTCATATTGGTGTCGGCCATTTTGTATTTGGTCATCTGGTGACGTTAGCCCACACACTTGTGAGGTACTCGCTCCATAAAGTGTCCGATGAATTTCAAAATGAACACTGCGACTCCTGTTGTCTCGGTAGGGTTGTCAAAATCCTTCGTCCGTTGTGTCAGTTTCACACAAAATCGCAGTGATACATTTTGGAGCGAGTGTTACATAGGAGCTAAATTACTTTTAAATCTATTGGTGAATTTAAATCAACAATTAAACTTTACTCTGAAAAAAAAAGGTTCCGGGGCCATCACTTATGACCCTACTATATATTAGTTTCCTTATTTATATAACCATTTTATATAAAAATATATTTTTCAAAATATAGTTTCTTAAGAATTTTCATCATACATTAATTTTATATATTCGCCCTGTATTTATTTATTTTACTTCTATACGGAGCTCATTTTCCTGGAGCCTTACAGTACAGTATATACTTCTTAAAAACTTTTTGGTTGAGTTTTCTTAATGAAGTGTTATTAATCTCACTATAAGTTAAGAGAACTTAAAAATTACTTATAAAACAAGACAGTCAAACTGGCAATAGTCTGCTCTCTCTAAACCAACTCGCGGAACTATTCAGATTCAGTGGGTTTACTCAGAAACATCACCACCGGTAACTACAGATGTAAACATAAGTGGCGAGAATCATACGGGTGTTGTCTTAACCTCACCCTGATGAAGGGGTACCAAGTTCGATGTGAACGTTGCAGCCAATATCAGGAAGGTTGTTTAATTTCTTTGACCTCTATCTCCAGGAATTAGAATTCTAAGAGATGTTCTCAGATTTTTTTCAAGTTATTTTTGTGGATACTCTGTGACACTACCTGTATACCCTTGTCAGGAGGTTACTAGCGCACGCAAGTAGGTCATGAAGAGAGGCCACGACGGAGGGAAGATTTCTTGAAATAAAATAAACACGTTAATGTCAGTCTTCCGCAGCATCATTGTAACAGAAATAGTTGTAAAAACTGCATCACTAATGTTAACATTGTCAACACAACAAAAATGAAAGCCTGTTTACTCGTTCAGAAGACCACAACACAGTGCATATTTTTTTAACGAAACCCCACTATTCCGATAACGTGTTCAAGTGGACACGCAGTGATCACACAGTGATAGCCACGCTCTCAGCACTGAGATGATCCGGACTACTGTACTTGCATTCTGTCGTCCATTCTTAATTGAAGTGTATTGTAGAATCGGCGAGTCATGGTGGACACAACAATGATCGTCATGCGACACTCTTGAGTCGTCACCTACACCACAACAACATGCCAGGCCAGTTGGACTTCCTGGGGCAGAGTTTCGTGGTGTCCGACCAGAGCCGTCGTTTCGGACAGCTTCTTAACACAGTAAAGCTGATCCAGGAGTAGTTAGTCAATCTCGTCTGGGTTCAGGTGTTCAATTTCGGCGTGGGAGATCACTCCCAGCTTCAGGTTGTCGTACAGGTGGAATGTCGGTCTCACTGGAATGCCGTTGGTGGCGGTGTACTCCGACAGTTGTACGGGTTGGCCATAATCGGCGAGAGTGATCTTTAGGTCTCCATACAACTTCAGGCGTTCCACTTTTGTCACCCCCTTGATCCCTTCAGAGTTAAAAAAAACCTCTAAGAGAACTAGAAAGTTGAGTTTTTCGGGCAGGTTTTCTCAGCCGGGCGCAGCCGGATCACCTTGGAGTCTTCCATGTATACATGACCATGGTCACTTGTGCTCGATGTGAGTGAGTGAACAATACCTAAGATGAAACTAGACAGGGGTACCTAGTGACAGCACTAGGATCCCGCTTCCTCAATCAAGGAATAAACAATTGAAATTGAAATTGAATTGATGAAACTAGGCCTCTTCATCAACAAATGTAAACAAATAATTGTCAGAATTATACTTTATTATGTAATTGAGGCAAAAAAGATATTATGATTGTATAACTTGTGAAAGGTCTTACTTTTTTCTTTTTTTTTTTTTTACGGGTATTAGCCCACCCGGGCACAGGTCACTGACCCACATTGGGGGGGCGAAAATGTAATAATAATAATAATAATAATAATAATAATAATAATAATAATAATAATAATAATAATAATAATAATAATTTATAGTAAATAAATTTTATAATCAGAAATACAAAAATTCAAAAAAAAGATCAAAATTGAAAAACAATGTACAGTATGTATGTTTTGTTGTCAATACGTAGTACGAGAAACAATTGAGACCTTGCAATTGTGTGCAAATGAGGCAGAAAGTCAGATCAGTAACCTGGGACTTGGTCACAATTTTCGTGATGCCATATGGCAGCAGGGTCTACCATTAGACAATACATTATGCTTCCAATATCTTCCCAGGCGGTAGTACCTCCCTGTTTGATAGTTGCCTACTACCTACTACCTATAAAATTATAATGTTCGGAATCCGTAGAATTTATGCACCACACTGTACAGTATTGTACAGGCCAGTAGCGAACTACGAATTGCTTCAACCCGACAACGTCCCTTTGTTACCACTTAACACTCATCGCTCTCCCAGGCTGTGGTACTGTACTTCCCACGCCCCGAAGAGATCACCAACAATGGTCTCTCACTGTCACTGATGGCTGATGCAACCTTTTTCTTTTTCTATTTAGCTACAGGAACAGTGAAGATGTAACCATCATTATGTATAAAAATAATTAAAGTCTCTGTTGAGTGGATCAAGGACTAGAGATAGATGTCACATCCGCATCTGCATCCACGGAGCATCAGCAAAATTTTCACATTTGCAAAAGCTTTGGATTTCTTAATTACCCTAATTAAAATGACATCTAATGCATCCACGATGGTGTAAATAATACTGTTATAGTTAAGAAGTTAAGATATAACCGAAATGTGTACAAACAACTTACAGCAGCAGATGAGGAGGATGGAGGATGACGAGAGGTAGTGCTGGTGGCGTACCACTAGTTGAGAGACTGGAGAGTGACTGTGTGGACACTACAGGTACCTGCCTGCCTGTGATGAATGGTGGGAGGGGCCGTTGAGTCCCTCCTAAGTGACAGCCTTTATGAGGGTGTGGAAAAAACTTCCCGCAGGCATAATGAATAGGAGAGTGGTGGAAATGTTATCTATGGGAAAGCAAAACTAATTTACTTATTAATGAATTATGAAGGGTTAGGAATCTCGATTAGAGAAAGAAGTTCGACCATCACTGGTTGTGGGAGGGCAAGAAAAAGTATAGTATATAAGTTGAGATAAGAAAGCAGGAAGGGGAGACACGCCATAGATCTACAGAAACAATTTAGGTCAATGATGCTTAGAGAACATGAACCACGAACTGAAGCTCTGAAACTATCAGCTTCATATCCATCACCGCTTGACTTACTTTTTGACAAGACTGCAATACAAGTAGAAATAAATTTAAGCTCTTTTTTTTCTGCGCTGAACAAAGTTGTTGGATAGAACCATTCGAGACTGCATTCCACCAGTCCGAGTATTATATAAATACACTGAATCTTTAATTGTTTATGGCCAGTCTGAGTCTACATAGTCTTCATTGGTTTGAATATGATCTGTCAACCAGTGAAGATCTGACTTGAGTTAGCAGCTGCTGATGTAATGTATGATTGCACTCTAACAGCGATTTTGTTTTTAAGCGCGTACTCTAGTTTATTACATACACTAGTGCTGCATCCATCAGGGGTCTCCCTTTACCGCTACTGACACACACACACACACACACACACTACATCATGCCTCACTGAATACTCTCGCCAGGGAGTTTCTAAGGACGCGTTGTATTCCTTGTGTAAACGTCATGGGCCCACGACGTCTGTACTGTGATGTCAGACGACGAACCTACAACTTTTGCGTAAATTTTGCCTAATTTATCTAAGTTTAGCATTACTATTCGCTCGTCTCTGTTTCCTTGAAATATTAAGAATTTCTCCGTTTTATGCAAGACACTTCGTTATTTTCCTCAGCGAGAAATATATACAATATACAACTGTACATAATATGAACTATTATCTAGCACCTTAGAGAGATCTAACCAATGACAAACTTTGTATCCGCATTAGAAAATAAATTTACACGCGGCCTAAAGTATTGTTACGAACCCCTTTCGCCGCTTAACAGCGTTCAACGCTGGTTACCACCGGCCAGGTCATATATACAGAAGCAGTAGATATATCACAAGTGTCCTCGAATTACCACTGGCTGTCCCGCCAGTCTCCGATAGATTTCCACCAGGTCACAGAAATACACTTGTGAACTCTGGTTTTCTTTAATAATCACTAAATCTAAAAAATAACTGTTCACAGGGTAGTCCTCACAACCGGACTTCTCACTTCGAATGTATACTGTACAGTGAGCACACTACCAGTATTTCACAATACTTGAACTACAATTATCTTTAGCTGTCACTAGACTTGTACTTCACACTGTGAATACGAACGGACGACTACTTCCCTAAGCAGCTCGCTGGTGTTTATAATATACCTCTCCTCAGACGATGCCTAGAACCTCCTTGCCTGGGAAGTTCTAGAAAGTTCTACTCTGATCTTGGCTTACAATACATAAGTAAATTATAAACAACAAATAGTGCAATTCATTATAGAAAATTCTTATATGGGTAATACATCAATATATACAAGAAAATCTCCCCCAAATTGCCAAAATAACTGCTGCTTGAAAGAAGAAAATAATCAGAATTTAGTTCACCAAAATTATACTGTAATATCTTGATATACTGTAATACTGCACTAAATTATGCCTCGGCATAACAGTACTGGTATCATTCATGGCTACTCTTGGAAAATTTAAGCACTGCTTTTCGCTAGGAGCAGCTTACTAATCATGTGTTTCCCAAACCTCTAAATTGATGACACAATGAAATATCAAAACTTCCTGTAAGATTAGGATTGGCTGAAGGAAGACAAAAAAACATCTGACTATACCAGAATTCTGATTAATTTTGCACGTATAATTTATCTTTTCAAACATTGTGATATAAAATTATTAATCCAATATAACAGCATGTTTAGTGATTTATGATTGAATTTTTATATTTTCCTATTTCTCCATCTATTTTTCTCAGACTACACGAATGTTAACACATAACACAGTGGCTGTAGTCCCTGGCATAAACCAGTCACTAGACTAGTTAGTTTAGCAATAACTATAGGTACCACACCTGGTCCATGTGACTGATTATCTCAAAACTATGTCGATATTTCTTCTCCATATTTTCAGTGATTGACAATATTGTGAAACTATAGTAGGAATTAATAAATCTTCAGTCAAAACTATGTGTACACCATTATCCTCTTAAATTTTATAATACGAATTGCATTTCCATGTTTAGCGACAAATATACCAGTAGCCTAGAGGCCCTATACTTTCACGATATCACAAGAATCAGTCAATGCAAAACTGCAAGAGCGTCCTCAGAGAGGCGAGGAGAGCATTTTGTACCCTTTCTCTGGATTTGTTTTTTTCTGTGACAAATGTTTCTAAAACTCATACAGTAGTTAAGCTATACATTTATGATGTTGCCAGCTAGTTCACCCATTCTACTAGACCGACCCTTGACTTACTGCCACATTAAAATCTTTCTACTTCTACTATACATAACATAAACCTGCCACTTTTAACTCCATTTCGATAATAACCGTGCCCAACTATACCTCTTATACCACACCAATCAGAGAAGGATGGTTTCAGTGGCTCAGTGAAAGGTACTAGATAACCCTTTGTAATGTTGGCTCCCAGTGATGATGATGATAACATTGGGTGCTAGACAGAGGTTATCTTACACCTGAATATTGCAACTCACTTCCACACCCTTAATACATGAGTCATAAGGGCAAGCATGAACTTAGCATGCTTCCCAGTTGGGCACTGTAAACGCTTCTGAGCTTCACCTTGCACAGGATGTAAGGGGGTGCCCAATAAACTAGCCCCCTCCGGGGCAATCTGTAAAATCTCACTTCCCTTTGTCGCATGCGGTCCTGGCTCCAAGCTTTCACTAGTATGGAATTAATTGTATAAAAAATCAAACACACTACTTATAAATTTTATAGTATAATTACGGTAGATAGGATTAACAGAGTTACTGTACATAGGTGAGAAGTTGATGTATTGTGATTTGATTTTTTTTGGGGACGTGCTGGTAAGGCCGAGGTATAGAATCTTTAGACGAGGTACCGGTAGTGTTTTGACAGCGGCGGTCGAGAGTGTTTATTTTAGAGATTATCTTAGCTCTTTGTCCCACCATATGTCACCTCTGTTGCCTCCTCTTCTGTAGCTGCTCGACCCCGCACCATTTACTACGATACAACAGTGTATATAGCTATTTATTTATAATCATTGAATATAAATCGACACGCGAAAAGTGGAGTGAAATCTAGTTCTGCCAGCAGAGTTTTGTTCCGTTGTTGATGAAGAGAAGAAAGTTGATGACCTCTTAGGATTACCTGTCGGTAGTCAGTCTTTGTTGACAGGTGCCTTGATGTGGAGCAGGGTGTGGGCGTGACTATACAGTAGATTACTGAACAAAGAGTACTATGTGTTTAAAACACTTGATGGTTTTATCAATATAAATTATTATTATTATTATTATTATTATTATTACATTATTACATATATATATATATATATATATATATATATATATATATATATATATATATATATATATATATATATATATATATATATATATATATATATATATATATCATGCCACTGCTTCATCAGCATGGTACAGACAGTTTAAGTTTCACAACATAAGTGAAGTTAATCATCATCACGCTGACGAGGATCTCACCCACCTGCCTCCTGCGACGCCTCTCCCACCTCAGAGGGAGATTCGCTCACTGCTTGTGTTTAGGCTGTGTGAGTTTATACGTGTGTGTGTGTGTGTTTGCGCGCATAAAGACAAATCTGGTAATACTGGTAATATATTTCATTATGTCCTTACCCTGTATACCAGTGAGCGGACCCGAGTTCGATCCTCGGGCAGGGTGAAACTATGGGTAAGTTTCTTTACTCCATTTGCCTCTGTCTACCCAGCAGTAACCAGGATCCTGGATGTTAATCAATTTGCGGACCGTATTTCGGGGTAATGGTTAGCCAGTGCAGTTGGCGAGTTGTCCGGTCTTCTACCATCCTTGTTACACGAGGGGCAACCATTATTATTATACCAGCGTTTTATTATCGTATGTTTTATTTTCTGATAATGCTGTTTCGAGTTTTTCTTGAAATTGACCCACAGTTAAGACACTTGAGTTTCCTATTAACTATAAATATGTTGTATTTTAAACGTTTTTTTTAGTATGCCCAAATAACAACAACAGTACTTTATTAGTGTCTTAACCCCTTTAATACAACCCCAACCTTCTTAACTCAGTGACTTAGTTAATCGAGTATGATGACTTAACCCTCGAAATATGATGACTTAACACCTTGACTTTGATAATTGTTTGAGTATGATAACAATCCCTTGAGTATGATGACTTAACCCCCTAAGTATAATGATTTAACCCCTTGAGTATAATGACGTAACCCCTTGAGTATGATAACTTAACCCCTTGAGAATGGTGACAACCCACTGAGTATGATGACTTAATCCCTTGAGTATGATGACAACCCCTTGAATATAGTAACCCATGAGTATGAGGACAAACCCTTGAGTATGATGAATTAACCCTTTGAGTATGAGATATTAACCCCTTAAGTATAACGACTAAACCCCCTGAGTATGATGACAACCCCTTGAATATAATGATTTTACCTCCCCCAAATATGATTTTACCCCTTGAGTATGATGACTTAACCCCTTGAAAATGGTGACTTAACCCATTGGATTCGATGATTGAGTACGGCGACCTAATCTATTGCATACGATAATTTGACCCCGTGAGTACGATGTCTTAACTTTCTTGAATATGATGGCCTAATGACTAGTCCCTTGAGTAATATGATAAGAGAATGGGAGAAAAAACTACTCCGGCGTTAAGGATCATGAACGACGCTGTGTGAATCGATATAAATAGGAGAAAAAAAATTGTAAAAGGCAAGCGAAAAATAGATAAAATGGTAAAAAATAAATACTGACTTTTAGAGCGAAAAATGAATGTAAACGTACGCAAGACACCAGGCAACACAGATCATCAGTAAATAAATACGCAAAGAAACATGATAAAATAATTCAAGGTTTAAAAGGAGAGGTTGGTAGGAAGACTGAAGAAACAAGTGTAAGATAGGACATATTCTTCTACGTTCTTCAGCAGCTAGTGTGCGTGTGTGGCGTAATTGGAAAGCGAGGACCACTGGAGGGGTCAAGTAACGGATACTCTGAAGTAAACGTTTCTTATAAGGAGTTGAGGCACATGACAAGTGTGCTGGTGACTTAATACCACTGTGTTTGTCAGGAGGCTCACACTCCTGGCCTCTTTCATCTCACGTCTACGTATTGTTCACGATACTCACGTACTAATGGGTCAAGCTGGAGGACAATGTGGGGGGAGGAGGAAGTAGTGGGGAAGACAGCGTCGCCATAGATACACGAGGAAAGGAGGGAGAGTGAGGGAAAGAGGACAATGCCTTAAGGAAGTGTGGACTCAAGAACATTAAGAAATAAAGCTTGAAGGAGCGTCTGAATTTTGTAGAGCCGGATTTTGGGAGTGAGGGTAAGATATGGTTAGGTTAGGCTTTGACGAGAAAATGTTTGTACGAGAAGGAAAGGAGGAGCGGGTAAGGCAATGACTCGACATTGAAGGAGGGAACTGGGGCCTGGAGATGACCAGCATAAAAGAGAGAGGGGGAGCTGAAGAGAGTGAGAGGATGGAATAGGTAGATGTAATAAGTAAGGAAAAAGAACCAAGTTGGGCCAGGGGAGGAGAGAAAACAAGCAGGATTCATTAATAAAAATAGAGAAGAGAATAACTTGGTACAGCTGTAACTTCAACCCGTCAGATTCCAGGGCGCTGATGGCTCCAATTCACGCAGTCTATTCCGATGTACCAACCTATTGCCCTTAACATTATATGCACCGTCTTCGTCTCTTGCTATATACAACCCTTTTTATCATATACAGTGTACCGTACTATAGTTCTTATGTACAATACGTCATATCTAATCATAAGCTATTCACATAAATCAATAACTGTAGTTTTTAACCTATGTGTACTGTTAATTAACCCATTGGAAAAATATTTTAACCTCTTGAGTACGATGCCAACCCCGTGAGTACAATGAATTAGCCCATTGATTTTTTTAATTCCTTGAGTACAATCTTAACCCCGTGAGTATGATGAGTTAGCCCATATAAGCAGATGTATTACCTCTTTGAGTACGATGACTTAACCTCCTGAGTTTAATGACTTAATCTAGTGAGTACGATTTCTTAATCCTCTGAGTTCAATGCAATTAACACTCTTGAATGACATCGTATACTCAGATAAGTAAAGTCATCGTTCTTAGGGACAAATGTATCACACTCAAGGGATAGGTCGTTGTGCCTGAGGGGTTGAGGATATTAAGTCGTCGTACTCAAAGGTGATGGGTCATTTTCCTGATCTATTACTGTATATAGACTCAGAGTGATGACCATAGTTTTCCGGATCATATTTAAAGTCATCACCACACTGGAGATCAAACAAAGAAGAAAGTAAGTTAAGTACCTTGTATTTATTTATTTATTTAGAGAGACAGATGTTCATTCAGCAAAATCTTCATACAAGTTCACATTGGTTCTTCATAAACAAACAAGGCTGTAGGTACACGTAACACTCACTGCATGTTTAAATCTCAATCTGCTTAAGACAGAACATGCTTAACATTTTCATGCAAGATTACGTTAATATTAAATGTAGATTACTAGGGTCTGGGCGACACATTCAGCCCACACTACTGGCACTTCGAGTGAACTGTCAGGTTTATGATTAATTACTGATTGGTCAGAAACTGCAGACAATAAATAAATGGAAATTTTACGAACGTTGAGTGATGATTGCAGTGCAGTCTGGTTGACAAAAGGAAAATGAAAGACTGTGGTATGAGATTCATTCAAATTCCCGAAAAGTCAAGTAGGCCTAATTCTCGTTATGAATAGTTAACGAGAAAATAATTCACGAAAATTATTTTGTAGATATGAATTTATATTTATTTTCGTTTTCTTTCTTTTACTCTCTGCCAACCACTTAACCGTTCATGAGCAAACACTGAAAATGTAAACAGTAACAGTGTTCGAGTAGCAGATGTCAACAATAACATTCTGCGTCCATGTAGCAGGTGTCAACAATAACAACAATCTGCGTCCATGTAGCAGGTGTCAACAATAACATTCTGCGTCCATATAGCAGGTGTCAACAATAACATTCTGCGTCCATATAGCAGGTGTCAACAATAACAATAATCTGCGTCCATATAGCAGGTGTCAACAATAACAATAATCTGCGTCCATATAGCAGATGTCAACAATAACAATAATCTGCGTCCATATAGCAGGTGTCAACAATAACAATAATCTGCGTCCATATAGCAGATATCAACAATAACAATAATCTGCGTCCATATAGCAGGTGTCAACAATAACAATAATCTGCGTCCATATAGCAGATGTCAACAATAACAATAATCTGCGTCCATATAGCAGGTGTCAACAATAACATTCTGCGTCCATGTAGCAGGTGTCAACACAATAATCTGCGTCCATATAGCAGGTGTCAACAACATTCTGCGTCCATGTAGCAGGTGTCAACAATAACAACAATCTGCGTCCATAGCAGATGTCAACAACATTCTGCGTCCATGTAGCAGGTGTCAACAATAACAACAATCTGCGTCCATGTAGCAGATGTCAACAATAACATTCTGCGTCCATGTAGCAGGTGTCAACAATAACAACAATCTGCGTCCATGTAGCAAATGTCAACAATAACATTCTGCGTCCATGTAGCAGATGTCAACAATAACATTCTGCGTCCATGTAGCAGATGTCAACAACAACATTCTGCGTCCATGTAGCAGATGTCAACAATAACATTAATCTGCGTCCATGTAGCAGATGTCAACAATAACAGTCCGTGTTCATGTACACTTTAGAATCTAACTACCGTGACAAGACGCACCGGAAGTATCCCATTAATAAAAGAACAGTTATATGCGTGGAAGGAGAAGCACCTCGAGCATTTCACATTACCTGTAATAGACACAAAGCATTCACTCTCTCTTACTTTCTCCTCCTTCATCTTCTCTAATTTATCTTTTATTCTTTAATCTGTAATAGAACAGTTCCTTCATTCAGATAATACCCGAGATCGTAGTGCCTCTCATTTGCCCCCTGCGACTCTCCCCTGACCCTTATTTGCCTCCCCCCCCCTTTACTCCATGTGCCTCTCACATGTCCCCTATGACTCTCCAACGCCCTCTATTCCTTTTCCATGCCTCCCGTGACTCTCCAATGCTCATTATGCCTCTCCCATGCCCCCAAGCACCTTTTCCATGCTTCCTGTACCTCCCCCATGCTCAGGTGACGATAGGTGTTCAGGTGACGGCCGGTGATCAGGTAATGGACAGTGTTCAGGTGCCGGTGCTCACAAGTTACGGCCGGTGTTCTGCCTAGCACATAAAAGGCGAGGTGAGGATTGGTCAATAACTGTCAGAAACGTCTTGTCATGACCCCCAAAATTGTTCCAGTTGGACTAAAAATCGACATACCATTTTCATTGTTTTTTGTTTGTTGCAAAAAAAATGGCAAAAATATCAATTAAAGCTGAACTTCATACAAGGTGAGAAAATAATCAGACAATAACATAACATTTGCAGAATTCTTCAAAAATATTGCAACAACTTTTAATTTTTATATGAAGATAGTATATAACATTCAGAGTGTGTCAATAAAAGTATCTTCCCATAGTAAATATAAAAACTTGCAACAATTACTGTTTTATTTATTTTGTTTATTTGCAATAATGTACTGCATTTAACTGGTAATCCGCTACAAATACGAACACGTTTATTTATTTATTTATTATCATCAGCAGTAGTAGTAGTATTGTTGTTATTAATTGTGAAATTAGGTTGGGAAAGCCCATTTGTTCAGTTTCCAGCAGGGAATGAGGGAGAGAGGGATGAAGATCATGAATGCAGTGTGGAGGAGGGGCGGAGACAGGTAGTCAGCCCAGGCTGCAGGCAGGAAAGATTCGGAGCCTCGGTGGAGCCTTGTGAGGTGGCAGACTGGCAGCATCAGTGTTGCCCTCCGGCTGGTGGTGAAAAGACGCCTATATTGTGGTCCTCCTCCCCCACTGCTTACGGTAAGACGCCCACTCCCCATTTCTTAAGCAGCTCCTCCGTCTAATTTGAATAATTTCCTCTTTAACTAATATATCATATATATGTGACGTTATTAATTTTTGGCATCAAGCTAGAGGTATAATGGCATTAAAATTGCAGTGGGACTTTAACATATATAGAACAGGAGTGTTTTGTCACCAGCAGTTTCGATTTTTTTTGAGAATCCAGTCACGTGATCAAAATTATGTTATATTGCCGGTCAGCGATATACGCGATTTAATGTAGAGGTTTGTAAACATAACCAAATTGCTTGTAATAACAACTATGTCCTGTTATCTCCAGTAATGTAACATGTAGATGAACATATATGAGTTATGTGGATCATTTATAAACGTCCCTGATACTTTTAACTCGCACAATATACTGTCGCCCTTGTTTACGTATCTGGGAATTGTCAGCAAGGACAACTGTACCTCTAACATTCTCTCTCGGCCGTAAGCAAAGACTATGTAGTCTTTGATGTAACCAAGATGACGTAGTCACTTATGTATGTTACTCGATCAATCAACATGACAGCTGACACCTGGTAAACACCGTTGTAGCTCAAATACTTATAGTTTATATGTGTAAAACACAGTACCGTATACATAAAAGTTCGTTGATCTTATGAATTCAGAAACAGTTTTTCTTTCGTCTTTTTTCTACTTATTGCGCCCCTATGTTATTGTTCCCCTTAGATCATTCAGTTCGTTTTATCAGTATTTTTTTTTCAATATTTCTCCCAGGTATTATTCCCTCCCATGTCTTTGTCAACTGGCAACTGACTCATCAAGTGCTTTATTATACTCGGAAGTCATACTTTCCCATTTTGGAGATACACCTAACTAGCTCACTCAAGTTATGAGATATAAACGTCAGTCAAACTATAATGGATGGCGCACTAGGCGCTGCATCTCGTAGACCCAGTTATGAGGAACAGATATACTGTATGCATGGAATTACGTATCTGGATCCAGACGCTGGGCCGCTAGCCATCTCCCGGCTGAATACAGTTAATAGAGTACTATCTGTCCTGGGATTTACTAGCACCAATGGCTTTGTGATCACAGTATTCCTGGAAATTAAGCAAAAATATCATTGATGAAGCTATAAAAAAAATCCCAGAACAAGTTATTGGTTTGGAAAAAATCTTAGAGAGGGATTTTTTTTGAAAAATAAGATATATTATGCAATCTCCTGTTATCGCCGCTGGCTTCAGCTACAGTGCTGGCGTGTGATGCTATTAAATCTTTCGACCTGTGACCTCGCCAGATGTAGAAGTGTTTACAGACACGTCCTGGTTCTGGTGAGTGGACTGTCTTCGACTGGGGGCGGTGCTGCCCGCCCGCCATGAGGCAGATCGCCCTCTCTAGTGATGGTGTGAAGACCAGCCTTCTGCTGGCACTGGTGAACACCGACTCACAAACTTGTCCGAGAATTTGTGCTGAGACAATTTACGCAGTACTGTTGTCTCTTGGAACACCATACTGATCTTCATTGACCCGCACTTGTAAGTACAGCCTAAGTGACGACATACCCCTCGGTACTGAAATATTGTTGACTAATTACGCCTACTCGTTTCTGCCTAACCTGGAGTAATAAGACTGCAGAATAAAGCGAAGCTAAGATTAATAGAGTTATGAACTTTGTGTTATGTCACTATTTTTAATAAATTGTAATTAAGATAAAATTGTGTGAGACTAACTCATTATGTATCAGATGAATCACCATATAATATTATGAACATCTCTGCAGGTTTTGACCACATCAATAAATATTGAATGCGTCAAAGGGGGGGTTTCAATCATTCCCTTCGACTTGCCCGTCACCTGAACGTCCTTAACCAAGGCGTTTACACTCCGAAGCTGATTAGAGATATTGGGCTTCTACAATCCACTTGTTTCATGTTGCGTATGGGTGAGACTGTACAGTATGTGGCGGATATTCAAAGCCCGGTCAAGGATTTCTTATATAAACCCTTTTTACAAAAAAATTCTTTGTATAAGTTTACCTTAACTGGATAGTATCTGTATACATAATATATGTATCCTGGTGCATTACAATTCATTTAAACGTGCAGTGTGACTAGGAAGGTGTCACACAAGTGCACCGACACTTGTACACTGTTCGTCACAGTGTAGTGAGCCAGGGCTTCTCTGTCTGCTCACTGTAATACCTAAATGAGTGAGTAACTTTGTGTGCCTGGCTGTGTCCAGGACTCCACATCTTTACAGAGAAGCCCCGAGCCCCTCACACTGGTCATGACGATCGACATTTTGATCAACCCTGGGTCGGTAGTGACGCCCCTCAGACCGCTGTGGTTCACCTACTTCACGCTCTCAGTTCCACTTGGTGACAGAAACTTTGACGCCATCCAGCTAGCTACGGCAGTAACCTTCGCCTTCCGAATCCAGATTAACCTCTACACACTTTTCAACGGACAGTCTCGTATAGGAAGGTGAGGCCAGATTTTTTTATCCACATATTTTTTCTCTCAATTTCATAGGTATCAAAGTTGGCCGCCCACGCCGCCTAGCCCACACACTTCCACTCTACAGTATATAGGGTGTCAATCCAGCAGTAGTTTGTGAGAAAGGTGCTGTGTACAAACACAACCATCACAATATGTCTAGAAATTTTGGGGTCCAAACAGCCTCAATCTACATTTCGTACTCGTACCCGCTGTATCAGGCGGAGCAGACAGATGGCACTATCAATACGGTGGCGCTCTCCAACATGGGAGTGGGGCTCGTCTTCTTCGTGGCGGCGCTCTTGGGCGAGCCAACCACCAGTTCTCGCCGCGCCAGCAGGTAACACGTGCTGACTTGTATGTGTATGGTATACAAATTCAGACATAAATAATCGCACGATATTTTATCGATTTTATTGATGTTTAAATATAAATTTCCCCCCAAAATCCATAGTTTATTTATTCTGTGATAGTATTTAGGGTTTCAATCATCTCTCGGGTACATTACGTTTGTGTATTGTTCTTGAACTATTAAATATTTACCACAATAAGATCATCTCACACTGACTGAACATACAACTTAGTCGTGAAGTGACGCAAGCAGGCCAGCAACTGATTCAGTCTTTGTGTGTCCACCAGGAGCATCCAGGAGGACCAGCTGGACCTGTTCCGGCAGATAGAGGACAACATCGCAACCATGGGTCTGGACGGCCACGCCTGCATTCTCAGATTCATCTGCGAAATGCAGACCAACAGATTCTCCAGCTCCTCCATATTCGGCGAAATCTTCTCTCTCGTGTTTACGTGAGTACACTGCAGAACATGTCTTGTGGGTTGGTGGTGATGGTGCGAAATTATATTAATTAATACCTCAGTATTTAAAAGTTTCATATCATCGATACACGTCCGCCTGAGCACCAGTGGTGTCGTATAGAACAGATACAGTAGACCGTACCGTAATCGTACCTCACATCAGCCATATTCGCGTCAATATCCCCGGCATGATATGCCAACTGCCACTGTTGCTCGTTATTTTTAGATCAGTTAAGTGCGTCACTTCCATGCAATTTACAGCCTCTTTTGTACCGAAATGAAAAAAATCAGTAGGATTGTCGCTGAGCAGAAGGGATGAGACAATTCCTTAGCTTCCAGCAGCAAGCGTTCACTTGTTCAGTACCATCCTTAGCTTAGCAATACTATGGTATTGCTAAGCTAAATGCAGCATTTGACTATGATAAGTATGATTAATTACGTTAACTGATGTTAGCTTACATTAGTTTTCTTATGACTTTGAATTACTATATTTATATTCTTACTGTATACACATCGATCCCGTTCAACTTTCGCTATTTTTTGTATACTCATTCAGAAGCATTTAATATGTAACAGTTTGTAACACTTGCTTTGTAGTTATATTGTAGTTTTTGTTTTCTTTTTTATTGTCCCCTTACAGACCCAAGCCAGGTGAAGACTACATTTTACTCAAGGACTACATAGCCGCTGAGATGGCCGGCCAGGAGGCAGATAGAACGGCCGGGCCCACACTCACTTGCGCTGAAAGGTACCTCACCTGCCCCGTGTCTGTATTCGCTTTCTTGAGACACATCCACAACGGCCTCGGCTTCTCCACCCAGGGTGACAGACCCCTCAACGCCACCTCCTCCAACCTCCAAGAAAACCTAATCCTCCCCATGGACAGTGATCTGTAACCCCGGAGAACAGACTCTCCAGCGCCGCCTGCTCCACGGGTCAGTGCACCACGCACATGACCCGCGAATGTATGGTGTACTTGACCCCATGGAAGGTGTGGTCCAACCTGTGAAAGGCATGGTGCACATGACCTGTGATAGGCGTGGTGCACATGATTCATCTACTATGTACACCCCATCCTATAGTGTTCACGGCAAATCCTTGGTGTGCACACATCTCCCCTTCACCTAAAATGCGTACAAAACTCGTTCGTCCAAAACAAACTACATAACACACACACGCTAGTCTAGATAATATGCTCAAGTTAACATACACAGGATAACACACTCAAGATAACACACTCAAGATAACACACTCAAGATAACACACTCAAGATAACACACCCAACGTAACATACACTTAGGGTACAGGAAATTCACCGTAGTACCTCCATTATTATTTATTCTTTATCCTCTTCACCACTGATCGGCTTGTTAGCCACTTGGGCGATTTATTCAATTTAGGACAAGTTAGGTGATTTTGATGCATATGTTGGTGATCACACACATTTGTTCTTTTTGTATGATGTAAGATGTATACTATATGTGGCCTAGTTTACAACGTATACACAGCCCTTGTTTTCTTTTTTTCTTTTATTTAAAATTTTACAATTTACATATGTATATAGATATTACATATTAATATATTTGTCCGTGAAAATTTTGGATGACTTTTCTCTTAAAATAGACTTGATCATCCATTTATTATAATATATCCTCCTTTTAATTAAAGCTATATTCTCCTCAACATTATAATTTTCCTTCCTACTTAACCACATACAGTAATATAATCTGACATTAGCTATTAACATTGCTGACTGTTCAGGAAATTTTTAAACCATTTAATTATCTCTTTGTTATGGAAGCAGAAGCAAAATGTATGGGCAAACCTAACAAACCTAACCCAATCTAACAAATCTAGTCTAACCTAACAACATAAGGTAGCATAACCTAACCTAGTTTTGAATGGTCGATTACATTGATGATAAGAAAAAAATCATGGGGTCGTTGGTTATCTACAGGTACTGTACTTGTAAAAATATACCAATACAGTATAAATTATGTAATGGATATTCTACCTCACCATATCTTATATACAACCATCATCTTGTTCTATGTTTAAAATTTTTAATCTGTGATTTGTTGGTAGAGTTTCATTAATATACCTATAAGTATATGAAACCTCTCTGGTGAGGATCCATATATTTACATGTAATATTTTCCCAAATAAAAGACCATTTAAACAGCAGATATTTTTCTTTGGTCCATGTCATTAACAGACTGTAAACTCCTTTATTCCTGACATTGTGAAAGTTATCATGCCTTGATATCCTTCTTAGGGTATTGATTGCATTAGTGTACTATAATAAGGTGGAGACAAGTAGGAAACATTATCTGAAGGTTTCATATCTAGTAGATATAATATGGAGTTAAATATTTCCTCTTCATGGTCTGAAGCAATTTTTATGAAAGTTGTACATAATATAGCAGCTGCTTTGCAAAACACATTAACTACTCCAATACCTCCTTGTTTGACAGGTAAATACAGATTTTGTTTTAATTGGCTGGTACATACCACTCCATATGTATTTAAAAATACTGTACAAAAATAAATTTTCTGAGGACATTTTATTTAATGGAAATGTTTAGGATAGGTACAATATCTTGGACAAAACTTTTGAGTTAACAATAATTGCTCTTGGTCCAAGGATAATTTTCTGTTTCATAAACAATTGACATTAATGGTGATGTTTTCCAAAAATTTGTTCCAATTCATCTTAACTGTGTGTTCACAACTGTCATAGTATATACTGTAGTACCTACAACTTTGGAATATTCTGCTGACCTCATCCACAGCACAGGCCATAAATCTCTTTTCTTCCACTCACCCAAGCCCATAATGCTTGTTTTATCTCTGTTTAATTCAGCACCCATTGCGTCCTCAAATTTTTTTTATTTCTCTGCTAACCTCAATTATGGACTGGTGTGTGACAACAAAAACTGTAGAATCATTAGCATATCCCTGTATGGGAATTTTTATGTTTGGTAACTGTGGTGGAATTATTCTGGCATTGCTGTTCACTGATAAATAAAAAGGTTCTGATGAAAAGGGGTGATCCGACCCCCCCAGGACCCCCTGGATCCGCCTTTGCAAGTACAGTACAGTATTTGAAACTTTTCAGTGAGTTCGAGTTAATGTCTGATTTTTGCAACTTATTCCACTCATCTACATCTCTGTTTCTGAACCAGTGTTTACCCAATTCTTAATCAAGATTGGGATGAGTTAGGTTAAGTTAGGTTTTACCAGTTAGTTTTTCTTAATCAAGTCTGGGATGGGTTAGGTTTAGTTAAGTTAGGATTTACACAATTGGTTTTCCTTAATCAAGGCTGGAGTGGGTTACATAGGGTACCGTACCATTAAGCTGTACAACTTGGGGAACAGTTTAAAGAAAGTGGTGCTGTAGTTAGTAGCTGTAGAGAAACTCCCTAGAGAGAGTGAAAGTGGTCCCAACACGGCTACACTCCTCCTCTACAAGGGTTTGATTTTAATTTCTAACTTTTCCTTTCACCACTTATCAGTTTACTGTACTAGCCGTTCACGTAGTTGGTCTGTTCTTGGTTACTTTGTTATGACTTTTTTGTCCAGACTACAGGAGGAGAGCTATTGTCCAGTGTTAGCACAGGAGAAATTGCCTAGTGTTAGTACAAGAGGAAAGCTATTGTCCAGTGTTAGTACAAGAGGAAAGTTATTGTCCAGTGTTAGTACAAGAGGAAAGTGGAGTACAGTAGCTTAAAAAACTCATGTTTGGGCTCACTCAAACAATGAACCAGTCGGGCCAGTCCAGATTCCCACACGTTCCTAAATATAAATCATTGTCTTAAAAAAGTGGTTAGTAATAAATTCAACAAGGTCAATAAGCTTAGAATTATTGACACATATATATCAAATTCACTACACTATCACCTGCACTACATCCATTACACTAACTTCATCTACACTACATCTACAGTAAATATTCTCTCCTTTTCCCATTAACCTCTCTCTCCCTCCATCGTGTTAGCCCCTCTCTCTCTCTCCCACCTTTCCTGTAAACCCCTCTCTCTCTCTTTCCTGCCTTTCCCGTTAACCTCTCCATTCTTTCCCTTTAACCTCTCCCTCCTTTCCCATTAACCTCTCTCTCCCGCCTTTCCCGCTTACCTCTCTCTCTCCTCCTTTCCTGCTAATTTCTTTCTCTCCCTCCTTTCCCGTTAATCTCTCTTTTTTTTATTTAAACAGTTGATTACATGGGTATCATTGTCAGGGTTCTAGCCTAAGCACAGGATAACTGTTTTAAAGGAAAATTTGGGTAAAAACTATCCTATCTGAAAAATCTTCCCCAGGAGTGTTCTAATAAAATATCATACAGTACATGGTTCAGGACATTGGATATTAAAGTCATTAAAGATATCATAATGTAATAATGTAGACAGTAGATAATAGATTAGAACAAGTTACATACTGAAACAGTAAATTTTTCGACCTCGATTGACGGGCGACTGACAGACGAGTAAATTACGTTCTTAGAAGCAGTGGAGTTGGGAGTGTCACTCATCATCTGTGAGCAGGCATATCTCCCACCTTTCCTGTTAACCTCTCTCCTTCCCCTTTAATTTGCTTTACCCTTCACGTTCCTCACTACACATCAGTGTATGACACCACCAAGGTAGTTTACGACACCCTGGATGAACTGATCGATGAAAACCTTTAGATGGTAATTATAAAAGTCTTCCCCAAACGCGTGTGTAAACTTGTTATTTAAATCATCATACTCAGCCAAAAGGGTGATGATGTCGTATTGCTGCTTTCCTTTCTCTTCCATGATGCCTTGGGAGACCGGTGGGTTCTCTGACAAAAGAATTTTTAATTCGTGTTTGATACAAAAGAGCCTGTCCAGCAGCTCATTTTTCATGCTGGTAATTTTAAGGTGCCTTTCGTATTTCTCTAGTAAATTCAATTCGTACTCCAAGGCGTCAATATATCGTTTATATCCCTTGGGCTGGAGTTGTAATATCCGGTCAATTAAAATTGCGACCTGAATTTTTTTCTGAGCGACCACGACGGGCTTATTGTCAGATACAACGGATTCGTGGCGCGTTGAGGTCACTTTATGAGTACCCCCATGTAGGAGGTGCTGTTGTTTCTCCTGCAGGGAGCAGCGTTCTCTCCGGAGCATCTCGGCCTGAACCCAGGAGTCACCGGTAGTTGTCTCGAACAAATACCTTGTTTTGATATAATTCTCGTGGAGTTTCCTCTCTAGACTATTCCTACTCCTAGGATGACTGTTGTGGACCTTGAGTGAGGTGTTGTCCCGGGGCACGTCACCACCTCTTGAAGGCGTCTTGCGGACAACAGCTGACTTCTGTGTTCTGACTTTTGAAGATGCGAGTCGTCTCAAGGAGCCGCTGGACTTCTTTAAAAACGATTTAATATTATTCATTTTTTGACAATATATAACTAACTATACACAACCAACCTCTAGAAGTAAACTTAAGACTTTAGGTAAGAAAAAATGTAGTAAGACCTCCAATCTACAGTAGTGACGATCTATACTATAGATTCTGTAGTAATGACCTCTAGTGATGATCTATAGTGATGACCTATAGTATTTATAGTGATGACCTATTATAATGATCTATAGTGACCTATAGTGATGATCTATAGTGATGACCTATAGTAATGAGCTATAGTGACCTATAGTGATCTAAAGTGACGACCTATAGTAATGATTTAAAGTGATGACCTATTATAATGATCTATAGTGACCTATAATGATGATCTATAGTGATGACCTATAGTAATGAGCTATAGTGACCTATAGTGATCTGTAGTGATGATCTATAGTGATGACCTATAGTGATGATCTATAGTGACCTATAGTGATCTGTAGTGATGATCTATAATGACCTATAGTGATGATCTATAGTGACCTATAGTGATGATCTATTGTGATCTGTAGTGATGATCTATAGTGATGATCTATAGTGATGACCTATAGTGATGATCTATAGTGACCTATAGTGATGATCTATAATGACCTATAGTGATGATCTATTGTGATCTGTAGTGATGATCTATAATGACCTATAGTGATGATCTATAGTGACCTATAGTGATGATCTATTGTGATCTGTAGTGATGATCTATAATGACCTATAGTGATGATCTATAATGACCTATAGTGATGATCTATTGTGATCTGTAGTGATGATCTATAATGACCTATAGTGATGATCTATAGTGACCTATAGTGATCTATTGTGATCTGTAGTGATGATCTATAATGACCTATAGTGATGATCTATAGTAACCTATAGTGATGATCTATAGTAATGATCTATGGTGATGATCTATAGTGACGACCTATAGTGACCTATAGTGATGACAAAACATAACAATAATGGAGGAAACTGCATGGAGGCCTATTGGCCCATACTAGGTAGTTCCGTTTACACACCAACCCCTATTGCTCACCCAACCTATATTTGAAGCTACCCAGCGTATTCGAGTTAATAATGATGTCTGGTAACATGTTCCACTCATCCACTACTATATTTCCAAACCAATGTTTACCTATCTCTCGTCTAAATTTATTTAATTTAAAACCATTGCTACGAGTTCGCTCCTGGTTGAATAGTTTGAGTTCCTTTGTTATTTTGCATTTGTTTAACCCTGACTTCCATTTATACACCTCGATTATATCGCCCCTCACTACGTTTCTCGAGGGAGTGCAAATTAAAATGCTTTGACCTCTTTCTGAACTCGAGGTTTTAATCCTTATGTCCGGGGGCACATACTTTTTATATTTACCCGTTGGACACCATTTTATATGTGGGGAATTAGAAGGTTTTATATATTTACCCCACTACTGTTAACCGTTTTATATAAGCTAAATTTGTGGGGGGCACACATGTGGACTCTCCCACACTTCCACTTGCTACAGTCAGTGTTGTCAATCCGAGTTGTGAACCACGAGAGTATGACCCTGTGGAGTATGATATTGTTTGGTTCACACTCAGGATGGAATGGAGAAAGGAAACTCACGATGTGCTCTCTATATACATGTTGTATTGGATGTACAATGCAGCTTGGTGCTGGGAAGGCAGCATGGTTACAAGCGTGATGTAGAGAGAGCTGGTTGGTGAGGATGCTCAGAGAAGGACAGCTTGTGGGTCGCCGGCGGGAGAGAGGACCGTCAGGCAGGCGGAGGAGGAGCGAGGGCCGCCAGGCAGCGGCGGAGGAGGAGGTGTTGCTGGCTGCGGCTGTAGGTAGAAAGAGACAGGTCACCACGAGGTCAGGTCTTAAATAGCGGGGGTAGGCGTGGCTTAGCAGTTGACCCCCGCTCCGTGATGTATGGCGGCGCTGGTTGACCTAGACCACGAGGCATACACTGGGGAATTGGTGGGGTCGGCTAGGCAGCGACAAACAGCGTTTGTAGGGGAGAATTCCATTACAACCCGCATCCGAAGCATTCACTCGTGACGTGGGGTGGGGGACCGGTGTGAGAGGAGGGTGACGGGTTAGTGGGGGGGGAGGGGGGGGGATAGGGTAGGAGTGGAAGATGGCAACAGGGATGGGCGAGGTAAAACGTCTCCAGCTACAACCCAGTATTTAAGCAAACTATTAATACGTAATAAAGAGAATAATGTGGTATTAGAAATTAGTAAGTCTGCATCTGTTACTGGTGTAGTTAATTATATATTCATATATTACTGACCAAACACCAGGCTGGTGCCAGCACTTCGGCACCTCACCTTCTCTGAGAGATTAGAGCGCCTGCAATTGCCTAGCTTATACTACAGACGGGCAACGGTGGACCTAATTAAGGTGTATAAACATCTCAAATGGCACTACTCAGTCGAGTGTCTTGGAGCTGGCGGACGCTCTCCCCACATTGGGTAACTTTTTCGAAGTGAGTTATGAACTCTTGGAACAATCTGCCAGAGAGAGTTGTGAAGGCACCGAGTGTGAGCTCTTTCAAGACAAGACTTGGAGCAGGTTCTGATGCATTCAGGAGCCACTTCATGCCCAGTACTTGGCAACAGTGCGTAACAGAGACGTGGCCGACCGCCCAAGCGGCTACTCGATCAGTGGGTAAGATATTAAAGTAAAAAAGTAAAGTAAAAAAAAAAAGTGCGTAAGAGAAGTAAGCTACCGCCCAAGCGGCTACCCAGATCAGTGGGGAAGATATTAAAAAGGATGTTTTCCAAAAACTAAAAATTAACTATTAATCTTGTTTGAAATTTCAAACCAATGTAAATATTTACAAATTCACCATAATTCCAACAATACTTGTAATATGCTGCATACCTGTTTCAAGAGTGTATGGAAGAAAACCGAACACATGTCCGTCCACGCGTCAACTCATCAGTATGCTATACAGTACTGCATTCTTGTAAAACTCAAGAAATTGATGTAGTCAGCGCTGAGGATTTAACCCTACTTTTGTTCATACAAGAGACATCCTGGATTGATATACTGAGTTACGGGTGTTAACGTGAATCAAAAGATGTCAGGAGAATCTCGTCTAATCAATCAGATCAAGATGACCGGCGAGGGGTTATGTAGACACATCGATAGTTTGAACATCAGAAATTAAAACAACTCACTCTTCTTATGGGAGATACATAACATCATCCTTGTAATCCATATAACCAAGAGTAAAACAATAGATTGTAATGAAGTGTGATGTGCAATATTTATTCCCACGATATTTCTGAAAGAGTTCTCCAACCTTCGGGACAGCTAGGCGTCTCGGCTGCCCTCTAGGGATCACAACCTACACTACGTTAGTAAACAATGATTGCCATTATAAAAGCTCGTTATATGCAATAATTATCAACAGTGGTTACGATGACACCTCACCCAAATGCAACTAAAGACTAAGAATCAACAAAGGTGAATTAATGAGTGGCTTTGGTATCGGGAGTGTGGAAGAGTGTGCAGCTGTGCCCTGATAGACTTGTGGTTAAGATGGTAAGTTATCACAAAATACTTTCTTTTTCTGTTAATTATACCTGACTATTAGTTAGATAGTATTTAGGTATTATTATCGTTTCGGTCATCCAGTTATTTTAGTATTTTAAGTTATTACCGTACGAGAGAGGTTTAGGTTGGGTTGAAATTATATTTTTCTGATGGTTTTTGATATTTTTGAACGATTCTTACCTACTTACAAATAGGTGGATGATTGAAACGATAATTTTACCAATAATTGTGTTTGTTGTGAAGGTTATTAGTGAAATTATACAACTGCCAATGGATGATGCTTTTGGTGATCCATGATAGAAGAATGAGTCTTAATATTGTAAGCTACCAGTTATACAATAGTTCTGATTTATCTTTTCACAACATAGTTTTTCTTTTTTTTTCCTATAAGTGAGATTCAGATATCAACTAATAACATTTCTACTGTGATGCTTAGTGGATATATATCTAAAGTGACGCCAAGACCGGTAATCATGGAGCAGATGGCGGCTAATATTGATGACTAACCCGCCGACGTGTTATTTGCTTTGATATTTATATGCTTACTATATTTTCATCAGTGAGTTCTGATATGATAATAATTTTTTTGAAATTGCTTCCTTTCGAAGTTAATTATGCGACGAGGGGTGCACTACTTTCTCTTTCTCGGCGTGATGCGTCGGTACACATCCAATCATTTCCGATAGCCGCCAGTTGCCAGTGTATGCTTTTGAGCCACATGGAGCGGGTCACTGCTCTCGTGTCCACAAAAAAGGTAATATGCCGTGGGGTCATGAGGGTGGAGCCTCACAGCTATGAAGTTAGGTAAGGTTAGGTAGGTTTCTTTGGCTAGGTTGGTGAGATCTTCTAACAATGCATCTGCCTCTTGTTTGTCTTATCAACTCAGGTTAGGTTAGGTTTAATTTAGAAACAACCACTTTTTAGTACATTTGCCAAAAATACGGCAGTGTCCACTATAAAACACAGTAAAATTGCAGCATTTTTAAATTTGGTTTCTATGAAAAATCTGTGGCGGGTCAGTCGTCAATAATTACCCAGATGGCTCACACCACAAACATAATAAGTAATAAAAATTATATGACAATGCACAGAACCTAATAGAAGCTGACCTAACCAACCAAAGAAACCTACCTAACCTTACCTAACTTCCTAGTCAGGGGTGGACCCCCTGCCACATTAAACAGAAAGTACTTATTGTGATATCTGGTACCAATAAAAGCAACTTTCTTGAAGTGGTTTTGCGCAATTTTACGTTTTGTGTGGATGTGAGAGTACGCTAGCATAAACAAAGAGCTAACAACATGTACCGACGCAGAAGATTTTGCAGCTGAATACTTATGGTAAATAATTAATTTTTTCAAGTACAAGGTACATAGAGACATCATTTTAGTGTAATATGACAAGTTTTTCACAGTATTTTACCCCACATTTATCATTGTAAATATATTGGAGGACACCAAAACTTTGGATCTACATTCAAGAAAAAAAATTGCAGTTTTGCACATCTGTTACCAATTACATACTTTTTACCTTTACTCTTGGACAGGACGTGTGTATTTACCCCAGTGAGAAGCCTGGCTCTCTCTGGGCCTGGTCTGGGATAAATACATACGTCCTGTACATAACAGACTAGACAAACTCGCAGTTCCCCTCTCTAAAACTATAAAGTTGTATCAAGCTATTACATATTTTTATTAATTTCACTCTTAAAAAGAATCCCAAATAATTCAAAAAATTTTAATACACCCCTGCGGGCTCCATAATATGGTTCCGGTACCCACGAGCTACAGGTTAGGGACCACTGCCCTACCCACTACAGGGGATTTATGCTCATAGATAAAGAACAACTAAAAAAACTAAAAATTAATACTAATACTGTAATGAAATTAAAAAGTTGTTGAATTGTTTTTATTACTTACTACCATACAGTATTACCCCAAGAACCACTGAACAGCCTATCAAAGTAAGGTTTCTCGTGTTTCTGACTACCCTAAATACGGTACGCATAATATTTTTTAAATTGCAAATCGATTTTTAAGAGTGGTAATGTTTCCTGTGTAAATGCTTATTTTTTAATATATTTATCCTCACTGTATACAGTAAATTTTTGTACCATAAGGTTACTAGTCTAGACCATCTTAGTGTGTAAGTTGTGTCAATGACTAAATTTTCTCCTACACCAGTCACATTGTACACCATCAGCATTGCAGATGAATGAAAATTAAATCAGAAAAACAATTCAGTGAAGTTATGTTGTTAGTGTTGCAATTAAAAAAGTAATTTTACAGTTTGGGAGGCTCCAGATTTGTATGCTACAATTACAAACACACTTTTAGTGAGAAAACAAGTGTTCTAAAATAAATATAAATGTGGCACTCCAAAAATAAGACTTTACTCACACTGAATTAACTTTAATTAACTCCGGTAATACTGTACTGTACTTTACATCTATAGAAAACAACTTCTTTCATACCCTGAGAAAACTGCAAATCAAGTTTAGCCATTGCAGTTTTTTAAATTTGTTTTTCTGTAGTTTTTCTTTATTTAAATAATGGATGTATATCTGCCACATCCATTTGGTTCCATTTTTTGTGCTAGACTTTTTGTTTTCATACAAGCACTTAAAATGAACATTGCTTCCAGCATCCTTTCTGTGAGAACACTGCAGCAACTACTGTACATTGTACTATCGCGGACAAAAGTTTGCTCCCTGTAGTGAAACTGAAACACAGGAATGAGTCTCCGAACTGACTTCCCCTGATTGTTATCTGGCGCGGGTGTGCTGTGCGGGTCGATACTGCTTCAGTTTGGGAAGGAGCGAACTTTTGTCCATGATAGTACTACATTTCATCATTTACCTGAGATAAAATGAGACAACCAAATCTACCTAACCCAACAGTGATATACTGTACACTACTGTAATGTCTATTATTTAGGTTAGGATAGGTATGGTAATTTTGGGTAGGTTGGGTAAGTTTTGTAGTTCATTTTATCTCAGATAAATGGTACAAAGTACAGTGTAGCACAAAAATGATAGTGAACACAGTACATCTACTGTCTATTATTTATAACAGGAGAGTTCTGTTGAAGCTTAAAGCAGCTTTAACAAAGCATACTTCTGATGAGGCCAAGAACATCACTGTAGTTAATATATTTTCTAATGTAATATTGTTTTGTTTCAGAATGATCCTTTACATGATCCTCTGGCTGAAGATCCCTTGGGGGACCAACCAGAATTTGAGGTCAAAGAAGAACCATTTGAATTTTTTGATGATTCTGTGAGTCCATATGTAGTCACTTTTCACTTGCACACTAAAGTTCTTGCAGATATTTGTATTATTTAAGGAAATCTGTTACTTACCCGGTAGATTGTCTCAAATATTATTTCTGGGTGGATTGGTTTAAACCATGTTTTTTTTAATTATTATTATTTACAATATTTATTTATTATTAATATACTGTATATTTTTCTTTTACGCATTAGCTCTTTTCTAAGTTTATATTTGATAACATTGTGTTTCTTTACCCTGCATGTGCATACTTAAGGTTCTGGTTTTCAGCTTACTTGAAATGTTTGCAATACAGTATATATACAGTATGATCGTGTCTTAATACAGCATAATCCAACTACAGTAGTGTCCCCATTAGCCAGAACAATTGGCACAGAACATCTCAGGGCTTGAGAGATTGCTGGGTTTTGAGATGAATTCTCTTCTCCTGGAAAAAATTGCATATCCCTGGAATTTTTTCATGCATTGGTAAATTTTACTGTCTGTAAACTTGCGCATCTGGCAAGGAGGCGTAACTGTAGCTGGACAGACAGACAGCTGTGTTTATTTATACAAACACTATTGTACCTGTACAGTATATGCTATACTGTACTCACCTGCAGATGCAGTTGTTTTGAGCTTGTGATACAGGCAGGTTAAATGATGGTACACGATGGTCTGCTTTATCCTTTACCATCTACTGTGGTAATTTTGTGCCACAGGTTTTTTTATGCAGCTTTTAGCATTGTACAGTTGGGGTCAAAAGTCTTGAACACTTAGCAATATCTGGCATCTACTTCTGAGTTATACATACATGATTGGGATATACCGGTACTAATAACACTACTTGTCATCACATATACCTGAACCACAAAATGGGATAAAACTAGCTAGCAGATGATGTGCCTGCTCTCGCTGCCATCTATTAAGGGCATGTAAAACTACATTTTCATCAGCTGATCGACAGGTCTTCATAAGATTTTTTATTAAACCTTTAAAAACCTAATGAGTGAAACATACAGTATTATATTATATATACATTTAACTTATTTATTATTATATGAGAGTGGGCTCCATAGGCATGACTGCTCATTAGGGACAGTGTGGATACAGGTCACTGTACTGTATACTAAGCCAATTACTGTACTGTATACTGTAGTACATATTTAATATTATATTGGGTGTTAATTATTGTTTTATAGTATTTATATGATTAGTATGTGTTTCTGCACTTTTTTTTTCTTTTTTTTACAAATTTACCAACACATATAATCCATCATGACCGGCTAAGAACCGAATCCACCTTATTACATTGATTTATATGGGAAAGATTGCTTTGCTATTTGTACTGTACAATCATTATATGCCAAAAAAAAAGAAGTAAAAAGAATAGAATCCATACAAATAACGAGGACCCAATGCGTAGTGTAGATATCTAACTCTTAATATTTAATGTAACAATTCTGATTAAATTGTCATTCTTAGCTAATCACTAAAAGCCTTTTTTGTTAAGTATCCATAAAATTGTTATGCTAAAGATAATACAGTAATCTGAATGCAGTATATTTATATACTAGTGTAAAAAACATTATTTTTCTAACCTTATGCTGGTCTCAGGTGATTTATTTATAGTCAATAAGTTAACAGGCTTGAAAATCCATGTTTCAATGACCCAAAACTGTTAACAGGAGAACTAAAATTTAAGAATGGAAAACATAGCCATACCTGATTTATTGAAAGGACACATTTCTTGGAGCAATTCATCCTTTCAGGGTGGGGGACACCTTGTGTTCTTCCCAATTGGCTGCCAGAATGGGACTTATCCTGAACCCTTGATCAGAACCCCACCAAAGCATCCATCTAGAATCCCATGTTATGTGCTTATATTCTGTGCACAACTATCTTCCAATAGGCCAAACAACACAACATGAATAAAGGCACACTGTCAGGTTATGAAGACCTTCGTATCAACACATCAGATGACTTCCAGACTAGGTCATTGACAAATGTGTAATACTACAGTACAAACTTCAAAAAGACATAATACAACCACTTGGGACTGGGTGACCACCAGTAAACATGATAAAATGGAATATATGATTTAGGCATAATATTTGCTTCAGGTAGGAATGTAAAATAAGAGCGTTTGGTCTGAAAGTTCATTTGACTGGAATTGAGACTTATCATTTTGTCCAGCTTTGTTGGTTTTGTGGCTGAGCTAACCAAAGTAGGATTGAGGAGTGACTGTGGTTACATGGTAGTAATTGCCATACCAAGTGTCCAGGAATATATTATGGTTGTGAATGTGTTTATCATATTTAATACTTGGTTATTTAATCTCCAATCACTTGGGTTTTGAATCCCATAGAATTGCTGATAATACATGAATCACCTGATCCCAGATCATTTTTTACAATCTCCCTCTTATTATTTAAAGAGAACCACACATATTATTTTGTGTCCCTGGCAATTGTTTATGAGATTTGTTTATATGTTACATCATGTCTAACAAGAATATCAGGAAAAATCATTAGCGACATATAATTTAGTATGGGAGGTGATATTCCAGATATGCTGGGTATCAGAAGGTGTTACAATCATTGAAAATGGAGAAGAATATGAAGATAAGAGTAAAGGGGAAAAAATGCCAGATTTGGAATGTATCGGTGGTCCCTCCAAACCCACCCCTGACACAGAGTCTGACACAACTAATATTGTCAAGGTATGTGGAGGTTCCGTTCATTTATTATAATTTCTTCCCAAGCAATAATCAATTAGCTTTCTTTTACAGTGTTTAGTTTTTGTGGTATATAATTGTCTTCCAGCTGTTATATCCAGTAATGTAGTGTTATTTGAACCAGGTATCATCACCTGGGAGATATGCACCACTAACCACTGGATTTGCTAGAGGTTCCTTATGTGTTTAACCCTAAAGGGGCCCTTATATGTTAAACAGTTATTGACAATATTTAAATATTGACAATAATATTTACTGTTAGGTTAAATATTGGTGTTATTGACAACATAAAATATTGCTGGAATTTAGATTGACGAGTTTCCAAAATTTTCTGTTATTGTCAATAAGTATTCACTTGGTGACTGGCAAACAAGCTCGTCCAAAATATTGAACATGTTAGGTAGCATTGTCAATAAATGTTGACCATAAGGGCTGCTTTACAGTCATGGTCTTTTTATTCTATATGTCCTTGAACACCAAGCAGTGTACAGTTTAAGGAACAAGTATCTTCCCAGCTTTGGCTGATGAATATTGATACCTGGCAAATTATACTAAAAGCATAACCATGATTACATCTGGTCAGTTGGTACGGCTGACTATAGCATTTCCATGCTAAGCTGGCCCATAAGCCATGCCCCTTGTCTATAGCTACAAATAGCTGATTGGTTCCCCTGGGCGTTTTACACCCCCCCCCCCCTTCCCGGACTGCACGTATATAAGCGCATATTTAAATCGACCTTTTATTATAAATATTAAAAATTTTCGGACATCCTCTCTGAAGTGCTAATGCCTTGAAATGATTTGCATTTTGATAATTTCAATTCAATTTCAATAGTTTATTCCTTGATAGAGGAAGACGGATCCTAGTGCTGTCACTAGGTACCCCTGTACAATAACACCAGAAGCATCTGGCAAGTGTCACAAGTATATACAGTATAAATATTATAAAGGGGCTTACTAAAGCCTAAGGAAGGAAGGATATTCCTTTAACACATTATCAATATTATTTACATAGTATCTGGCCAGTATGGGGAGGATCATCGTGTCTCCGTCAGGGGGTCGTGGAGTGGTGGTCCAGCAGGCGTCACGGAAGCGTTGTGTGTGGGGACATCTTAGGAGGTAGTGGATAAGGGTGCGGCTGTTGGGTCTTCTGCATAATGCACAAGAGCGTTGCTCAGGGGATGCGGGGATACCAATCTCCCAAGCAAGTTCATACCCAATGATGATATGGGCAGCAATCACGTCCCTTTTCTGCGACCCTTTCCCATAAACATACGAGAGGTCAGGAAGTTTACGTAGGACATCGTACCAGGTGGGTGGGGAGTCCAGGGGGATGGCTGCTTCCCGAGCTTCTCTCTGCGGCGAATTTGGGTCCTAAGCTGTAAAAGTTTTCGAGGAACAACGTAGTCAGGTGTGGCCTTATTGCAGCCAGTCTTGGCAAGGCCATCTTCTGCCTCATTCCCCAAGATACCGACATGACTGAGTATCCATAGGAATGTCACAGGACGGCTTGCATCCTGAAGTGTGGATGTTAACCCTCGTATTCGGAGGATGAGGTCCTTATTTTCCCCTGATCCAAATGCGATCCCGTCGAGAGCAGACCTGGAATCGCAGCAGATAAGGGGGCAGAAACCATCTGCTTCTTCCTCAGCAAGAAGGGCAAAATTCCGTAACATGGGGATGCCTCTATCTCTTTTTAACTGGTGTAGTTGCACAGGTAAGTATACAGTTGACCATCGTTAATTCGGACTAATCGGGGAGGAAGGGTGTCCGTTTTAGCCGATTGTCCGAATTAACAGATTTAGGGGTTAATATTGCATTATACTTCAAAGTCATTGTTTACGTCACGATTTTATCCCACTTTCCACTGTAATACGTATGTAATTTCAGCAAAAATATTACATTTCCGTGAATGTATTATATCAAGCACAGTATGAATAGAATACCATTGTAATATAACAGTATTTTAACCGAAAACTATTAAAAAAATGAATAACATCTCAAGAACATCGGAAGCTTAGGTAAAGTCTTTTGTTTTCGTCATGTATTTTATCCTATTTTACATTGAAATACATCACGTTTCAGCAAAACTACTATTTATTTCTGAGAATATATTCATTCAGGCGCAGTTTAGGTAACATATACGTGTGATGTAACAGTTTTTTAACTGAAAACGATTCGAAAAACACGTACCCTCTAGCCCTGTTCAAGGAGAGGACTGGGAGAAGCTGTTTGGTGCTGCAGACGATGACAAGGAAAATGATTTGGATGAATTTTAATGAAAATATTCAGAAATATGGTATCGTAGTATTTATTCAAGTCAATTAGGATAGAATATTATTGTAATACAACAGTTTTTTAACTGAAAACCAGTCGAAAAGCGATTACGGTAACATCTTTTGAACGAAAGAAAGCGAAAGTCATTGTTTTCGTCACGATTTTATCCCACTTTCCACTAATACCTACGTCATTTCAGCAAAAATATTACATTTCCATGAATGCATTATATCAAGCACAGTATGAATAGAATACCATTGTAATATAACAGTATTTTAACCAAAAACTATTAAAAAAACGAGTAACTTCTCTAGAACATCGGAAGGTTAGGTAAAGTCTTTTGTTTTCGTCATGTATTTTATCCTATTTTACATTAAAATACATCACGTTTCAGCAAAACTACTATTTATTTCCGAGAATATATTCATTCAGGCACAGTTAAGGTAAAATATACATGTGATGTAACAGTTTTTTAACTGAAAACGATTCGAAAAACACGTGTACCGTGTAGCTGATACTCAACAGCTGGTGGTGCGTCATGTGTCGTTGTAAACAATAGGAGGTTGAAGTAGATTACCAGGTATTATATTAAGTGTGAAATATCAAAAAGGTTTTTATTACCGGTATTTTTTGTAGATCAATGAGAACTGTGATACCGTATATGATATGATAAGTTAGCCTGTGCTAAGAACTTCAACATAGACTACTGAAAACACGTTGTAAGGTAATTTAGCCTATTGTAATTTGGTGAGCTTCATTTGCTGAAGGAACTGCACAACTTTTCATTACTAATTGGTACAAATTTTACGTTTCCATTGTTTACTGGCAGTAAATGGTAAATATTTTTCATGTCTGAAGCTAAAAGTTGCATCCCCCACCCCCCCCCACACTAGTGGTGGAGATGTTACACTTGACCAAAAAGACGCTGGTGTTTTATCCCAGCAGTGGGTGGACCAGCATTTTAGCTTAAGGTCCGCGTAGGTAATATTCCTACAAATCTTTTAAAAAAAAAAAGTTCGTTCAGATTTTGTCCGAATTATCCGAAATCCGGATTAAAGGGGTCCGAATTAACGAGGGTCGACTGTAACTAAATCAATGGAAAGTTATAACCTTCATCTTTTTCAAAAGTTTGCCTGGTTATAACCTCTAGCTGTGATGGTGCCTACCTAAGTCACCTAATTCAGACTTAGTTATGAAATAGGATTTTCAGGATCAGTCCATTATTTTTGTATGTACAGTATATTATATTTTAAGATTAATTCTTTTTATGCAGTTTGTGTAACAATCACAGATAATTCTTACCTTGGGATACAGTGCATTCTCATACATATACAGTACATGTATTTTATTACAGAAGTGCTTCTCTCAGTACTTAACATTACCTGTATTTGTTTATTTTCAGTGTTCTGATCAAGCTGAGGAAAATTGCTCATATAATGGTGAGTCAGGAAAATCTATTAATCATTGACTGTTTGGAAGGGTAAACTTGAGATGAGTGTTTGTTACAGTATGTCTCCCAGGTTCTGTGAGAAAATTATCTTTTCATATTAGAGCTTCTGTGTGTACTGTATTCTTTTTCTGACTTTAAAATGACCATTAATCATTAATTCAACATTCACACTTTAAAAATTTTTGCTTCTGACAAATTTTCTGTCCTCTACTAGTGTATTTTGTTTTATCATCTTTATTTTATGAAAGCTTCTCCTACTATCATATTCTGCTGTGCCACAGGTTGAAGTGAACTATTGCATGTTTCTTAAAGACCCACAGTTGGATTAAATCTATATTTCAGAAGGTGTGGAGCATTACTCAAATGGCCCAAAATAGTGGCTAATGCCATCGACATTATACCAGGGTACTTAAATTAACCAAGTCAAACTTAAGATCCCTTTCCATTCACACTGTCAGTTTTGCTCAAAGAAAGTAAATGTCTTCTCACCTGAGTGTGATCCATGTAGAACAGATTTAAATGAAAAAAATTGACTATCCTTGGACAATTGGATCCTTTAGAGAAATAGTTTACTGTACAGTATTAACTATTGAATAAGACATTTGGAATGACTATACAGGTACACCCCAATAACCCTCGATTTGCATAACCGACAATTACATAGTACCCTGCAAGTTTCGCTGATACCCTGGAGATCCGACGATCGGGAGAGGAGCAGCAGAGCTGTTTCAAATTTGTATGGTTGTAGCGTGGTGTGAATTCTTGCCATGAGAGGGCTCTACGCGCTGCCTGTGACTCATTCCTGCCTCTGTGCTCTTATTTACACTTGCCATGTGTCTCTGACTTCATGTTTTTCGTTATTCCCAACTTTGTGAGTTTGACAATGATGCCTAAATGCCCCAGTGATAGTTCCTCTTGTGATAGCCTAATGTGATGTGATAAATTGTAATAAGAGTGGTGATGGACCAGCAAAGATTGGTAGAGACTTAAACTTACCACCTTAGACCATCTTTACCATCCTCAACACAGGTAAATAACAGTCTCAATTTATGCTTTACATTGCTTATTTATGGCTTATTATGCTTGCTTTATATGTCTGTTTATTTTCTTGATTGACAGTGTGCACAACAAAGTGTACATTTTAGCAAAAAAATAGAAATAGAAGAAAAGTTGTGAAAAAGTTAATATTTCGCAAGGTAATAGCGGTGTAAATTCTGTGTTCTGATGAGCGCTCCCAGGCTGAGTACAGATTGCTAATTTTTTTCCCTCCAGGCGCAAAGATAATTGTGCATACAGGGGGGTCCACGACTTACGAACGCCCACTGATACAAACGGAGTTATACTTTAAATTTACAGTACAGTATTTGATTTACCTGATGACTTTTTTTACCTTTAATTACTGTATTTTGTCAGCTCTGTCACTTGCAGGTCATTTTCCACATTTGCATAGGTTAGCTGGAATTACTTGATGGTAGCTGGAATGTCCCCCCCCACCACACACACACACACACACACACACACACACACACACACACACACACACATATTACTGTAAACCCTGGGTGCCAGCTCGGAAAATACAGCAGAGACCATGGGATGAGCATAGCTGTGGTAATCTAGTTGCCATCATGCTTATAGAGGCAGTTTTACAGCTGGATGCCTTTCTCTAGTCCCAATGCCACAGGGATGAATTTAGGAATTTTTAGCGTCAAGCCCCAGTGGGAACTTGGTGATGAGGCATGTGGAGTAGGATGGTTTATTTTTCATCATATTTTGAATTCTCAGTGTTGACATAAATCACCCTATACAATGAGACATCATTGCACACCAAATATTGGAGTTTTTGGGGGTGCTCAAAATAAGTGCATATGGATATGACTTGTATGCTGTACCTTTGAGCTAAGATTCAATAATTCTGAACTCAGAAATTGGTGGAAAAGAAAAACACATTTTTATGGAGTTACACATAGTGCAAGGAAATTATCAAATAAAGATTAGCCCTCTCCACCTTATTTCACCAGATTATTAAACACCCTAAAGCTACGTTGGGGTAAATGTTGTTAGGTTAGGTGTGGGTAGGTTAGTGCATTTAATCATCAGGCGAATTATTCTAGGGTACCAAATCTTCACATGATCCCAAGGAAGTATTGGAACATAGGGTGATATGTGATGGAGGTATGTGTGCTGTTGATTGATACAAGGAATATACCACAGCTTTTGCCAACATTGATAAAATGTATTGTTGTTTTTTCCAACAGGAAAGAACTTGCCAGCAAAAACTGCAACCCTCCTTAAAACCCAGAAGATGAAGAACTGCTCTGTAACCCTGAAAGACATAAAGACGGTAATCACAAACAGCTCAAGCATAAAGGTATTAACAACCACACCAATCATGAAGATAATGACAGAGAAACCAAGCAAGAAGGTAATCACAGAGAAGCCAAGCCTGAAGGTAACTACAGAAAAGTCAAGCCTGAAGGTAACTACAGAGAAGCCAAGCCTGAAGGTAACTACAGAGAAGTCAAACATGAAGGTAAGCACAGAAAAGCCAAGCATAAAGGTAAGCACAGAGAAGCTAGGCGTAAAGGTAAGCACAGAGAAGCCAAGCATAAAAGTAAACATGGAGAGGCCAAGCACAAAGGTAAGCACAGAGAGGCCAAACATAAAGGAAAAAGTGGGTAACATTAATTGTCAAGTGAAGAAAGAAACAAAAATACCGTTCAGGAAACAGATAACATCCTTCTTGAAGAGAGATAATGAGGCAAGACTTAAACGGGAGCTGGAGCGTCAGTTAAGTAATTACAGAGCAAACATCAAGAGAATGCAGAAGATTTTGGATGAGGAAAAAGCAAAGATGACTAAAGTACAGAATTCTCTGGTAAACTTAAGGAGAAGACTGAGAAGACGTGAACTAAAGATGATGAGTAGTATGAGAATTAAAGAGACTGGATTTATAGCAATGAAGGTGGATATAGAGACTAAATCAAATAAAGTGGAGAGGGAAGTAGAGGTGAAAAATACAATAAAATTAGAAGATTTTGAGAATAAGAAAAGGAAAAGAATTGATAAAATAAAAGTAATGAAGAGGAAGAAGTTCAATAAACTGCTGAAATTTGATGAGGTAACAGTAAAGGAGGAGGAAGTTGTTCAAGAAGAAGAAAGAGGATTAGAAATTAAAAAAACAAATAAAAAGGGGGTTGTACAAGAAAAGAAAAAAGAACAAAATGAACAAGCAAATGAGAAAAAGCAAAAAAAGAAGTTGGAGGAGGCAAAAGGAGGAAAAAGGGATGGTGAGCCGAAGAAAGTTGAAGTTGGGATCAAAACAGAAGTGGAAGAAAAGAATGTAAAACCAGAAATTCAAATAGCAACCTCCCATATGCTGTGGAATGTATTAAGTCGCAACAAGGTTGAGCCTTATTTGGCAAATACTCTCAATAACATTGATGATGTCCATTTTCCTTTACAGCCACATGTTAAACCAAATATTTCTGATGTTCCCCAATTAGTAAAGGAGTTCGTAATTCGGGAAGATATATCAAAATCTTGTACACCTTCATCTGACTCAACAGAAAAAAACCCCGAGTTGCGATATCGTATGCACTACCTTTTAATCCTTCATAAACAGTTTATTGCAGAGCATGGAATGTTGTGTAACTACCAAGCATTTGCTAATTATGTGCCTAGGAATGTGGTGAAGCCTAGTCCTCGCTTCTGGAAGACTTGCACCTGCTACCCTTGCCTCAATCCAGAACTCAAATTTGAGAAGTTCAATATGCTAGGGTTACTCCAAATGAATGGTATGGAATTAGGAGACATCTTGCATGATACAGAGAAGGAGAATAGTCTTATGGCGCAACTGCGTATATTGAGAGAATCCAGAGATATTCTTTCATATGATGCTTGGGAACGAACTTGCAGTGGCACTGTACACTCTAAACGGCGTAGTGTAAGTGAACCAGTAGGCATTGTTGTTGCAAAATTTTTAGAGGAACTTAGTCTTCTGAAATCTCACATACAAAGAACATTTTGTCAATTAGAAGCAGCCAAACAGGCACGAGAGAGAGCTATGCACTCGGCTGATGAAGTTACCTTGCACGTAGACTGTACCCCTGTACCTGTATATCGCCATACTGGGTCTGAACCTGTTTCAGCAGACATTGTTACAATGCTAACAGTTCTGACTGGTTACCTTTGGAGTAATGACGGTTATCAGTCTGTGGTTGTAATGTCTGACAGTAAAGATTACACAACAGCTGCTGTGTGGGCAGGCTTAGAGAAAATTTTGCTTACTTTAGTCCAAGTTGGTAAGAACAAAATAAACATAATATCTGACAGTCCAACAAACAGATACAGAAACAAAAGTAATTTTTACTACATGAGTGATTTTGCTCATGCATATGGAGTTTGTTTCCGTTGGGTTTTTCTTGAGCTGAGTCACGGAATAGGCCATGCTGGCCTTGTGAGGTCAGACTTTGATCATGTTATACGTGACCAGATGTCCATTAATGTCAGTATACCTGTCAGGTATAGTTGTGATGTGCTCAAATTGGTACAGGCTCATACCTCATCAGTTGTCCATATATACACCGATGAAGATGTTCAGAAATACAAGTGTTTATTGCCAAAACTACGTGTTGTGCAAGGAACACAAAAGTTTCATGAAGTTATAATTCTCCCAGAAGACTTTTGGGTGCGGGATGTGGTGAGTCATGATGCTTTCAGAAAATTGTCATTCTGAGGACAGTTTCCTTCAGAATTGGAGTACATACTCTACTGATCCACCTGATTTTTATGTATAATTTACCATTTAATCTGTTGCCTTGTAAATTGTTTCCCAGTTGACTTTAATTATTTAGGTATTTGCATCAGTATGGTTTTATTCTTGAACACTACTATTCTTTAGTTTGTATTGTTTGTGTCATGCAGAAAGGCAGACATTCCACTCTTATTGTTCATTACTCCATGTTATGACAGTTGTTTGTAGGTACATACTGTAATTTGAATTTGCTTATCGTTCCCTTTTATTGATATCAAGTGGTGTCTTGAGTATGGTGTAACCAGCCCAGATGGCATCTGTGAGTGAAAAAATAATCTCTCACACTTTACAACTGTTTGTAACTAGTTTATACAATGTGAGTCAGTTTATTGAATATCTTTCATGAACAGTTGTGCCAAATATTCATACAGGTATTAAGAAGGAAATATGATTCAGTGTTAGATCAAACTTCAAGCAGTGCTCTTTTAGTGTTAAATTTGATGTTTATAAAAAAAATTACTACTTTTAGTTCCAATATATGAATAATTTGAAAAACCAAATTTTCAGGGGAATCATTTGTTTCAAGAACATTTTATTTACTACCCTTACAACAGTAATTTGCAAAAAAAAAAATATATATATATTTTATTATTTGCCTGGGTGTAGACCAGAGGTCCTTAACCCTCTTTGTTCTCAAGTTGTGGTGGAGTATGTAATTTTGATTATTTTAAGGATTCATATATTTTATGGTACAATGACCTAATATTTATCTTATTTTAACCAAAAATCAATAGGATTTCAGGTTTGAGCCTCAGGAATGTAATTTGAAAGCTCACCACCAATAAGTCAGAATGTTTATAAGATTGAGTATTAACCAGTACCAAACAGATCAGCATACTTGTGGAGTTTTTGCCACATGATAATCAACAGATCATATTTGTCAATGCATCATCATCTCTTAGTAAGTACTGTACTGTATTAAGTACAGTAGTTCTTTATTCTTAGGTAACAGTGACCAAATTCCTAATTATTTTAAAAGAAATTGTGAATGCATTAACATAACACCTGTTTTTCAGTAGAGTTCCGTTCTGTCAGTAAAACATTTGTGGTTTTGATATCGAGTTAATATTATTATTGTTTAGATATTTCATTGTACAGCAAAAGTTACAATTGCCATATTTTACGGCATATAAGACGCACAGTCATATAAGACACACCCCCCCATTTTAGCAGGGAGGACGGTATTTAGGTTAAAAACTTTTGTGTGTATTTTCCTCCTGTAGCCATAGTTTTTTTTAAAACAATACATACAGTACCAGTAAATGTGAGGAATAAATAAAAATAATACCAGTAAATAAGTTACAACAAAATATATTGCCAAACCAGTAAATAAAAGCCTAATGAAAGTTTAACACTGTTGCCATTTCCATATACATCTGTACTCCCTGTTCACCATAGCAACGACGACGCTACCTCCGCCGATTCGCTAGCAACGCCCCCCCCCCCCTTCCAACTGCCCAGCCGTCCTCCCTGCTCCTCCACTAAGCCAGCTAACTCGTGTGCAAAGAAATATATATTCCTTTTGCTGTGTTTGCCCTTAGGACAATTATTTCTTTTACTTTTTCACAATATGTATGTCGGATGGTGTGTGCATGTGTATCAGTAAACATTAATTAAGAAAGTTACATATATCTACCCAAAACAACAGCTTGGCCCAGTAGCCTGGTGGTAAAGTACAGATTAATTATAGATCAACCTTTTGTATTTACAATAAATATTTTTGTAGTTAATTAAGAATAATAATAATGTTTAATTAATCAATAACATATTTTTAATTCTGGAGTTGGGTTAGGTTGAATTTAGCCAACTGGAGACAGCAATGGGGGGGATTCATTAGCGTGTGGGAGACCGCAACTTCTCATATAGGACGCAGGCTGAATTATTAGCTAATTTTTAAGACAAAAAGTGCGTCTTATATGCCGTAAGATGCGGTACATACAACACTTAATTTCTAGATGGTTATTCAAAGGTAAAATTATTTATTCTCTTGTTCATTCTTTCCTATTATTTTCATTTGATTTGATTTGATTTGCTATATAGTGTAGGATGCCACTGCATATAGTTAAAAGAAACGCTAATCAGGTTTATTTTTTCAGTAAAAGTATGTTGTGAAATCTCTCAAGTCAGTTTTGGAGAGAAAGTATTTCATTTATAGCTGACTGTTATATTTTTAAATTTGTTATAAATGCAGTGCACAATTACAGTATAGGCAATCCCAGATACCTTTTATTTTTGCAATTTGCTCTTATGTGAATTGCATCGCCCATGAATTTCAATTTTTTTTCTGTATAATATGTAAAAAGCCAATTCTAATACACAAGGCAAGATTTAGTATAGTACAGTATTCCAAGGTCTGTATCCCCACATACTGGTATCAAACAAAAAGTAAGGCCTTAGTGTGGAATGGGAATACAGTACCACAGTAGAGCACATCTGGCAAGACAGTATAAGTAGAGGTTGAATAAGAGCAAAAGAGAGGAGAGGCTGGTGCTGCTCTTGGTTATGGTCACTCTACACCAAAGTGAAAAGGACTCGGTAAGGAGAAGCTGATTTAAACAACTGGTTGTGAGTTCCAAACACTGTACTGTAGGTTGAAATATGTCTGATAAAGCTTGAGTCACCCATGGAGGTCGTGGTTATTAGATAAACATGCAGGTATAAGAATAATAACGTGCATACAGTAGTCTTTAATTAATATTTATATAAAATGTATGATTAATGTGTAGTTTTTTTGAAATACTATATAAGATACAGTATTTAATTTCTGTGTACCTGAAATTGGAACTTTCACATGCTCTCAGTTTTGTAAGCACTTTCAAATGCTCTTATTTTCATAGCTGGGTACACAGTTTATTAAAGAGAAATAAAAAGGACTGATGTACCCAGTGGTATTAGTGTCTACTGGAGGTAAGTTGAACCATGAAATATTTGGGTCAGAAAATTAAATACAGTACGTACTGTATTGCTTTTAAATGAGAATAGGTAAGGCTTCAAAATTATGAATCATGTCATAATGACAATGATGGTATGCATTAAAGGATTCACAATTTTAATTTTTTGTATTGATTGTCTATCTATCTACAACTATGTGTTTTCATAATTGTATTTGGGTCTGTCTTGTACCTTTTAAGTTGTATTTCATAGATGAAATTGAATTTACCAAAACCTATACAAAATCTACCCTGAAGCTGGTTGGGCTATAAGGATCAACCCCAAAGAACAATATGTAATCACATTAAAAACTAATTGATGCAGTTACAATTTGGCAAATTTAGTTACTAAATGTGGTAAATTGGAATTCTAGTTACATTGGACAAAATATCATTATGTTTTTTACAGTTCATAGATGAATACTGTACATTATATTATTTATGACCTAAACTTTATAATTTTCAAGGACTCATGAGAAAGATATAGTACATTATTACAGTATTGCTTTAGTTACCTTATATTGTCAATACTAAACTGTTAAATAACACTGGTGCTACAAAAGATTGTTGGTTGTGCATATGATGACTGTTGAAGTGCATATAATATTCTAGGATTGATTGTAATATTAGCAGAATTATGGATGTCACATGATTAGAATTTGTCAATTTAATCATTGAAGAAAAAGATTCAGAATAAGTGTGATGAATTTTTTAAAAGGTTTTCTTTGTGAAGCAAATTTGCCTCCCACTTATAAATGCAGTGTTAAAAAGCTTGTGAAAATTTTATGTTATACTGTTAATAAATTGGATTTTATCATTAGTAAATGAACAGTATACTCTTATGAATGAGTGTACTTGTTGGTACCAGCAGACAATGAAGTATCTTGCCAGCAGTGAATGAAGATACTATAACTAGTGAGTGAATGGCTTGTGTCCCCTTTACTGTAGAAGTGTTTCATGATTCAATACCCGGTAATAGTAAAGAAAAATTGCAGGTTTTCAGGCATTAAGGCATGATTAGATAAAGTGATAGATGATGGATAGAATGTTGAATTTGGAAGGAATTGGGTTTCATATTTAAATATTTTGCCAATATTGTTTTAAATGTACAGTACTAAAGAACTGAAGGCAGTTGTCTCATTATATCTAGATGAAATTTAATTGATTGACATTGCTAATTTTGTTGTCACTGTTCTCTATCTTTTTCATCAGTTCTGACTGTTATTTTTAAAACTTCTATATTCTCATAATACAAATGCCAGATGTATTTTAAGTTTTTATATGAGTAGCCCAATGTTAGAATGAGATAAGCGCTGCTTAAAACGAAAAGAAAAATCACATCCAAAGTTGCGCTACAGTAAAATTTATGCCACAACAAAACATATATTTAATTGTTTTATAAGAAGTTGTGTACACTTTCTTGACATAATATAATAAATGCATCATTAACTTCACAAAAATACAGTACTGTAGTACAGTATAGGTATCCCTTGTTTAACGATCGGTCATTTAGCAATTTTTCGGTTTAGCAATTACAAATTTATAACACCCTTTCTCATTTAACAATCCTCAAATTTCGGTTTAGTGATCTTCGACTCATTGGGAAAAATTCGGGAGGGAAGTCGAAAAAACTGGGGATTCTGTGCTCCATGTGCACATCATTAAAATACTGTAATGTGGCCTAGAAATAAAGAAAATACTGTGCTGTATACTATAAAATAAGAAAAATTAAGAGCATGGGTGTGTATGTGTGGGAAGTAACATATGTATTGAAGCAGTGAGCTGTAACTGTGGCCAGCTGCACTTTCCCTCCCCCTATGTGACATCACGGCATACAGGCAGCTGCCACAGCTACCACATGCATCTCTTAACGAGTCAACTTGGTGCCTGCCCGGATGAACTGTTGCATGTATAATGTACCAGTAAGTGTGAGGAATAAATATAAATAATAATAATTAATAAAATAAAATAAAAATACTGCGTTGCCACTTGACAATTGTTTCACAGGACACGAGATAGAGAACAGTTGAGAGATTCCCCACGTCGCTCCTCCCTCCCCTTCCTGCTCCCCCACCCTCGCTCTGTGGGTTAACTGCTGAGCACATAAGAAATGTTTACCTGTATTACCTTTTATGTTTTTGACCTCGTGATAATTTTTTTTATTTTTTTGGCACATTCTATATTAATGATTGTGTGTGCATGTAATAGAGTAAAAGAAAATGAAAACAAAATTATGTACAGTTCTCGCCCTTGAATTTTGCCTGCCCTCCAAATCCCACTGACCACGAACATAAAAAATAACAATAAAAATGATGCGATCTACTCACTATCAATTTAGCCCTTTATAAACCAATTTATATTTTTTTTTTGTAAAAAACAATTCTACTGTACTTTGATATTTATGCTAAAATAAGGATACTATAGATGACCACTGGTTATTTTAGTGTTTCATAATTATAATGTGTGCAATTATGCATTAACATGTCAAATTAGTCATATTGGTCGTGTGGGGACTGAATTCAAGGTAAATTTATAATACTGTACAGTTTGCAGAGAAAATATGTTTATTTTTCTGAATTATGAACAGAATTGAATATAGAGTAACTTATTATTTGCAAAAAAAAAATAAAATAAATAATAATAATGCATGTCCTTCAGATAATGTACAGTAAGTCTTCATTTAACGTTGCCCCCGACAACTTTGTTTCGTTATAACGTCGCTACTCTTTAGATACCCATGATTTGGACAGCGTCCCGCCGATTCGGTATAACGTCGTCACGGACTACGGTACTTTGTACGGCACATCACCCTCTCTCACCCAGTCAGAGCGGGAAGAGGAGCCACCCTCTGCCTCTCTCTACCCACTACACACTCGTTTCACCTCTGCCCATCAGTGAGTACAATACAAAATGATTTAGTTTATTTATCTTTTTGGATGTATAATATATACTGTACTATTTTTGCTAAAAATTCTATTGAACTTATGCATATGTAATGTATTTTATGCAGCAAAGGGAGGCTGGTGAACGTAACTACCGTATTTTATCTATTTCTTATGGTGAAAATTTATTCCGTTAACGTCGTTTCCGTTAACTTCGTAGTTTTCAGGAACGGAACCACGACGTTAAGCGAGGACTTACTGTGCTTCACATTGCTAAGTTTCTGAAAAATGGAACATTAATTTTTATAATGATGCCTATATGGAAAAATGGGTATATTATCACCTGATCCTTTCATTTCAATGCATCATAATATAGTGATCCCTCGGTTAACGAACACAATTAATTCCACAGAATCGTTTGTTAACCGAATCCATTATTTCAATGGGATACTGTATTGGGTAATTGGTTCCAGCTCACAGAAAAGTACATACAAAGTAAAGCCAAAAACGCATAAAATTCGAAACACTCCTAAAATTCCCCTAAATTGCCCTTAAATCACTATATATATACAGGTGCTCCCCGACTTACGACGGGGTTAGGGACGCAAATCCAGGTCGTAAGTCCGACATAGATAAAAAAAATAAAAATTCAAATTTTTTTTTTTTAAATAAAAAATCTACAATGAAATACAGTACAGTAAAAGTAATAAATAATGAGGAATAGATACAGTACAGTGAAAGTAATAAATAATGAGGAATGGATACAGTGTGACTGAGCACTTACCTTTAATGTAGTCAGCTGAATGCACATGGGGCCCCCATAATGTTCTAATTATACATGGAGACTACATTAACTGGAAACGTTTCGGTATAGAAAATGCGTGCGTCATTTGAAAAAAAAATGGTCACAACTGCAGCAGTCGTAAGTCCCGACGGTCGTAAGTCCAAGCAGTCGTAAGTCGGGGACTACCTGTATATTAATATAATCCCTGTTAAAGATAACTGGCCCTGGATGAAAATGGTGTCGAGCTGGCAGTTATAAGAGTACAGTATAATTACTCCCATTAGGTCTTGTGTAAGTGGGAATGAAGTGTGGTGGACAGGAGGATATGCCATCTGTTCATTATTAATATACTAAACCAGATCACTCATCACTTCTTTCCCATTATCATAAATATGTACTGTAGAGATTTCATTATGTATTTTGTACCATAATGCAGTTGTTATCAAAACAAGTGAATTAATTGTTTCTCCCAGTAGAAACCGTGTACAGTATCAAGAAATTATGATATTATTGGTTGCATCCATTAAGACAACATGGGCTATTAAAGTGCCTAAAATGTTGGCACTCAGAGATTTTGTTCATCACCTAATACCTCAATTTTTTATAAATTAACAGTAAGTTTAATTTCTTTAATGTTAGCAAAAATTTGACAAAGTTTGAATGCCAAAGGTTCCATGTGTTTAATTTTGAATTGAAACATACATAGTAGGCAATACCTGTAAAGATTTATAATTAAGATAAAAATTTGCTGTGCAGTACTGTGCTGTTTTAAAGCATGTTTAGAAGAAAAAACAATGGAAATATAAACACTATAGATTCGGTACTGTATCATGTAATACCTTTACATGATGAAGACTTGATTTATTTTGACAGTCCAAATCTTAGAGTAATAAAAAACAAGAGATGCATCGATTTAAAATTGTCTTACGAACTAAGCTATCCGTATCACTTACTCACCATCTAGTACATCAGTGAAAAGATCAAACATTGAGGGCTCATTAAGTGGTCATAAAGGCTCATATGTGAGGTAAGGTTGATTTTGATATCTTTATGTGTATGTGTGCAAAGAAATCCAGTATCGCTGTGTTGGAGCATCTTAATTTTTAAGTGCCATGCTAATTTTGAATATTTTTAACATGTACAAAAATTTAGGTGTTGGGAAGATATTCCCAACACTTGAATTATTATACGGTAAATGTTTAAAGTTTTCATGACACTGATTTTTAAGCCCATAGAAATTCTATAAATATCTTATACACATACATACAGGTGTTCTCCTTCTTTCCTTCCTTCCATAGTTGGTCACATTGCTGATCCACTGTTGGTCACGATGAGATCCCAGCCGAGGCATGAATGCTTACCCTGGTGTCGCAGAGGTCACCTTGCTACTGCCTCGGGATTGGCTAATCTAGTGATGTGATGCCAAGTCATGAACAATGTTTAAACTGATCAAGGTAGTTTAAAGGTCTGAGTTACAGTAGCTCTCACCTTTTTGGAGATTTTGCAAATACACCAACAATATTGTTGGTGATTTTGCAAATTGGCTGATTTTTTTGTATTTTTGCAAAATGATTGAATATTTAAGGTCATTTTGTAAAACTATTATTCTTTTGGTTTCTTTGCAATTTGACCGGGGGGTTTCACTTCAAATTCACTCTCATTCATACAACATCTTTAATGTATTGTAACATGGAAACTATGCAGAATCTGACATTTTACCATAGTTACATTGTGGTTTATAATTATTCAAGGATTTCATCCTCCAATTTAATGTACTCTTTGCTGAATCACCCTGTATATACTGTATATATATATATATATATATATATATATATATATATATATATATATATATATATATATATATATATATATATATATATATATATATATATATATATATATATATGTATATATATCATATACAGTATATATATATATATATATATATATATATATATATATATATATATATATATATATATATATATATATATATATATATATATATATAAACATTTCTTATGTGCATTGGAGCTAGCCCACAATGGAGGAGGGGGTGCAGTATAGGGGATATCTCATCTGCTCTCTGTCTTGCGCCCTGTGAAATTATTACCAAATGGCAACGCAGTGTTATTCTTTTATTTTATTTATTATTGATATTTTTATTTATTCCTCATGCTTACTGGTACAATATATATTATTTTTTGTACAAAGAATAGCTTCTTCCACAAGCAAACCATCTTCAAGCCATGTGACACTGATCAACTGCTCAGCCTGGCATTTACCAAGGACAGGCATTGCCTCGGAATACTGCGAGTTTAGTGCATCGCTTTTTCAAAGCAGTGACAATGCAGGTAAGACATTCGGGTAACGACCATCATAAATCTGATCTTGGCCATTTTAGCGGTATTTAGTGCTAATTCTTTAACATCGTAAAACTGGATGCACATCAATAAATTCCGGATCACATTTAGGAAGGCTGTCTGGTCCTTCATCTTCACATGGGTCTGATAAAAGTGAGAACTGAGAAGTGGAGGTGGTAGGGGGGAGGGGCTGGGGAAGGAAGTGGTGAACCACTGCTGGCCAATAGCATAGCAGATGTGTTGCTACTACTCCAGTGTGTATATATGGGAGTATATATACAGTATACAGTATATATATATATGCAGTTCTGGTATGGTACAACTACAGTATTAATATAACTTACATAGTTAAATTAATAATTTTACATTTCTTGGATGTATGGAAGTTACTACTACCCAGTTATATCTTTACACCTTAATTCCATGATTTAAAAATCACTGTTCTGCACGTGGAACCTCCAGTATTCAACCTACCATATATGCAGCTAAGGTCCAAGAAAATATTTACAGTAAACTATTTTATGTTAATGATATTTGTATCAGATGCTTTGAAATCTGTTTGGTAGAGTAGTGTATCCTAATATGCATTTTTGTCTGTTTAGACATGTAGTCTCTACTTTGTCATCTTAGGAATATGTTTACCTGCAGTGGATTATCATAGTTCTATATACAGTGCAGTATTAATGTTTTTATAAGATGAATATGCTGTTTTTTTTATATTATTATTATTATTAATATTATTATTGTACAATACTGCACTACCAAGATTTTATTTTGTTATCGATATCGAGTGGTGTTTCAACGACTTAAAGTACCTTGTGGGTCTTATAATTTATTAAGTACAATATTGCTTTTTCATTTTTATTTAAGTTTTTATTTTGTCCTGTAGGTACAGAAAAGTACATACAGGACTGCACTGTACTATATATTTAACCTGGAATTGTGTTTTGCATACAGTACCAGATAATGAAAAGAAAAGACTCAGAGCTGGAACCTTTATCTGTACTGATGCATTGTCTTCAGACTCACATTCCACATCCATTTATGTTTACTAATTCTGATTAGATGATAGAATCTTTACTATAGACAGCATTGCCAGACTTTTAGAGAAAATAACTATAATAATACAAAAAAAAAAGAATAAACTTTAATGTACTTGATAACCATTTCATTATATTCCTATACTCACATGGCTCATGACTTTAAATTATCTACTTTTTTTTGTCATTTCAGATAGTCCAGCATTATGTAATACAGTACTCTGTGTGGTAATTGTTCAATTCAATTGCATTGCCTCTAAGTTGGACTTTTGTAAGTCGGATGAGACTTATGTGGCAGTTGCATGAGGCAGTAGCTGGGCGAGGCATCATTTACTACCTATTTTTTTTTTTCATAACTATTGCTCTGCTGCATACTCAATCTTTTGTTCATATTTAGAGCTTCCTCAGTGAATTAGTGTGGCCTTTTAAGCAAACAGATTTGAGAAAAATCTGCTGAAAGGCTTTATATGGCAACGACTGTTTTATGGATCATATACAGTATGTGGACACTTTCAGCAGACACTGGAGGAGGTTGGGGGCCTTTGAAATGTGGTATTATAGGCAAATGCTAAGAATATGCTATGCTGACAGGAAAACAAATGAAGAAATACTAAGATTAGTAAAAACTTCAAGAGAAATACTCGAAAAGTACAGAAAAGGTAAAATGTGATACAGTAAGTCCTCGCAACGTCAGGGTTACGCTCCTGAAAACACGATGTTATATGAAACAACGTTAAGAGGATCAATTTTCCCAATTAGAAATAGATAAAATTCTGGAATTATGTTCCTGAGCCTCCCTTTGCCCCATGAAATACATTACATATACAGAAAATCATTGCCATTTCTATAGCAAATAGTGCATGCATATACAACTCCCAAGTTTGTATGGGTACTCACCGATGGGTGGAGGTGGTAGAGAGAGTGTGTGGTGGGTAGTGAAGCAGAGGAGGCAGATGGTGGGAGCAGAGGAGGAGGGTGGGAGCAGAGGAGGGCAGGAGCATACCTTGCTGGATCATGTTGAACGCTTCTGCCACTGCCTTTGTCTTCAACGGGACTGTGTTCTATTAGTTGTTGCAAATCCTCATTGGTAAGCTCTTCTGTATCTGATGCCAGGACGTCCTCAATATCCTCTGGTTCCAGCTCATCAAAGCCTGCCTGTCTAGCCAAGCTAAGGATATCCCTATTCACTGCTGGGACTAAGTCCGTGAATCCCGTAAAACTGTTGACACACTCTGGCCCCAATTTACCCCACTATTCAGGCAACTTTCTGAAACCTCTTCCCATGCCTTGCCAATGTTGTCAGTTGCATGAAGAATGTTGAAGCCATGCCAATATTCTCGGATCGTAGGCTTATTATCTCCATCTGTAGCCTTGAGCAGCTGGGCCATGGTTCGTCGTGAATATTACGCCTTGAATGTGGCAATGACGCCTTGGTCCACAGGCTGCATCAGTGCTGTCGTGTTGGTGGCAGGAATACAACTTTTACACTGTCATGCAAGTCGTCGAGATTGGGAGGATGAGCTGGAGCATTGTCAAGGATCAGAAGAATTTTGAAGTCAAGGTTCCCCTTGGCACAGTATTCCACAAGCTAAATATGGCGCCGGTTAACCATGCCTTCTTGTTTGCCTTGTAAATGACAGGAAGGTGATCCTTAGAGTAACCTTTCAGGGCCTGTGGGTTAGCAGCACGAGAAATCAGCATAGGCTTCAGCTTGAAGTCACCGGCAGCGTTCGCGCCAAGCAGCAGCGTCAAGCAGTCTTTTGTCGCTCTTTTCTCCTCCTTGGAGGTATTGGCCCTCTCAGGTATTCTCTTCCAAAAGAGACCAGTCTCATCCACATTGAAGACTTGGTTCGATGATTAGCCTCCTTCCTGGATAATCCATTTGAATTCTGGCGGGAATGTCTCGGCAGCAACCGTATCTGAACTGGCAGCTTCACCAGTCATCTTAATATTGTGGAAGTTATAACGATGCTTAAATCGTTGAAACCATCCTCGGCTGGCTGTAAAGGTCTCTTCCTTCACCCTCTTCTGCCTTTATTGTTGTCAAACAAGGATCTGGTCTTATGCTGGACAACCATAAGGCTCACAGGGGCATTGCGTTGATTCTGGTCCTCCATCCACATTGCCAGCATCTTTTCCACCTTCTCTATCACAGTGCTTCTATTACAAGTTGTCTTTGTTGCACTCAGAAAAGAACCACTTCCAGCATTAACCTTAATCTCGTCAGCGTTGGCCCAGATAGTATGCACCATTGTGGAGGTTAGACCAAGCACAGCGGCTATGTCCTCAGCACGTTCCCCTTTTTCAAAACGGGCTAATATATCCATTTTCGTAGCCAGGGTAACGGTCTTACATTGCCTCTTCACTACACTAGCATCAATAGCACCCAGATAAGTCAGACAGATTCAAGCCTCATATAGTCTGACTTGGAAGCGTCTTACTGTGCATACCAAGAAGGGGTTCAGGCTAGGTGGGACCAGACTCAAACAAAATTTTATATTCTTTATTCATTAAGAGTATTAGTGAAGTTTTGTGTAGAGGTAAGCTGAGATGGTTCAGGCACATGAAGAGAATGGAAGAAACCAACTGGGTCGAGGTGAATGAGTTAAAATATTGATGGGAGGAGTGCTAGGGGTAGGCCATGAATAACATGAGACATTGTGGGAAATGACTTCAGAAATAAGAACCTGTTCAGAAAGGCTGCAAGAGACTGTGCAGCTTGGGCAGCTGCTATCAGGTAATCGAGGCTAACACACACAAGCATATAAAATGGCCATAAAATTATAATTTCTGGAAATTGCTCTGAAAGGTATACTTTGTCCCTGGTGATACCAGGGAAGTCAGTAAGCTGTTTAAACAACTGGATTGTCATTAGGGAGGTAAATGAAATGTCATTTATGCGATAAATTTACGAAAATGTTTACAAATACAGATTAAAATCTTGCTTAAATCAACAGGTCAACAACATAGACGATATTGAAAGAAGTATTGTAGAATAGTGTTGGTGAATGGTCTCCTCCATAAGAGAGCTTATGATGTATCCATCTGACTGGTAGATGTCATTATAGACGTAGTATGTTGACTGGTATCATACTCTACTGTAGGTGAGCAAACATTCACAAGCTGCCTCAAGTCCTTAGTCATGTCATACTGGAATCCCAAATAGTGGGAGGCTGATATTATTTAGAATTGTCTTTTCAATTATAAGCCAAATATGCCAATCTAAAAAAATCTGTGTTGGTATCAATTTGGCTTAACCATCTTAGGATTGTGAATGCTTATCTTTAACACCAATATTATTAATGGTTGACTACTGGTGCTAGGACCATAGGTTATCAGTAATTATTTGTAATATTCATTTATTGGTTGCATAGTATCATCCAAGTGGATAAAGCAGCTACAAATATTTAACAAGTCCTGTACTGTAACTGTGTTCAGAAACCACATTAGCCACTTGAAAAAGGTATAAAATTTTCTTAATATATTACCAAGTAATGAATATACACAACTTTGGCCTTATAGTATTGAAATATTACTTCAGGTACGATAATCAGGAAGCCAACAGTTGATAATGCATAAACTAGACCACATAATGGTAGCTAGGAAGCCCGGTAGTGTTAAGAGATGTCACTGACATGTCATCAACACATTGAACAGGATGAAGGAGATGCACAATATATCACGCCATTGTTTTTTATATTTAACAACGATGTTATAATGAAAAAAGTCAAATATAAACTATTTTTATACTGTGCATTTTGTTTCCAGTAAAAATTTCTTCAGCTGTGATTTTAGATGAACAGTCTAAATGAGTCTGTCAGTGCTATAGTCTGAAATTTTAACTAAATACCCAGAGAACTGTCAGTTTCACAGCACTGATATCTCCATTAGCTGGAACAATTGATACAGAGCACTTCCGGGAATGAGAGATTTCTGGGTAACGAGACGACTCTCTCAAAGCTGGGAAAAAAATTCCCCATCCCTGGAATTTTCCAGGTAATGGAAAAATTTTCTTGGAAGTTCCGGAAATTGTGCATTACCTCATCTCTCGAACCTGGAAAAAAATCCCCCATCCCTGGAATTTTTCCAGGTACCAGAATTTTCCAGAATGATGCATTATTTCATCTCTCAAAGCCGGAAAAATATCTCCCATCCCCAGAATTTTCTGGTGACTGGAAAAAATTTATCAGAATTTCAGGAAAATACCCCTCATTTTCAGCTCGCAAACCCAGAAAAAAAAAACCCCATCCTTGGAATTTTCCGGGTACTGGGAAAATTTTCTCGGAATTGAGAGATGAAAATCGAGCACATTTTCCGGATATTCAGAGAAACATTTCCCGATACCTGGAAAATTCTGGGATGGGGATTTCTTTCCGGGTTTGAGAGATAATATAATGTGCAATTTTTGGAACTTCCGAGAAAATTTTTCCAGTACCCAGAAAATTCCAGGGATGGGGTTTTTTTTTTTTTTTTTTTTTCCGGAAACTTATCTTAGTAGCCACAGTTATAGTCAGGAGTTAAATACACAATCTCTTGGTAACAGACATAAGTCTATCAATTACTCTGAGATGCCATTCTCCGTTACAGTTATAGTAGCAAAGATCTTAGTCATAGTTACTGTATAGTAACAAGTCTGAGATACAGTTATGACCATAAGTCTCGGTCAGTCAGTCATAAGTCTCTCATCATATAATCTTATTAATCTAACAGTCTGTCTCAGTTCTAAACATATTTCTCAAATTCTCTTGTAATTATGTCTCAGTCAGTTGGTTATAAGCCATGTCACAGATATAGTCATAAGTCTCATAGTTCAGCATCTTTCACTCTCAGTAACATTCATAAGAATTCAAACACAGTTAATCATAAGTCTCACAGTCACAGTTAGTCATAAGACTTAGTCAGTCATAGGTCTCTGTCACAGTTACAATCTTAGGTCACTGTTACAAGTCAGAGTTACATTCATAGTACTCAATGTTGATTGATGTCTAAGATAGTTCCAGTTCCAGTCCTCTCTCTTGGACAGTCATAAAACTTCTGGGCATCATTATATTGTATACTGTATTCAGAAGTCGCTCAGTCCAATTTCAGGCAGATAATCTCTGTCACACTTTATGGCAGGAGTCTTTTTCTAAGTTGCAGTCATCAGTCTGTCATACCAATTATGAGTCTCTCAGTTATATTCTTAAGTCAATCAGTTAATTATAACAAAAGGTGTTTTAGTTACAATTATAATCAAATATCTCTCGGTTACAGTTGTAAGACTATAGTTAGTCACTTGTCTCTCAATCATTGTTATAGTCTTAAATCTCAGCCAGTTATAGGCATTGATCTCTCAGTCTATCAGTCAATGTTAAGAGTACCACTTAGACATAATCAGGTTTCAACTTCAGTTTCTCTGTCCTTATTCTCAATGGGTGATTCCAGCCTGGCATGAATTTACTCTTGGGGGCTCATTCCCAACCTAAGAGATATTTATGGATGCCCTCACTTCCAGAAACCAAGTCAGTGTTGTAGCTACAGCTCTTAACTAGATTCACTCTAACACAGGACCCTGTCATATTCAGTCTTAACCATTCATGTTATCTTCAAACAGTCTTAATCATTCACTGCTTCATCACAACCTGAAATACAGTCAGTTTTAGTCAATGTCTTTGCCCATCAATAAATACCTCTTCACAGCCTCAGTCAGTTAGTCTTAGCCAGTCAAAACTTTCATAAGCTTCGACAGTCAGTTTTATGTCGTCATCGCTTTCTCCATGGTCAAAATTAATTGTCATCTTCTACTCAATGATCATCATCACCACCAATGAAACAGTCACCTCTGTCCACTGCTTGTTTGTGTGTGTTTCTGTGCTCTACAGGAAGAGTCAAGTAAGTGAAGATGTTCATATTTGGCATAAATATCCCTCTTAAGGACACCAAGTCTGAGTATAAAGGTTGTTGATTTATACTGTATTTTTTTGTGAGTCTTCTTCATGGTCCTACTAGATTCTTTGGGGCAGATGATTAGCTTCTGAGGGGATTGGGTTACTCTTGTACAGTAGTCAAGGCAAAACAGTCACAGGCACTCGGTCAAAAGTCTGAAGTCCTTCCTACCTCATTATTCCGAGGGTCGTATTCACAATTGTCATGCCCGACAGTGAGCCCGACCATCAGGAACCCTAAGCTCGTGCAGGGAGAAGTTATTCAAGAACGTACTTGGGCACTACAATAGTTCAGGATCCTGATTAACCAGGTAGGACTACCAACATTACTAAATCAGCTGGATGGCTCACTGTTGCCACAACCCAGGCATTGGGTACCCAAATAATATTTTCCTAAAGCACAAAAAAGGCATAACCAACACTAAAAAACAAAAACTACGCACCATATTCTCTGGCGTTTGCGATTTTGTTGAAGGTTATATTTCTCTGGTGTTAGTCACTAGGACGGTTGGTGTGCTACGAGTCAGCTGACACAGTACGGTGCGGTTAATATGGATAGTCGTGAACGTAGCATCGCTGTCTTTTAAACAGTCCAGTACTCTAGTTAACCTCATTCAAGATCAGGGAAAGTTTATATAAAACAAGGCATCTGACTCCTTGAGCTGTGATAAGAAGAGAAATGCTTTGTGTATTGATGTACGAAGGCACGCTCATGATTAGCTGTGATTATTTAACTACAGTCAACCCTTGCTTTACGCGGTCCCACATTCCGCGTTTACGCGGTACCCTGCCGAAACAGGAATGCTCACATTCCGCGGTGCGTGTACCCCTTTACGCGGAGAGCGGCTGGCGAGCCGCGCCATTTTTAGATCCAAACCTCCCGCCATCCGCCTTGTTGTGTAAGCGGCGCGAGCATGGTGCGCACAAGGTCGCCCAGTCATCAAAACATTACCGAGTTCTTCACCCCACAGCCGGCCCAAGTCAGTGATAGTGATAATTATAGTGAGGATATGGATTTATATGGACTTTGAGGGGTTTGACAAAGAGGCCCTGCAAGCCTCTGTGGTGGATAGTGATACAAGTGATACAGGTGAGGGCCAATAATCTGCCCTCTGCCTCGGAACCAACCGCCCATCCCCGTGTGCCCAGCTATCTTTTCTACTAATGTAAGTGTTAAAAAACCTAATATTATTGATATTTCTCTTAATTATTAATTGTGTGTGCATACCATCATAAAGTTAAGATAATATTTTTACTACAACATAGTTGTGTGTCGTCAAAAAGTGGAGTTTGGGGGTCGGCCCGGTCTCTATTTCAATTAATCCCATATGCTATGTTGTTCACTTTACACGTTTCTCACTTTCTGCGGTACCCTGTGGGTTGAATTAACCGCGTAAAGTGAGGGTTGACTGTATTGTAAATAACTGACAATCTTTGAATGTACTGTACAAGGAAACAAGATTTTCTCACACCAACAAACTCATTTCCTATCAGTTTTGAATATACTGTACTGTATATTCATCAAGACTGCCATAGGGCGTGTACCTCCTCCCGATGAATTGTTTGAACGATCCCGATACAAAACCCGATCCACCCAGACTGCCTTCGAGTCTGTAGGCGTCTCTGAATAATCAAACACGACAGTGTTTAGTTATACAGTATTTTTAGCCAACAAATCATTTTTAAAGACACAAGTCCTTATCACTTGTTATTCTTAGTGCCAGAACCATATGTCCCCATGTTACATGTAAGGGGTCAAAAGGCAATGCTACTATAGGATTCTCAGACTAACTTAGATTAACTGAATTTTCTAATATTGAAAATATGGATTATGTAGTTTTGTTTTTATTAAATAAATAAGGATTAGTCACAGTTGAAGCATTAATAAAAAGTCTCAATAATAAGTCATTTAAACAGTTTATTAACAGTCAACAATACAAGACCAGTACTGTGTAGTATAAGATGTTCCTTTAGTCTTAAAAGTCAAGAGTCGCCAAATTAGAGTCAGAGATGTCCAGTCACAGTATAAGAAGTTTCCTAATGTAACAAAACTCATCATATTGTTCTTGAAGGTAAACAGTGTAAATGAAGGGCTTAACCACCCAATATGGGTGGTCCTGCAACTGTGTAGAAGCCTGGGTGATTCTCTGCTAAGCGCTGTCCATTTATTAAGTATATCAAGCTGTCCTTGGTTGTGAAATATTTTAGACCTAGATCCAAGTTTGACAAAGAAAATTCTGATATAAATATACAGTATCACCTTAATTAAATTATTTCCAAGAGGAAGGCTTATGAGGTCTTCTTTATAGAAACATTCCAAACTTTATAATCTTCAGTGGTGTTTTACTTGAAAGAAATCAATTTCCCTGTGAATGCAGCTGATAAACTTCACAACATGAACTTGAATGTGTTTACTGCATTCTACCAAGTGACTTCTGAACCTCAGAGAAGACTTCATCAGGTGAGCTGAGAGCCACAATAGTACTGCACTTGTCCTTGTAGTAGTCGATGACTGGCTTGGAGTGTTTGTGGAAGGTAGCCAAGCGTTTCTTGATGGTCTCTTCATTGTCATCAACACGGCCAGAGGTCTTGGCACGGTGCAGGAGGCGCTCCACCATCACTTCGTCAGGTACCTCAAAGTACAACACCTTGGTGCACGGCAAGATCTGTGGGCCCCACACACTATCAAGTACAATATATGATCATAATGGAAAAGCTTATACAATGGAAAAGGATAACAAGAGTGAGGGAAAGAGCATACACATGAAGAGAATTGTGATTAACAGGATCTCAGACTCAAAGAACTGTGCCGACCCAGCTTTTCTACGAACGTAAGTGTTAAAAAACCTAATATTATTGATATTTCTCTTAATTATTAATTATGTGTGCATACCATCATAAAATTAAGATGTTATTTTTACTACAACGTACATATTGTGTCGGGAAAAAGTGGAGTTTGGGGGGTTGGCCCAGTCTCTATTTCAATTAATCCCATATGTTCTGTTATTTCATTTACGCGTTTCTCGTTTTACGCTGTACTCCACGGGTTCAATTGACCGCGTAAATGAAGACCCAATTTTTTTCCTCCATAAGTGCAAATTATACATTTAAATGACAAGTGAGGAGTCACTATGAAATTTGCATAAAACCAAAATTCTGACTACTTGTCCTCAATTGCAAGATAGCACTCAGTTGTTTTTTGGCCAAACAAAAACAATCTTTCTCAGGGAAGTGATGCAAACTTCTTCGGGGTCAGAATTGTAAACTCTTGGAACAATCTGCCAGAGTGTTGTGACGGCACTGAATGTGAGCTCTTTCAAGACCAGACTTGACCAACAATGGTGCAGGTACAGATATATTCAGGAGCCGGTACATGCCCATTACTTGCCAATAGTGCGTAACAGACGGGACCATTAACAAGCCGATCAGTGGGGAAGAGGATAAAAGTAAAAGTATGTAACATATTTAAATAGTAAAGTCAGTTCAATATTAGCCTTGATAAAACATGATTTAAAACTTGCACTTCAGAAATTTAAATTTTTAAAAAATAAATTGCACTTTATACAGCGTAAGCATAATAAAACTTGGAATGAGAAAGACTAAAATATGAAGGAAAATGAGAAAAATATAATATGTTCACGGCACAATAATGAAGGTCACCTGACCTCAAAATTCCTAAGATATGTACAGTGTTGTACAAAGCAATAATCAATAGAATAGGAAAAATAAATTGTGAAAATTTTTAAGAATTAACTTCCATAATTCAATGCAGGGAATATTCCTAAATACAGTATATATAAACTATATATAAATGACACAGTGCTTTGACAATCATTACTACAGACAAACAAGATCTAAAGAACATACCGACTGCTCAAATTGGACACCCTGGGCCTGCTCACGTGGGTAGCCATCGATGAGGAAGCCCTTGGAGGTGGATACCTGCTTGAGCATTGCCTCTGCCAGCAAGTCCAGTACCACTTCCTGTTTAATCAAGATAACCATCTATATACTGTATTGAACTGTTAGTACAGTGGTCCCTCGGTTAACGAACGGTTCGATTAACGAAATTTTGGTTAATGAATTAGCTGATTGGCTATACCCGCCAATACAGTAATTGGTTCTATGTTTACATTCGTTTCCAGTGGAGTAAATATCAAGAAGGTTGTGCTCTTTAATATTTGTGCATGTTTTATATTAAAATTATTAGTCATTTTAAAATTTAGTTAACATGCTGATAATGTATGCCCATCAGCCGCTTGACTCACCCGTCAAAGCGTCAGTTTAACTTTGTTTACAGTGAAGGAAACATTCTGAAATTTTGTTAACATATTGATAATATATAGCACAGTGCAGTGTTGATTTAAATAAAATAATCTTTAATTACAGCTAGTGAATTTAAAATTTTATTTGTGAAATTACTGCATCAAGCATGGGTCCAAAGAAAGGCAATTTCTCCCCCACCCCCACTTCCTTCTCTTCTCCCTTCTCCTCCTCCACCCCAACTTCTAATTCCCATCATCATCATCAACCAGCAACATTTTACATGCACACCTCAAAGTAAGTGTACTGTACTGCATTTTGTTTATACTTTGTATGTACTTTTCTGTGAGCTGGAACCAATTGCCCAATATCCCATTGAAATAATGGATTCGGTTAACAAAATTTTCGGTAAACAAACGACTCTGTAGAACGAATTGTGTTCGTTAACCGAGGGACCACTGTACATACAATACTATACTGTATATTAGGCAATGTTTTTTTTCTTTGAATATAATTATGGACAAAAATAATGCAATGAGTTTAAATAAACTTGAAATAAAACAAGAAGAAATACATGAATAAATTAACTCTTATGTGATGTGGCATGGGCAGGAGAATGAAAGTGTCATTAATTTTGGAATAGTGGTTTACACTTATAAATTTGTGGTAGAACTGCAACTCCTTTGGTAATACGTGAAGTAATAATACGAACCCTACTCCAGGCATGGGCAACCCACGGCCCAAACCATATCTTTATGCAGCCCATGGAGTGATTGAGAAATTCTATTTAATGTGGCCCATGGTTCAGGTAGATGCAGCCAGCTTGTGACAAGTAAAGCAATATTTATTAAAAGAACAATCTTCACACACAATTCATTACTGTTTCTTTACCTAAGAGTAACTAATTACAAAAAGGTAACAGTGAAATAAGTATAAATAGTCAAAAAGAAAAACATTTAACTTGTGTGAGTTTACGGGCCAAGTTCGGCGCAGTCTGCTTCATGAATTAGTTGATATGTGGCAGTGGGTCACTTGGGAATTAACTAAGGTTGGGTATCCCAGGATGGTACGGATCTTGGAAAATGGTGATTAAAGCGTGAGAATATAGGGATATCTGAAATCTAAGGAAATATATGGTATAACTCTGTATCCAGGTGTAGGAGACTCACAAGAGGAACAAGGTCACCCTTTTCCATGATCGTGTTGAGCGACTTTCCACGTTCAGACCCTGAGTTGACCTCGTCTCTCAGCAGATCGCCAGAGGACAGGTGAGTGTAGCCATACTTCTGCACGATCTTGTCACACTGGGTTCCCTTCCCACAACCGGGACCTCCTATAAGATTAGAAACACTTTAGAGACGAGTTACATTAATAACTTTGCACATTCCTCCTATTTACAATCCTGGTTTACTTTTTAACCCTCAGGCATGTTAAAAAGACTATCTTTATACTGCAACAGTGTAACCATATCATATAAAACTATATACCTGTACACAGTACAATACTGTAATGAGCTTAAATATGCCATCATGCAGGCTTCTCACCCTCTAAACTTCTAAATGCTCCGGTGCAGAAGGTGGGTGTTTTAGTTAATTAATTACACTCAAAGGATGGCAAACTTTTCAGAAGATGGTGTATCATTTGTCCAGTAGTTCGGTGAATAGCGTGCCACTCATCTGCGGAAATTCAAATAAGACTTCCTAGGGAACAAAATCACTGTTTACTAATGCCGCAATTAGTTCTGTAACCATATACAATATACTTTACGTGTGCACAATTATAAATATCGTTGTTGTTTTTCTAAATAACAACATGGCTGCAACAGATTACTGAGATGAAAGTCCTGTAGTAATTTTGATGAATTAAATATTTTACATAGCTACACCTAAAATATAATATATGTATTACAGTATATTACTGTATCTTCATATCTCTGCCCTTTGAGGCAATTTTCTTTTAATCTTGTCAAATAATGTACTGTACATTTAATGTACAGTTGCCTCAAAAAGTACCTTTACCCCATGGTGACGTTTACGTACATGTGGCACTGCCCCATTACTAAAGTAAACTTAAGAATAAATTCATAGTACAGGTAGTCTTGTAACAATGGAAATGATTGGTGGAAAAGATTCCTAGACATAATTTCACTTGAGGTGAGTGAGTGTATAATATGGTTACTACAGCTGACAGTGTAGCAAAGGCTTGATATGCTGGTTCTTCTCCTCCTCCTCCTCGTTTTTATATCTCAAAAGGTAAAGTAGTAATGGAAAGACTAAACTATAAATGAGAACTGAGATGCAAAATCAATGCATGAATCAACCTCCACAGATTATAATTCCTGGGGGTTTTAATACTTTGAGCCAATGTGGGATTTACCAAGGTTATATGTACCGGTGCCAGTGGCTATGTGTGAAGAAGGTCCTTGGTGTATGTTACGGTAATCATTAATTACACACATTTCCTCATTATACGTGTACAGTAAATTATTATATTGTGTTTATATTATATATGTACAGTATAATTATATTTATTTATCATTACTGCCAAGCTAAATTACATCTGGGAATTTTTTTCCACCAATCAGCTCCATTGTTACAAGACTACTACAGATTCATTTATAAGTTTACAGTAAACCCTTGTTATTCGTGGGGGTTTGGTTCCAAGGAATGGCGTGAATAGGCAAAACTGCGAATAGCAACTTATACTACCTTGGTGCACTACTGTATACCTATACCAAACAACTGACCAGCTGCGGCAGCACTCGCCCCCCTTTAAAATTTTCTAATAATTCAATTTTCTTTGTAAGGGTCATCACTGACTTCTGCTTTTTACACAAACAGTAAAGTTTTGAGAGTACAACGTGAGATGGTGCGTGGGCTGACTCATTATACTATGGGTAAAGGCTCGCAAGCTAGCCACCATCTGCTTACAGTGAATCGTCGAAATGGTGAATTGTAAACCCGTGAATGGCAAGGGTCTACTGTACTCTATTATTGTGAAGGTACCACATGCATGCAAACGTCACCACATGGGGTTAAAGGAATTCTTCGAGGCAACTGTATATCACCAGTCAAAATTTTAGTACTGTACTGTACTTTGATGTCGTGTGTGATTGAAAATTTTCCATTGACAAAGTACCTTTTTCTTTAAATTCTTTCTCTCCTATAATTTAGAGTATATATTAAATTTGAATAAAAGGCTTGAATTTATTTTCTATTTGAACTACTGTTGACCACATCAACAGTTACAATCAATCAAGAGTACAGTCTTCATATCTGAGGATTGGCAACCACAGTCCTGCACTTTAAATATTCTCAGGCTGTTTTTACCAAAACTCCAAGGTTTTGTACCTCTGGGGATCCAGTTTTTAATTTCATTCATCCATCCCAGTCTCTGCCTTCCCATGGCCCTCCTACCCTCAACTTTTCCCATTAATATTTCTATTATCCCCTCATTTCTAATTATATGACCAAAGTATCTCATTTTTCTTTTTCTGTACATTTAAATTATTTATCTTGAAGTTTTTGCTAGTCTTAGTACTAGAGATAAATCCAAAGTTCCTACATTATTCGTGACCTTTATCTAGACTTTATCTTCATTTGCCATTCCTAACTTTACTTTACTCTCTCTCTCTCTCTCTCTCTCTCTCTCTCTCTCTCTCTCTCTCTCTCTCTCTCTCTCTCTCTCTTATCTCCTACTACTTCTTACTGTCTCATTTTCTCATTATCTTCTCATCTCATCATTTCTTCCTCCCTCTGTCATTTAAACTCTCCCCTTTCCTCCAATGCTCTCCCCTCTTCCTCCACCACTTAACCTCCACCTCCCCTTTCCCCCTCTCTCCCCTTTCCTTCTTCTTTCCTCCTCTCTTCCCTTTCCTTCCCTCACCTCACCTCTTCTCCCTCACTTCCCACTCTCCTGAGACCTACCACACTTCCCTTCTTCTACCAATTAACCCCTTTCCTCTCTTACTCCTGAGCATGCTGATTTCGAATATATGGTCCACGATTCGATTGCGGGGTAATTAGTGGCTGTAATGATCCTTGGAAATTTTAATTACATTTTTAAATGCTAATTACTCGCCAACTATGGGTTTCCAAAGTACTGTTTTGGTGTTAATGTGTTATGCTGTAAGTACTTAATTAGTTAAACCCCTTAAATTTCAATTCTGTGAAAAGAGTATATTTTGGGCGAAAAATTACCATGGGGTAAGGCTTACCTTTTCGACAGTTTTGGCCCAAAAATTAGATTTTGTTAAAAATCACATTATAAGTACTCCTGAGCATGCTGATTTCGAATACATGGTCCACGATTCGATTGCGGGGTAATCTACTTCCCCGAAAAGTCGATAATCTACTTTCCCCAAAAGTAGATAATCTACTTTTTGGGAAAGTAGATAACCAACTTTCCCAGAAAGTAGATATCTACTTTTGGGGAAAGTAGATCTTCGACTTCGGGGAAGTAGTCTATCGACTTTTTGGGAAATATTACTAAATTTTGCTAAGTAGATTTGTAGTGGATCCTCTCCCCTACTTCTGCCTTTTGTCACTGACTAACCGACCCTCTTCGAATTCCCCAGCTTTCGCCTCGTGGTCTAGGTCGGTAACCAGCACCGCCTAACAAAGCCGAGGTCCACCATCAAGCCACGCCTACCCCTGCTATATAAGACCTCACGTGGCCATGACCTATCTCTTCTTCTAGCTACAGCTGCAGCAAGCAACACCTCCTCTGAGCACCCTCACCAACCAGCTCTCTCTACATCACGTTTGGACTCGCACTGTCACCTCCCAGCACCAAGCTGCATTGTACATCCAATACAATATATATACAGAGTGCATTGTGAGTTTCCTTTCTCCATCCCATCCTGAGTGTGAACCAATATCTCATAACCCCACAGAATATCATAGAAAACGGGAAATTTGTATCACAAAAAATGGGAAATATCTACTTTCTGGGAAAGTTAGTTATATACTTACCATAGAAAACGAGAAATTTGTATAAAAGAAAATGGGAAATATATCCTTTCTGGGAAAGTTGGTTATCTACTTTCCCAACATGTAGAATATCTACTTTTGAGGAAAGTAGATTATCGACTTTTTGGGGAAGTATTTTACCGACTTTTGGGGAAATATTACCGAATTTTGCAAAGTAGATTATCATAAAAAACGGGAAATTTGTATCACAAAAAATGGGAAATATCTACTTTCTGGGAAAGTTGGTTATCTACTTATCATAGAAAACGGGAAATTTGTATTATAGAAAATGGGAAATATCTACTTTCCGGGAAAGTTGGTTATCTACTTTCCTGAAAAGTAGAATATCTACTTTTCAAGAAAGTAGATTATCGACTTTTTGGGGAAGTAGTTTATCGACTTTTTGGGAAATAATACCTAATTTTCCGAAGTAAATTATCATAGAAAACGGGAAGTTTGCATCACAGAGAATGGGAAATATCTACTTTCTGGGAAAGTTGGTTATCTACTCATCATAGAAAACGGGAAATTTGTATCATAGAAAATGGGAAATATCTACTTTCCGGGAAAGTTGGTTATCTACTTTCCCGAAAAGTAGAATATCTACTTTTCAGGAAAGTAGATTATCGACTTTTTGGGGAAGTAGTTTACCGACTTTTGGGGAAATATTACCGAATTTTGCGAAGTAGATTATCATAGAAAACGGGAAATTTGTATCAAAAAATGGGAAATATCTACTTTCTGGGAAAGTTGGTTATCTACTTATCATAGAAAACGGGAAATTTGTATTATAGAAAATGGGAAATATCTACTTTCCGGGAAAGTTGGTTATCTACTTTCCTGAAAAGTAGAATATCTACTTTTCAAGAAAGTAGATTATCGACTTTTTGGGGAAGTAGTTTATCGACTTTTTGGGAAATAATACCTAATTTTCCGAAGTAAATTATCATAGAAAACGGGAAGTTTGCATCACAGAGAATGGGAAATATCTACTTTCTGGGAAAGTTGGTTATCTACTCATCATAGAAAACGGGAAATTTGTATCATAGAAAATGGGAAATATCTACTTTCCGGGAAAGTTGGTTATCTACTTTCCCGAAAAGTAGAATATCTACTTTTTAGGAAAGTAGATTATCGATTTTTTGGGGAAGTAGTTTACCGACTTTTGGGGAAATATTACCGAATTTTGCGAAGTAGATTATCATAGAAAACGAGAAATTTGTATCACAAAAAATGGGAAATATCTACTTTCTGGGAAAGTTGGTTATCTACTTATCATAGAAAACGGGAAATTTGTATTACAGAAAATGGGAAATATCTACTTTCTGGGAAAGTTGGTTATCTACTTTCCCGAAAAGTAGATTATCTACTTTTCAGGAAAGTAGATTATCGACTTTTCGGGGAAGTAGATTATCGACTTTTTGGGAAATAATACCTAATTTTCCGAAGTAAATTATCATAGAAAACGGGAAGTTTGCATCACAGAGAATGGGAAATATCTACTTTCTGGGAAAGTTGGTTATCTACTCATCATAGAAAACGGGAAATTTGTATCATAGAAAATGGGAAATATCTACTTTCCGGGAAAGTTGGTTATCTACTTTCCCGAAAAGTAGAATATCTACTTTTCAAGAAAGTAGATTATCGACTTTTTGGGGAAGTAGTTTATCGACTTTTTGGGAAATATTACCGAATTTTGCGAAGTAGATTATCATAGAAAACGGGAAATTTGTATTACAGAAAATGGGAAATATCTACTTTCCGAGAAAGTTGGTTATCTACTTTCCCGAAAAGTAGATTATCTACTTTTCAGGAAAGTAGATTATCGACTTTTCTGGGAAGTAGATTATCGACTTTTTGGGGAAGTAGTTTATCGACTTTTGGGGAAATATTACCGAATTTTACAAAGTAGATTATCATAAAAAACGGGAAATTTGTATCACAAAAAATGGGAAATATCTAATTTCCAGGAAAGTTGGTTATCTACTTTCCGGAAAAGTAGATATTTCCCATTCTCTGTAATACAAACTACCCGTTTTCTATGATAATTTACTTCGGAAAATTAGGTATTATTTCCCAAAAAGTCGATAATCTACTTCCCCGAAAAGTCGATAATCTACTTTCCTGAAAAGTAGATAATCTACTTTTCGGGAAAGTAGATAACCAACTTTCTCGGAAAGTAGATATTTCCCATTTTCTGTAATACAAATTTCCCGTTTTCTATGATAATCTACTTCGCAAAATTCGGTAATATTTCCCAAAAAGTCGATAAACTACTTCCCCAAAAAGTCGATAATCTACTTTCTTGAAAAGTAGATATTCTACTTTTCGGGAAAGTAGATAACCAACTTTCCCGGAAAGTAGATATTTCCCATTTTCTATGATACAAATTTCCCGTTTTCTATGATGAGTAGATAACCAACTTTCCCAGAAAGTAGATATTTCCCATTCTCTGTGATGCAAACTTCCCGTTTTCTATGATAATTTACTTCGCAAAATTCGGTAATATTTCCCAAAAAGTTGATAATCTACTTCCCCGAAAAGTCGATAATCTACTTTCCTGAAAAGTAGATAATCTACTTTTCGGGAAAGTAGATAACCAACTTTCCCAGAAAGTAGATATTTCCCATTTTCTGTAATACAAATTTCCCGTTTTCTATGATAAGTAGATAACCAACTTTCCCAGAAAGTATATATTTCCCATTTTTTGTGATACAAATTTCCCGTTTTCTATGATAATCTACTTCGCAAAATTCGGTAATATTTCCCCAAAAGTCGGTAAACTACTTCCCCAAAAAGTCGATAATCTACTTTCTTGAAAAGTAGATATTCTACTTTTCAGGAAAGTAGATAACCAACTTTCCCGGAAAGTAGATATTTCCCATTTTTGTGATACAAATTTCCCGTTTTCTATGATAATCTATTTCGGAAAATTAGGTATTATTTCCCAACAAGTCGATAAACTACTTCCCCAAAAATTCGATAATCTACTTTCTTGAAAAGTAGATATTCTACTTTTCAGGAAAGTAGATAACCAACTTTCCCGGAAAGTAGATATTTCCCATTTTTGTGATACAAATTTCCCGTTTTCTATGATAATCTATTTCGGAAAATCAGGTAATATTTCCCCTCTCCTTTCACTACTTATCCCCTCCCCCCTCTCCACTACTTAACCTCCACTTCACCTTTCCCCTCTTCCTCCATCACAAGTCCCCTTCCACTCCATTCCCCTCTCCCTCAGGTAACAGTAAACGTACCTAGGACGAAGATGACTGGTAACTTGGCATCCCTGAGGGCTGTCAGATCCAAGGGCTTCTTTTCTAGGGCGGCCTGTGCAGGGGAGAGTTATGTTAGTTATGGTGGTGTTTATTTCAAGGGTAAATATTGGAGAGAGAAACACAAAAAAGGAAATTAAAATGAAACTGGCGCTCGTAATAAGGGTGAATTTGAAGTTAAAACAACCTGAAACTGAAATTGAGGTTGAAAAAGAAACAGACTAGGGGAATAAAATGAAACAAACAGATTTTAATAAACTGGAGATGAAATTAAAACTGAGGGTGAAACCGAAATAGAAACTAAAACAGATTGAGAATGAAATTGGAGTTCGAACTGAGACAAACTGAAACTGCAATTAAAACCGAAACAAAAGCAATTTAATTTGTCAGAAGAAATTACTGATTGAATATATATGTATTAAAATGTTGTCTCTACTTGGCCAAGTTGGGTGGGAAAGTTAATTCTGCACTGGTATATATCTGATGGAAATGAACACCAAGTTTGTTTCATATTAAGAATTGGGATTATGTGAAGATTAGCCCCCACTATTTGCAACTGTATTTGGTTAGACAAACTTTTCTTACTTGGTATTAAATCCACTCATGTTGATAACAGTAGGTTTACGGCTGTTATGTTGTCAAATAAGGCTCTTAAGTTCCTTTGGTTTAATAAGCTACAGTTTGGGAATCTGTATACAGTATACATCCCACAATGAGCGTCTCTCCCGTTTTGTCCTAGCCTCTTCACGTCCTGAGTGGGAGCTGATAATTTCAGAGCCTCATCACAAATATTTTGAAATTTCAACTTGTCGTGCGTTATTCTAGTTTCAACTTCGTCCGACTGACTCTCAGGGGCTCCAGACACTATTATGTTTTTCCTGCACTCAGACCGTTCCCGTTTTTCCTCTTCTCCCATACCAGTAGGTTTACTAGTTGTCAACTCTTCAGCACACTTCTGCAGAGTCCCTAGCTGTCACCTTCTCCGACCCTGCTGCAGCCTGAGCATAGCTCTTCTTGACTACTTCCTCTGTTCTGTCAGTTACTTCTTCAGTCTTAGTGAGGAACTCTCTGCCAACCTGCTCCAGCTTGGCAACCAACACGGATTTAGCTTCCTCTATTTTCGTCTCTAAGTATCTCTTTCCCTTGCCTCGTTTACTTTGGTTATGTAGTCAGGGCAATACCAACAGCCTTCATGCTTTTCTGCGTTCTGCATCATCCTAAAGTGTAAGACCCTTGAAATATTTTACTGACATTTTTCAATGCTAATTACTCATCAACTATGGGTTTCCAAGGTGTGATTTAGGGTTTGTGTGTTATTCTGAAAGTACGTAATTAGTTAAACCCCTTAAATTTCAATTCTGAGAAAAAAGTATATTTTGGTCAAAAATTTTGTAAGGTGTAAGACTTAAACGTTGTTAAGCCCAGACCCACACGACAGAGGAAGATGCTTGGTGACAGAGATATTTAGTCACAAGAGAAAGAAACTTGGTGACAGAAACTTGGTTCTTAGCAGGAAATAGCATAATCTCTCTCTCTTTCTCTGCGTGTGCTCTTCCCAATTGGCAACAACGTAAGTGAAAAAGTTTCAGCAACAGAATTTGACAGAGTGTGAACTCGCTGAGGCTGTGACTGTCTTCCTACCTGGCTCCTGATGGGGGATGCTGCCGGTGCTGCCAGGTCACCTCAAGGTCGTTATACTGGCACCTCTCTCCCTCCCTCCTCTCCATTCTCCCCTCTTTCGTATTTTTCACTGTGATAGATAGATAGATTGTAAAAACAGAGTGAGAGTGTGTGTGGTCAATTGTCTGGCACAAACACACTCACTCTCTCTCTCTCTCTCTCTCTCTCTCTCTCTCTCGTTGCAACAATCGCTAATACAGGTATACTGGCTGTTATAAGTGCGGATTCAAGCTTAATGCGCTATGTGTGCGGACGTGTTGCATGTTGTTATTAGTTTGAATTATGCAAAAAAACCTAAAATACAGAGAGAGAAACTTTACTTTTTACTTTTATCTTCTTCACCACTGATCGATTCGATAGTTAGGAATCTTAAACCACGACAACAATGCGTATTTGCTCGAAACAAGGCTAACAAAGGAGTATTAGTTACAAGACTAGCGAGGTTATCCTAAAACTAGATCTTGCGTTTGTGAGACCTCACTTGGATTATGCGGTTCAGTTCTGGTCACTGTATTACAGAATGGATATAGAATCCCTAGAAGGCATTCGTAGGAGGATGACAAGACTAATCCCGGGCATTAGGAACCTCGAGTTCAGAGAGATTAAAGCATCTTTATTTGCACTCCCTCGAGAGACGTAGAGTGAGGGGCGATATGATCGAGGTGTATAAATGGAAGTCAGGGTTAAACAAAAGTGATATAAGAATGATATAACAAAGGTACTTAAATTATCTTACACCACCGTATCTCCATGAAACTAAGAGTATTTCTATGCTTAGGTGAATTTCCAATATATCACAGATAAATTAAGGACAAAACCCATTATTATCCAGTAAAATGGTTGTAATTAAGGCGTCAAGGAATCAGGTTACTCGTCCTTGTACCAGGCAGGTCATTATCGACCTTACAACATTAAAGCTGCCCTGCCAGTGTTGCCATTATTTTAGGACAGTATTTGCACCGAAATCTGAAGGTCAACGATGACATCACATTCTGCTGAGACTGAATTGTGGCGTTGTTGAATTGGTTCGGACTAGACTTTTTTCCCTGCACACTGTTGGTCGCATGTCTGGTTGTAGGCCTTATTGACATATCTCTCGAAACAGTGAGTTTAAAACATTTTCGGGGTCATTTTAAATTCAATTATGACTAATGTTTAAACTCTTCTTGATAATTGAAATCTAAATTTCTTGAAGAAAGTTTTACAATTCCTTCACGTCTTTTAAGTGAGTTAGCCTAGTTACTCTACTCACCTCCATAGTCTTCTAATATAAAGTTTTATTCCATAGTGCTAAAGGGTATTTGCTATTCAAATTATGTTTCGATCTTCCTCCTATCTCTAATCAGATCCCAGTGAAAATTCTGCGCAAATCATCAAAATTACTTTTCTCTTACGTAATGATTTCACTCATTCAAACTTTACTCTTGCAATTTGTCTGGTCTTGAACAAAACTTTTCTTAAGAATCGTTTGAACATAATTCTGTAGGCATAATGGTGCTCTTCCTCCAACCACCCCCCCTCCCACCATCATCACCCCCCCATCCACCACCCTACAACCACCACCCACACGCCCCCAACCACCCTCCAACCCACCATCACCACCCACACCTCCCAACCACCACCACCCACACCCCTCCCACCATCACCACCCTCCAACCATCCACCACCCTCCAACCATCGGGTTTTTTTTCTATTTCTTTCGATTTTTTTTAGGTTAGGTTGAGTTAGGTTATTTTTTTCAATTTTTTTCGGATGGTGGGTGGGTGGGTGGTTGAGGGGGTGGGTGGGTGGTTGGGGGGTGGTGGTGGGGGGTGTGGTTAGGTTAGGGGGTGTAGTGGGTGGTGGTGGTGTTGGTTGGGGGTGGGGGGTAGTTGAGGGTGGGGATGGTGGTTGGAGGGTGGTGATGGTGGGAGGGGGGATGGTTAGGGGGTGTGGTTAGTTTAGGTTAGATAATATGTATAACAGCCACACTGTCAAAAAAAAAATTGAAAGCTTGTGTTATACCTCTCCCTCAACGCCTTGGCTGGTACTCAAACTCGGACCATGAAATAATCCTCGACTTGCTTCTAAGGTATTTCTGCGATACTGTTATAGATGTTGTAAGTGGGAGCAAAATGTACTCCAAATAATTAGAAACGCACACACACACACACACACACACACACACACACACACACACACACACACACCACAGTAACACGCCACGACTCCATGGTATGTTTGTTACCCGAGGGTGTGCCAGGTTCCTGAAGCCCTCCACACCGGCCACGCTCTCAGTTGTCTGCCAGGGAGGCCACACACACACACACATAACATAAGAATGGAGGAAATTGATCCTGGTTAACAGCTGAATTTAGTTAAAGGCAGATCTCCATTAACAGCTGATCTTCCGCACAAGATAATGTTAAACACTATAGCACTCATGAATATTCCCAAACAGAAGAGATTTCCTCTATATACACACCCTATGTTCAGAGGCGCAGAAAGACAATATATTTTCAGTTAATATCATAAGAGAGAAACGACAACAAAAAAGAAAAGAAAGAAGATTCCACATATCAGAAGGAAGACAAAGAATACATCTAAGACTCAGAAGTTCAACTGGTCCATCAACTCTCCGGTAAAAGCTCTTATACTGGAACCTTCCATCACCCGATCAGTCACCACAGGAGGTCGGCAGCTCAGCCAGCCTCTATAAACAAACACCTTTAATGACTGTCTTCAGCTGGCGACGTGACTATACCAGATGATGACGCAGTAGACAACAGTGCCATCTCTCTCTTTCACATCGTATCTTCACTGTCTCCTCCGTTCATTCTCCCGGTTTCACAGAAGTTCCCTGTTTTTTATCTTTAACGTTGTAGGTTTTCTCTGGATACTTGAATTTCCTCCTGTGCTGGACACTGCTCGACTGGCAAGTAAGATGGTCAGTAGCCAATACGATAAACTACGACCTCATCTCCCTTCTTAATAAACTTGGTCTTTATCCTCATCCTCGTCGTCAGATCAACCTTGAGAACGTCCTACATGATAATATCCCACTGTTCCTTCTCCTTGACCACGACCTCCCCGCTGCCAACATTGTTATTTTTCCGTGGCGGAGGAATCTGTCCCACCCGCACCACACATCTCCTCCCCCGCCAATAAGATCCCTGTGCGCGTGTTGTTAATGTCCACAGTTGGTTACAAGGATCATTTATGACAAATAATATGCGGTTATAAAATCTGCGGTACACTGTCTCTTCACAACATATGATGACATAATCTAACACGTAAACTCATCGATAAATATTTAGTGTTTACAAAAACACGCAAGGAATGATATTTTGTGGGAGTTTATTTATGTTTAACCAAGGCTATATTCCCTCCTATTTA